GGTTGGGATTAAACAACCCGCATTGATTTAGTTATATTACTAGTTCATCAAAAATATGGTCTTGCATCACACTACTGCAGAATCCGTCATGCTTGTAACGTATAAGTCAGGGTTCCCTCTGAGGTCCTCTGACAAGTCTTTCAGTTTTCTCAAACTGTAGGTAAATTCTATAATCTGAGCCACTGCGGCAGCCTGCCCTGACTTTTGTTTGGAATGTCTTATGGCCAGTATGCAATCTTTTACCGTTTTGCCTTGAATTGTTTATTGCTTTTTATCCTGTTTATTCTTTTGATTGTCATTTTTAATTTACTTTTTATTTGACTTTTATCATATATGTATTCATATATTTTTTTCCTGTGCATCAGACTCCCCTTGTTTTGCTACTTAAACTTTATTATTTTGTTTTGTTTATTTTTTAATTTTTAATGCTGCACACTACCAAAGAGCTGCTAAACTCACTTTCACTGTTTTGAGCACAATAATAAAAAGATCTAATCTAATGTCCTATTCAACTTAAGTATGATTAATCGGTTGATTCATATATATATACACAGTTACTTAATGTGCAGACAGGGGCGTGGGGCATTTACTGAACTTGCAAATGAATACTTATTTCATATGTTGATAGACTTTTCCACGAAGGCCAGCCGTTTAAAGACATGGAATGGGTAAAGATGCCAAACACATAGCACGTTAGTAACGTTATGCTAACATGCTAACGTTTAGCTTGTTGGCACATTATCGTACATCCATTTCAACAGTCAGACATCAACATGCTGACCTTAACATGAACATTAACGTTACATTACGACCTGTCAGTACATCAACACATCGGTCCTGTCATAGACACGGACACACCGTCAACGAGTCACGAATCAACGAAAACATCAACAGTTTGTGTTTTTAAAATAAGCCGGCTGCAGGACAGACGCTGGCATCTGGGAGAAAGCCAGCAGTGAAACAGCTATTTTAACTGATAGCTACCTGTCACTGGCTGTGAGACATCAGGGGACAGATTAGCTGTGCAGTGATCTATGAAGTGCTAACGTTACATTAACACCAGCAATGTCGCGACGACACCGGGTTAGCAACATGGCTAACGGTACCAAAACACTATGTGGACATTTGTGTACAAGCTACGTACCAGAAATATGGGATCCTACTGGAACATTTCCTACTAAAGGAAGACCTATAGACGAACGTTTCCCTTCGTGGTAAATAAAAACAGAAAAATTTCGGCTTGTTTTTAGCTGCTTCTCCCACTGACCGATCTGTTCTGTCAGCTGATCACAGACAACTGAGGCTTCTTCTTCTTCTTTGGAGCTTTATAGCTTCATTTAAGTCGCTTTCCTGCCCCCTTCTGGGGTTATTCCTCTGTTCTATTACAACCTTGATATTAGTCTGGTTGCTTTCGGGAACCTAAATATCAATTTCCTCCCCTCTGCCCGTGTCCCCACCATGTTCCCCACATTCAAGCACATCTTTTATCCTGGCCTAGCGTCATACTTCCTGCATAAAGTCAGAACATGTTCCACTGTCTGCTTTTCTTGGATGTTTCCCTGTGAGGAAGAGTAGGCCTGTGCTATTTAAGGTGCTGTGAGCAATTCTTTTTACTCGTAATTATTTGCTCTTTTCTGTTGGTTCCACTGTTTCTTACCCGTCCTACTTTATATTGTATTTCATGTAAGTGTGTTTTTGTCGCACTATTCCAAGTGTTTTAACACTGTTTGATTATTTCTCTCCAAATCACCCTTTTCCTTCTAACTTGTGTAGTCTCATTTCCTGAGATTCCTGAGCGTGCTGGTACCCACATGAATGTAATGTCTTACCTTGACTGACTAGCCTTGAATTAGTGAACAGTACTTCATACAGGCCTACTAGGTCTTTGATTTCCAGCTGATTCTGTTTTAATGCTCGACAGTGCTGACACTACAGAGTCTCTACAGATGAGTGTTTTACTTGCCTTCACACCTTCCGCCCACTCTAATGCTAACAGAAATGCGAATAATTTGACAGAATTACACTCAAGTCATCTGATGTTCTCTTACTGACACCAGACTGGTGACTGGGAATCACCACTGCTGCCCCTGTTGCCTCTGTCACTGGATCCAATTACTAGGGAGATACTTGAAAAGGTAGTTTCAGTGAAAATAAACTCCTTTATTAAAGATAATAATTTCTTGGAGGAATTTCAATCCAGCTTTAGAAAATACCACAGCCCAGAAACTGCTCTTACTAAAATAATCAGCAACCTATGCGTGGCATTTGATACCACCGACCATGATGTTTTATCAGTTGTTTAATCAATCGTCTTGAAAAGTTGGTTGGTCTTTCTGACTGTGTGTTAAACTGGTTTAAAACATACATCAAAAAGAAGAAGTGTGACGTCAGTCTTGGAGATCATGTGTCTGAGGAACAGGACATCTGTTTTGGGGTTGCACAACAACGCAGCTGCCTTTACTCTCACTATACATGCTGCCACCGGGTGCTTTCATTAGAGAGAACAATGTATGTTTCCATAGGTACGCTGATGACACGCAACTGTGTGATGATGTAGCTATAAACTCCATTACTACAGTCTTTTGGCAAAAAATAAACGGATGAGCAAGGAGGACAAAACTGTAACCCTACTAGTCGTCCCTAAACAAAAAAAATGAAACACTATTTGACAATCTGTGGAAATTGTCTCCCTAGATTAAACTGAGGTTATAAATCTTGGTGTTATTTTAGATTCAGATCTAAGCGTCAAGTTCTACATTAACAAAGAGACAAAAATATTATTTTTCCACCTTAGAAACTAAAGTAGGACCATTATAAATAAAAAAGATACTGAAAAACTTGCATGCCTTTATTTCAAGCCAAATGGATTTCTGTAATGCACTTTTGCTGGCCTCCAAAGAGAAAAAACTCGGCTATTAACCAGAATCACAAGGAGAGAGTAAGTTAGTCCAGTTTTATCTGCTCTGCACTTGTTTCCTGTACCACTCAGAACTGATTACAATGTCCTCCTCCTCATATACAAAGCACTTAATGGGCTAGGACCAATCTACATTGCTAACTCCCGTGTTCACTACTTGCCTTCAAGAACACTGCGAATATCTGTGGCTGGTTCACTGGGGGTTGCCAGAAACAGTCTCTGGGAAAATCTGGGAAGCAGCCTTTGTCAATTAGGCCCAAAAAGCTATGGCTTCTTCTGGGGTAGTATAGGCTGGATTGTGTAAAAGGCACTGGAGAAATCAAAGAACATGATCTTGACAGCGCTGACAGCCTTGTTCTGAGGTAGCTGTCAAGGCTCTTAAGTCTAAATCATCATTAAAATAAAGACAACATTTTGAAAAATAAGTGTATTGGACTGGAATGTACATATGCCTATTTTTACTCCCAAGGCTTGTCTTGGTTTTGGGTTTTAGTTTAGTTATTTCCTCTTTTATTTCGGTCTTCATGTGTCATGTTTTGTTTTACTTCATGTCTTTGTGTGTTTTCATGTCTGTCTTCTGTTTCATTAGTTAATTAGCTTCTTGTGTATATTTAGTCCATGTGTTTTCCCTCTTTGAGTTGTCAAGTCGTCTGCTTCTGTTCTTCAGTCCTGTGTTTCTCCCCGTGTTCCTGCTTTGCTCCTGTTTACCTTATGGTTTTTTTTGTTGTTGTTGTTGTTGTCTTGGACTACTCTTGTTGGTCTTTGTTGGACTCTATTTTTACCAGGACAAACAACTTTTTACCCCATAAGTACTTCATATGGAACAATTAAAACATCCAAGATAAAAAACGTAAATATCTTCTATCACACATGGTTTAATAACGGAGAGAAAAATTGTTATTTATTCGGCTATCTTATAAAGTTTTTTTTCATAAATTCAAAATTCCTAACACCAATGGAGTATGTCCTTATACTTATACGGATCTCTGGTGCTGTAGGTCTACTTTTTAATGCTGAAGACTGTGTGGGACACATTTATATTGGTGGAACTAATATATTAAAAGAGAAGTGCTCTAACAAAATAATAGGGTCACACTTTTATTTACAGTTATGTTACTGTCAATTCATCTATGTTCTTGATCTTCTTTATTTAATGATATACAGCGGTAGAAAGCTTGGAATATTTGTGATAAATACTGTCTCAATAACAAGCTTAAGGAAGTTTCTTTCAAGATATCCTGTAAAATTTACCCAGTAAAACTTAATTATAAATGTGATTTCTGTGGACTATTTTTCCCCACTGTATACAACAATGTTTTGGATCAGTGTAGCCAACTTTCTAAAATAGAAACTTGAGATGAATGTAGAAATAAATTAGTTTGTTCTAACACTCTATTTTCATCAAGATGAGATTGAAAATAACATGCTGTATCTTATACAACTGTTATTTTTGGAAAATTCTATATTCATAAGTGAAAATGGTCAGGAACGAAGGCTGTTGTCATGCAATTCTTCAATGAATTCAGACAGTGTAGCACCAATTTATCAAATGATAAAAACACGTTATTAAATGATTAATTTATAATATGATACATGTAACACAATCTCTGGCACTGTAAAATGTTTTTTTTATTTCACATAATTTTTACTATTGTTAGTTTTGTGTTTTTTATTTTCTATTTTCTGTTGTCTGTGTATCTGCTTGTGTCTCTGTATTTGTACATCCACTCAAACAAGCCGACCTCCAACTTCCGATGTGCGCATTTAGCCTTCAAAATAAACGTGACTACGTTTTAAAAAAGGATATTATTGATTTGCATTTCCTTATTTGTGTTTTGTTTGCATGTTGAAGCAAACATTCCCAGAAAGATACACTGAAGTTGGATAAAATTAAGAGAATTTATTTTTTGTTGTTGCAACAATTGCTATCTTACATGACACCCAGTAACTCGTGTTGCTTCGAAAGTGAGTTGTTTTGCCACTCAGTGTTTGTTTTGTCTCATTCAGCTCCTTGCCACTTTCCAGTGATATCAAGGGAAAAATAAATCTACCCGACCGGAAGTCGTAGGACTGTTGTTGCCTGCTGCTCACGCGCCGGACTTGACTATCCTTTTCTGGTCGCTTGTGAGGTCTGCACGTGTTCTGTGAAACACTGGATATTTGGGACAATTTCACCTCGTGTTTTGTGTTTTCGTACCACTCCGTTTGTCTTGACATGTACGGCGCGTAGTGTGAGTAGATGACCGCGTGCCATGATGATTAGAAGCGGGACGACGTGTTTATTCGTGCTGGCTGGCTAACGACAGGAGCTGGGGAGCTAACGTTAGCCGAGCCGGAGAACAACATGTCCAGACCTGTTCCCAGGCACACTGGGACACTGAAGGAATAATGACACACGCACCTTTCTAAAGCATGACAGTATTTTTTGAACCCGTGACAAATGACAAATAAAATGGATTACCAGTTTCCGCAGCAGCTTTTTCCTTCGTTTTACAACTGCGGACCGCCGGACTCGGTCCTGAAACACTGCGCAGGAAACTGGGGCTGCTATGACCGAGTCAGACCGCAGGTGGGTCAGCTGTCAGCTCAGTACTGCTGTCTGACATTAAATGGATACATATCAATTAATTTAACCCAAGCCATAACTAATTATGAATATGCAGAAACTACGTTACGTTAGATTATGACACTATTTACATGTAACTTACTGTGTGAGTTGAGGTTCTGCTGTTGATAGTTGAAATATTTACTGCATTGGAAGGATGAATGATCTATTTTTATATTCATCCGGAGAAGAACTTTAATAATAAAGTTTGGGTAAACAAATACTATAGATTTTGATTTCAAAAACACCTAAATCTTAACTGCACTATTTACCTAAATCATCACAATCTTCATCAGTGGACAGTTGTCAAGATGTTATAATAGTCAGTGGTGGAAAATAACTCAGTAGCCTAACGTTACATACTTAAGTACATTGTTGAGGTGCTTGAGTAACGTTATTTCCATTTTTTATTAATAATTAGTTGTTAAATTAGCTCCACCTTTACCATCTGTAATAATAAAGTGATGAGGACATTAATGCACCAATAATATCATATATTATTCTCCAATGGTCCATTCTGCATGAGTGGTGCTTAAAGAATATTTTATTGCTATTACTGTTGTACTTTTACTTAAGTAAAAAACTTTGAATGCAGGACTATTTGGAGTTTCTACACTGTGGTATTGCTACCTTTTAAGGAAGACACTATGTTTATCATTAAGCCAGTTAAAATAAAAAAAAAAACATGGTGTCATTGGTCATCAGGTGAAAACCTATTTCTGAACATACAAGTTAGTTAAATGTTATGCATGGTTAGTTTTGACATACAGTTTCACTTTTTGTTTTTGTGTGTGTTGCAAAAATGGGCTTCCAATTTCGGTGTGTTTTCAGCGGTTTATAAGCAGGATTTGTTTAAGGGTCAACAGGAAGGTTTGAAGCTTCCTGTTGTGTTGTACTGAAATTAGTAGTCCATGACATTAATTGATTAGTTGATCAACAAAAAATATTGCGGATTACTTTGATTATTCTGTCAAATAGAGATTTTCTTAAAACACTAACATCTGCTTTGATATTTTCTCTTGTGTTAGTGTGTTGCCTTTCTGTTTCCAGTGTAATCTTTTAAGGTCGTTAGTCAGCAATTTGAAGATGTCATCTGTCCTGCAGATGTGTACTGTCAGACTTTCTCCAAGTTTTGTGTGTGGTTTCAGGGCAGCTCTGGTCCTCTCCCCAGCTGGACATTTACATCCAGACATCAGGTCAGAGGGGAGACGTGGTGTCACACTGAGCCAGTACCGCTTCCTCTCCTGTCTCCTAAAAACTGTGAGTCCCTGACAGTGGATTTTACTGCATTTGAGGTCGTTCAGGTCTCAGACAGCAGTCCGTGTTCACCCTTAGTTCAGATTTGGAGCTCTGAAGCATGTTTGAGATTCTATATATACTACTTGATGTGTTGTACTTTTTAAGTAAGTTACTATGATTCCACATATACAGCAGGCTGTTCTGTCAGGCTCTAAATATTTTATTCTCTGATTAAACCTTGATTTTCCAAAAATATGTTCAGGTAATTACCCTAAATCTTGAAAAATGGTTTTAAATCAATGACAAATAAATCCGTGAGAGAACACAAAATCATGTTTCAGTTGTTTATATTTGTTAAATAATTTATAAGTAAAAATTCTGCCTGTTGTAGTTTCATACAAACATCCTAAATCCTGTTGGACATTTGTATTGTATACATCTTTCCATCTGCCTACTTTGTTTGTTGGTAAATTTATTTTGTGTATATATATTTAAATTATTTCCAGCTATCCTTTGGCCTTCAACGCCTCCAGATCCGCTGGACTTCACAGAACATGTGAGTACAGCAGTACAGCAGCAATTATTTTATCTCACGTTAACACAGTTTTTATTATTTTGAAAGTCCGTTGCTCACTGGCTCTGAACACACATCCAGTCAAACCATGGGTCACAGGAGGGGGGGATGTTGATCAGCCTGCAAATCACCCACCCAGACAAGCAGCAGAGGAAGGCTTTGGCAGACTACGCTGTACGCAGCGTGTGGGAGGAGTAAACAGCAGGCGCTCTATCGATAGTAACCATGGCAACGGCTTCTGTGCGCTACACAGCTGTAGCCTATTTAACTTAAATAAAAAATAGAGGCTACATAACTTTACCTGATAGGCCTTCATCTAGTTTTGCGGGGATGCTCCGCCATGCAAATTCCCTCCTGTTGATGTCCTATTTATCAAACAGTAACAGATTCTGGAAACTCACAAACAGCGAGGCTCAGTCTCTCTTCCAATGATTTGTGCTGTGCGTCGCGTACAAGAAGTTCAAGACAAACTTCGGCGGCGGGTGTGTGCATGAGGCGAGCACCACCGCGAAAGTGTCACGGGAACACACCCGCTTGTCGCTACACCTTGTGCTCGACTACACACGACATTTGCTACTGAACATAGATTGTTTCTGCTGCTCTCTCATAAAAGAAAAATGTATCTACTAATACCTGCTCAGGAAAAAAACACACGAAAACTGGGCTCAAATGGTGTCTTGTTATAACAAGCTAGATAAAAGATAATGCTCTGGCAGTGGCAAATAGCTTTGGTTTAATATTCGATTTGATTACATTAATGTTTAAGTTGAGATTTACAAGAAATATTTTATTGCTACTGTGTAAAGGAAATACTGCTGGGAAAAAGCACCTTATATGTTTAAAGTGTTTACAAACTACATGTTTTTGCACATTTGTGTATATAGCAGTACATTTAAATGTGTGCAATACACTACTATATATATATATATATATATATATATATATATATAGTCATGTTGCTGGTAAACCTTTCAGTACACATTATTAACAATAACAAACACACAAGTACATTTATGAAACATTTACAAAATATAAAAAAATCTCCTTCCAAGATTCATTAATATCTAAGGAACCTGTTTTATGTTTCATGCTTATACACTACTGTCTTACAAATAGGCTACTGTATCGTTTGGCCAACCAACACAAATTAGTCAGCACAGTAATCACAATCACTTGCTTGTGGTCTTTTTAACACACATGTGTGCAGTGCACCATCTGAAGCTTTTGCGGTCGAGTGTGATCTCGTTTCATGCCACCAGAACCGGAACCACTGACTTCAAGTGTTTTATGTCAGTGATTTGTATCTTGTATTCATTGTGTTTGATACTGCAGTGCAAAGTTTATTTGTCTCACAAGTTTTACATGTTAACATGGAAAATAAGCACTGTGACATTTAATGCATGATGTGGTTCAGAACCTAATAAGTGGAATGAAATTAATCACATCCGATTCATAATGAACTGAATTGCTGTGAGCACAACAGAGTTCTGTGGCATCAGATTTTTTTCTGTTTGTCTTTTTTTTTTTGCATTTTTGTTCTGTGTTTTGAGGTTTACAAATGGGTTTTGTGTTTAGATGCAGAACTTCTTCATGGATCACTGCCAGGACGCCTTCATGTGCATGAGTGAAATTCTAGGAGAAAACTTCAACTTCAAACAAGGAGTGAGAGAGGTGAGTTTCACAAGAATAGAATTTTTATGACAAGACAGTTTTTTGTTATCCATTACTTATTTGTTTGTTTGAATGTTGGTTAGACAAACAATTTACAGCCATCAGTTTGGGCATTGGTTTCTTTCTAGAAAAGACAAATGTCTGCTTTGTGTCTGGGCTCTGTATGAATGAATCAATCGTGGAATATGGGCCTGAACATCTGTGTTAAATTGAAGATTATTACCAGTTTATTTAAAGTACAAATGTAGACATAAATAATAACACCAAAGAAAACCTTCTGTGGTTTAGTCCTGCTCTGAGCTGGAGGCAGCGTTTATTGGTCATTAGATGTGTTCTTCGATTTATTTTATTTGTATTTATTTTTTTGCAGACATACCGGAAGGATTCAGTCCACATGTGGAAGGTGAAAAACTTTCTTGACATGCTGAAGTTTAAAATGTGAGTGGACCTGACTGATTGGTGTGTGTGGGGAAACTTTAAAGTGTGTACATAAAGATTTTAAATTAGTGATTATCTTTGGTTGTCTGATTTGTGTTTTATTTTGTCTTTATGTATCTTTGTTTCCAGATGTCCGCAGTCGTATTCCTCAAGCTCGATGGATGCGTACAGCGCCCTGCTGTCAGACGTGGTGCACACCGTTCCTCCTGAGCTGCTGGGCACTCTGCTGTACGAGGAGCTGACTGAGCAGAGGGACCGCCTTCTGTTCTCTGAAGTATCTACAGGGGGCGCTCTGTCCTTTGTCCCATTTTCACAGAGTGGCTGCGGCTCTCAGCACGGCTGCCTCCTCTATCCTGGAAACCAGGGACTGGACTGCCTCAGTATCCTGGTGATCAGATGAAGTACTGAAGTTTTAGAACAAAGATTTAAAACCCAGAACGTTGTTTAACAAACATTATTTAAATCTTCCAAGAATCTCCTGTACAAAAAGTTAGTGCTGAGATATTTTGTTGATTCATTTATTTTTGGATCAAAAGCAAATTAGTCAGCTAAGGGTGTGTTTTAGCGCCAACCTAAATGTTTCTGTTGCACAAAGTATGAAACTGTTCAGTTCTGAAAGTTGGCAATCAGACGGACGCCATCAACCCCAAGGCAGCACCTCCAGACTCATGAGCTCTGAGGCCACACGGTTTGGTGCTGTTAAATAGTTCACTGATGTTAGTGACAGTTATGACTTGTGTATATCTAGCTTGAGTGGGATTGATATTGGTCAGGTATTGCATCGCCAGTAGTACTAGATGATACCCAGTCCTGTAATCGAATACACCTTTTTATAATCTTTCTAGTCACTTATCAAGCAAAAATGTTACTTCTCTGGTTTCAGCTGCCTGTCCGCATTTGGGCTTTGAATGGTTGGCAAGAGGGCATCTTGGGCTTTGGAAAATTTATTTTATATGGCTAGCACCAGACTGTAATATTGTTTCATCCGACCAACAGTCTAAAATGATTTATTATCAGAAATGACATCAAAACCACAAGAGAGGCTGGAACCAGAGAATGTTTTGCATATTTGTCAAAAATTGAATTGTACGATCCATCAACCGTCAGAATAGTTTGCTTTATATCTAGGTAGTATTTAGGTATTTTAAGTAGTTAAATCATGTTTCTATCAATTGACTAATAATCATTTAATTGACTAGTTACACTAGTTGTTTCAGCTCTATTCAGCTCTTCTTCTTAGATTTGCATCTCTGTTCTTTCACCCAAACAAAAATGGCAACTGGAAGCGATCACTGTTCATTACTACAGTTACCATCTTTGGATTAAAGAACAGAAATGCATCTTGTGAAGTGGTTCAGTTGGTTTCCTGATATCAAATAATAATGAGTGAGGTGGAGGTGAAGAACACAACGGTGTGAAGTGTAGGGGTGTTTTTCCTGCTATGTGTTTCTGCTGGTTCTGGTTCTTAACGCAGTGCCTCAGACTTCCATAGGGTGGAGCTGCAGCACCACAGAGGGAATTATCCATGTGTGGACACCAGCAGCAGTGATCCGTTTAGCTTCCAGCTGAAAGGTCCTGTCAGACAGATCAGCTCCGCCTCCCTGTTCAACAACTGTAAGACGAAGAAAATAGTGCCAACAGGAGTGTAATGCAGTTTAACAGTTCCCCGTAGGCTGTGCAGATATTTAAATGTGCGTTTGTTTGCAGCTTGTGTTGCAGTGCGGTCAGATCACCTGTGTGGAGTTTGGAGGTTCAGCGAAAGGAACGAACCTCGTCTGCTGCAAGTCATCAACACTAGAGAGGTCGCAACCTGCATCAGCGTCAGGTGGGTGACGGTCAGTGAGGACTAAGGCATTGACGGGGTGGGAGTATGGGTGTGTGATGTGTATCATCTACGATAATATCTTAATTGTTGTTTATTTTGAGCAGACATTATTGAGTAAGCTATGTTACTCACTTAACGGTCAAAAACACCTTGTGTTAGTAGTGCGCCATGCATGCAGAGCACCAGGAGATATAACAGTGACAACACCAGCCTCGCAGTCTACCTTGTTAGATTGAATTGCTAGATGTGGATCAACGTGGAGCTGGTTTGGCTGTGAAAAGACGGCTATTGCTCAAAAGTCGTCAGATGACTTGTACTAACGCATTTTTGGAGGTAGCAAAAAATAGTTTTTGATTTAAAAAAAATAAGAAGAAAAAGAACACTTCTAGATGGGAGGTCTGTCAGCAGCCTTGAGTTTCAGAGACAGGAAGTAAAGTTCCTGAGCTTTTTGAGGAAGAGTTGTTAAAGTAGCATCTTTGGTGTGTGGTGTCAGTCCGCATGTTTTAGGTGAAGTTCTGGTGGCGAGTGAGAGCGGAGCAGCAAACCTGTGGACTGTCGGCCGAGGGTAAGGACCTTTCTTTTGTTTTGAAAGGAAGGTTTACTGATTGCTCTTGAAAAATACAGGCACTGTTTATACAGGTGCCAATCGTATGTCAAACTGAAATAAAGTGTCCCATCAGCATCCAGAAGGTCCGGGAGGAAGACCACAACCTGTACTTCAATGCCAAGTCATCATGGCGATGGTGCGAGTTCTCCGCCCACCCGAGGGTGATGCTGTACGCGGACAGGACGGGGGTGGAGCTCACAGACATCAGGGTGAGAGGAAAGGCTGTGGTGATTGTGGTGGTTGTCCCATTTCAGTGTGAACCAGACTGAGTTTAGTTTTGGTTGGTTCTTCCCAAACAACATGGGACATTAATGCTGCACTGTGGAAAACAACTCGGTTGTGTACAGCACCAACACTTAACACTAGAGAATAATACATGGTGGTTAAATATTTTCAACTCAAGCGAGAAAGTCGCATGACTCTAAGTCGTGATAGCCTATCAGCGTTGAGATTGTCCGTACGTCACCGACAGCTTCAGAGCGTTGTATGGAGACAGCCCGACAGAGTGAATGAAAATCTGCTGGCCGGCAGAGAGCTGCTACACTTAGGGGAGAGGAGCAGGGAGCAGGGCTCCAGCTTCTCCACAAATAAACACCTGTAGTCGGACTGGATTCTGCTCTGACAACTACGCCGTTTGCTCGAGGGAGGAGGGAGGAGTAAACTGCTTTTTACTTTAGTTTTTGGGATTACAACATTGATTTGTCTTCGCGTCTCAGCAGCTAGCTTCCATGCACATCCGGTTCCAGTGTTGTTAGCGTCATTTGGCACTACATATTTATATAAAAAACGGACAAAACTGGACATTGCTGGGAGAAAAGAAAGCGAGGAGGTTGAACTACCTGGTGAGTTCAGAAAACGTGTCTGTGACTTTATTCCAGCTATCATTGTACTTTACTGTGACCATGTTACCACAGCATAGCCCTGATCGATCCAAACTCCATTCAGAAAACAAACATTTTAGAAGTTGTTGTCCTGCCTCTTGCTGACAGACCTGACAAAGCATGAATCCATATGTTTAACAAAACTGCATCATGTTGTAGTTATTTCGGCATCAGTTTAATCCGTTTATTGCCATTTAATCACAGCAAAATGTTTCCTTTGGGTTCATACAGCTGTAGTAATGGCGAGTTGTGTTTATTCGCGTTGTCTAGCGATAAAACCCCTGCAAGGAAAGCATTGCGTGGAATAAATTCACGTTTGGTCTGAATGCTGCATAAGTCAGATTGAGCAGGAACGGCACTAGAACTAAAAGGAAACATTGTGTCATTTTCCCCTGATGTGGACCAAATGAACTTCACGTGTTAAAGCGCTTTAAGACAAATTTTTTACCTCTATGCCAGTTCAGGAATTTGATTGACCCCACAACCATATACTACACTAATTCATGGTCACACTTTTAAAGTGTTGTACAAAGACGCCAATTTAGGCCACAAGCCAAAATGCTTTGGTCTCATAATCAAGTAGTTCTCAACAATGCAATTGTCCGTCCTTCACCCTCATGCTTCTGTCCTGCCTGCCCTTCTCATTTTCTTTCTGTCTTGCCCTTTTCTTTTTTCCCTCTCACCCGTCTCATCCCCTCCCTGCCTCTGTCCTTTACCCCTATGACCCATCCTTTCCCTCTCCTTCCTTCACTGCAGGTGAATCCAGCCTTGAGTCACACTCTGTTTCGTATCAGCAACACCTCCGAATGTCGCAGTGGCGAGAGGCTCATTCTTTCCAGATATCTGGGAGATGCCCACTCATTCCACCACCTAATCACCACTCAGGTACATAAATATTAAGCCAAAATGACCCACGAAACTTCATGTGTTTGTTCAGACCCACAGAACTTAATTTTAAATTGTAATGGAGAGCCCAAAGTTTCTAAAGATACTATATCTGTCAGGCTGAATTTGGAGAAATGTTTTGGAGAATAATTCCTTTTGATGGTGCAGTACCTGCTTGTTACCACTAGACGTCCTCTGACGTCCTCTGACAAATAGTTAACTCTGACATGTCAGGGCTTTCCATTTGCATGTTTTATTTCTGGTACACTTGAACAAGTCACACCAAGTCATATGTGCAATAACATTAATCCATCAACTTTGAACATACAGCATTCACAAGGTGCATGAACAAACTGATTGGACAAGGAGATAACTACAGTTAAACTATTACAGACTTGTGCCCACCAAAAGCATACAGCCTGCTAATTCCTATGAGGGTGGTAACATAGTATAACATTTGTGTGTATATTTAAATGCACATCCCAAATTTGCGTCTGTGTCGGTCGCTCCAGACGGGAATATACCAGCCACTTTTTGATGGATAGCCATGAAATTTGGCTCAGGCGTTAACTGTTGGGATTTTTCCTCTAGTGTCACCAGCAGGTCGAGTATTTTACTTATCTGGGGAAATATCTTCTCATCAGCAAAGATTAGCATGCTAACACGCTAAACTATGATGGTGAAGGTGGTGTACATCATACCTAACATTGTGATTTGGGCTATGTAAACATGCTGATGTTTGCTCAAATTCAGCCCTGTCGAGCTGACACATCCTGCTGTTCTTGTGTGTTTAGTTTGTTTTCGTTTCATAAAGTCTTTTTAAAATTCCTCTCTCTGACTGCACCTCTCTTTCTCTGTTAGTACTCAGCTTACATCATGGACGAGCGTTTCCCAAGCGTGCCCATGCTCAAGTGGGACCACATGATGCAGTCCCCGCCCATATTTTGTCAGGTTGTTCCTGGCCTCCTCTCCTGTGGCGGGACTAGTACTACAAAGATCTTGCTGGGCTCCCACAGTTCTCAGGAAATCACACTGCTGCAGTACTCAGGTCAGCTGACGGGGTGATTTTTGAGTCATGCAGCTCATTTTTGATTTATTATTATTCAGTTTTAAACCTTTTAAACCTCTACTAATTAAATCATGCAAGAGTTGGTCCCTTTGTAATCTCTGTGTGTTCAGGAGGCAGGGCGGAGGCCTGTTTCAGTCGAGGTCCTCCTCAGGCTCTGCTCAGACCTAAAGACAGTCTGAAGCACCTTCCGGTCCAAATCCCTCACCGCCTGGACACTGCAACCACCAGATTGTCCTTACCTGCCACAGGTATGGATAGACAAGGGGACAGTGTGTCACTATGTGTTCCTGTGTCCACGCATAAGAGTTTTAGACCTTTAGAGTGACGGTGATCCAGATGACTCGACGGAATGCAGATGAAAATTGTAATAGACTTGACAAAGCACAGGGAAGTGTGTACTGTCAATTGCAAACTATTCAATTTAAGAGTAACTTCACCCAAAGACCCCTCAAAACCTGGCTCAGTGCCCCACCCAGTAAATCAGTGGTTCTCAACCTTTTTTTTTATTGTTGTTGTAACTATTGTTATTTAAAAACATGGAAAAAACACATAATTGAATGACAAACAACATATTAATTAATTTCCCAGGTAACAAAAAAGCCATGTGAAAAGTAATTATATTTAACTAGTAAGTGACTGTGCCGCCCAGAAACTGTGTGTGAAGCCAGATACTGTTTGGATGGGGTACTTAATAAATGATTTTGAGCATTAACCACTTAATTTCCTGCATTATGGTCAAATCTCTGCTCCAATTTTTGCTTTTTCTGCTCCAATTTATGGTGGAAATGTCTTATTATATAAAGGGAAACCTATTTAAATGTGTTTGTGGGAAAAACAAAACTAACCTACAACACCTCAGGCAGAAATCTCACAAACAATTCAACACACATTAACTTTAGCACCTCTGATAAAGTGCCGCTTACGATCCCCAACAGAGCAAGTCAGGGCTTCGGTTTTTAACGTTATAGCTTACTGATTGATACTCCTGTATATGTCCACTTTGGCACAAACTGTCAATTCAAATTAGCTTTATTGGCATGAATGCGTAACAACAATTTTGCCAAAGCATCATACAAACTACATAAGAACAATCAACCCCATACATTTCATTAAACATGTAATTAAAGCGTAAAGTAATTGTAACTGTCTGTGACTCACAACGCGAGGTGGGTCCACGTCACTCGCTGGTGTCGCAGCGAAGTTGCTGTCAGGATAGGTCAGACAGCGGAACATTCCTCTTGTAAATGTGTAACCACTGCGATAACAAGATGTTCATGGTGTATTATAATGTTAAATAAACACTTTGCCACAGAGTTTACACAGTAAATGCCATGTGGGTAAAATTTTAAAGATACTCTGACTTCCCATTCCCGTGAAGGCTGCACAGAGCTGCACCACAAGTAGCTGACGGGGGAAAAATACACCTTCTTGTCTAGTCGCAGTGGACTAAACTGACAGGTTTTAATGTTGTAGACCACAGTTTTTTTTTGCAAGTAGTTTAAAGTTTAAACTCGTATTGTTGTGAATCTTTGGTGTAAACACACCTTAGAATTTACAACCAACAAACGCCCCCCAAAAGCAGCTCAGCGCCCCCCCTTTCCAAAATATTGCTTCCACCGCCCCCCATTGTCCTCGGAACGCCCTCGTTGAGAAACACTACAGTAAATGATCATGCCCTACAGTTGTAAGATATTAAAATGCATCTCTGTGACAGATTCCCTAAATGTCCATTAAAGTTTTTTTTATTTACTAAGGCAGTAGAGGAACCATATGGATTAAATGTGAAATATTAGCTGTGAAGGTGTAGATGTTTAATGTGTCTCAAGTGTGTCCATCAGATTTCCATCCATACTAGATTTCTGAGGCTGATACTGGTATTTGAAAGTTTAAAAAATAAGATAACGATATCAGCTGATGATCATTTTTTAATGGAACCAAAGATTTTGATAAGGATCCTTAAGGTTTGGTTATTAAATAATTGAGACAAATATATTTTGCTCTGGTGGACAAGCTAGACTAGATTATTACTGTAATAGAGACACTATTTCACATATGACATATCTGCCATTTCTGACTTCCTTCAATATACATACACAAAGCTCTTTGTTAACCAACACCAGCTGGGAACAGTAACTGCACGCAGCATCTGAAAAATACTCTCCTCATAGTGGGGTTGCCAGGTTTGAGCACTGCCCTGACTCTGCTGTCAACACATTGGTCACTAGCTTGTTAGCTAACAGGATACAACATGTATAAACAACTGGACAGCTTTTTAAAAATATATATATATTTTTACAGTTGACATAATATTCACATCTCTTACTCCTGGAAAATAATCCTACTTATAATGTGGCTGAATGTTGTTGTTTTATCAGGTCTGACTTGTATCCAGAAGAAAGAAGGAGGAGCCGGAGGTAAGGAGTGCATCTGTGTCCTACAGCTGACGGAGCCGGGAGATATTTTCTACCAGATCCTCGAGCTTGAGCAGCCGGACTGCTCTCGACCTCCAGAAGCAGAGGACGACCCGCTGCCTCAACAAGCACCCAAAAAACTGCCACAGCCAACTCTGAATGAAGCCACAACATCAGGGAGAAAAACAGCAGATCATCTTCAGTCAGTTTCTCAGCTGGTTATATCGGACACGTCGAGCGATGAGGGCGTGATCAGGCCAACTCAGGATCCGACTGCGCAGAGGCTGGTGGCTGAAACACCAGAGAGGGACCAACGAGCTCTGAACATATACTCCTCCTCTGAGGAGTCGGAGTCAGAAGGGAAAGGCCGAAAGCTAAGGCAGCTGCGGCTGCAGGTCGTCGTCAATGATGATCCAGAGTTGGATGAAGTGAGTGAATTGGACGCAGGCGTAAAAGATGGAAAGGAAGGTAAAGACGGCGCTGATAATACTGAGGAACCTGGCAGCTCCAGCAGCCCGAGTCAAGCTGGTCTCTCTGAGTGGCAGACTCCCATAAAGCTCAGCGACGGTGCTCGTGTCACGTGGAAACATTGGCTCCAGAAATTGATGCAAAAAAGTCGTGAAAAGAAGCCCCGCCAACGGTGCTTGCAGCACTTGGAGATAAACACTGCAGGCCTCCACCTGTCTGACGATGAAGCGAGAGATCCAGCAGAAGAGGAGCGAGTACAGAGCCTGTGTCACGATATGAGAGCGCACATGTCCAAACGCTCACTGCTGGTTCACCGCACTGTCTCTGCCTCCCTCGGGTCTCCAGATGTGGTAATGGTGCCGAACCCTGTGGACACAGAAATCTGGACAGATGCGCTCAGCCGCCGCCTGACCCTCTCCTGGCAGGGGGAGGAGGCGTGGCAGGCGTGGTGGGTAGACCAGTTGGGGCTCAACAGGGAGGAGAAGGTGCAGGCTCTGAAGAGGAGGAGGAGGAAGGAGAAGGAAGGAAAGAGAGCCTCCGGCCGGCGCCTGGAGCTGTCTGGGAGCTTCACCTCCTCTGTCAGCTACCAGTCAGACCTGGACAGTTTCTCTGATTCAACAGGATGGTCCTCTGCTGCGAGCCCAGGGGTGTGGTCAGACACTGAAGGGACAATGTCCCAGTTGGAGGCCTTTTCGGAGCGTGGGACACCGGGGGGCGGGACACCCAACACCCCAGTTCCAACACTGACCGCCACACCTCAAAGTTTGAAAGATAAGCAAGTAGACCAGCAAACTCCCAGCTGCTCCCACTCCTTGTCTCTGTCCCAGACACCAAAACGTGACTCCACACCGGCAAATAAGAGGAACAAACGCCCAGCCGAGGTCTGCCTCAGCTCTCTGTTCGCACTACAGGTAAGAGAAGGTCATGTGTTCAGTAACGTATCGTGTAGGTCAGCCGCTAACAACAGCAGCCGACACAGAAGCAGTGGCTGTTATCACTACCAAAGAACAGTTGTCGTGATTATGAAAATACTAAGTCAACCTGTACAGCTGTGTTGATGTCGTCTATGCTAACGTTTTTGTGGCTCTGGTATGGGATGATTTCTTTCCCCATTCTTAATCCTGCCTTCAAACCGCTGATTGTTTTTTCTCAACTTTGGCAACATCCCAAATGAGACTATGAATTGCTGTCTCTAAAAATAAAAAATAATAAGACTGAATTGCTCATGAAAAATATGCAAACAACGCGCTAACTGTGCAGATGTTAACATGCTTATATCCAAAACAGTACATGCTTAATATCTAGCTTCTGTATTGGCTTAAAATTAGCAGGATGAAAAAGAAAAAGTTACTCACTGCTGACTCGTTAAAACAAAATAACCCCCCCCCCCCCCCCCACACACACACACACACACACACACACACACACACACACACACACACACACACACACTTGAAATTGGCAAAGATGAACAATATCATTCTGAATGAGTACTGTGAAAAGAAATGAGAACAATTCTGCTTATCAGGCGAAGCTTTGACTGAACCCACTCCGTACAGTTTCATTTGTATTAGTTGATGACCTCAAACATCTAAAACAGCAGTATGGGCCTTTTAAAAAAAACTGTGGTTGAGCATTTTTGCCTTTATTTTGACAATAGAAGTGACAGGAAATAAGAGCAGGGAGAAGAGGAATCTAAATATAGCAAAGGTCTCCAGCGACGGGAATTGAACATGGTCAGCATGCAAAATCCTCTGGCCACAAAGAAAGGCCCTTTGAAATCAGAAATATAATTTGCCTTTATATTCACAACTACTGTTTCTGGTCTTTTTCCAGGACGAGGCCTCCCAGCATGACATTTACTTTGTGGAAGAGGATGACACGGGTCACCCCCCACCTCCACCTGTGACCTCCTCCTCTCAGCTCCGCATGTCCCAGTCAGTCCCTGTGAGGAGCCTCGGCGTGAATCTGTCCCAGGACGCCTCCGGCTGGTCGGGTTTCTCCCAGTCTCTGTCCCTCTCCCAGAGTTCACAGGGTCGACTGGGGCTGTCTCAGGCATCACAGGCATCACAACCCAAGAGGAAGAAGTCTCGAATGGGGTTTTGATTCACTGGGACGGTCTGTCCGTTACACAGAAGGAGAGTCTATCATTTGGAATAACTCAGGAAAATAAACACAAGTGGCTGGACCAACTAGCCTCAAATTAAAATGAATGTGTTTCGGATTTTCTGCGTCTTCAGCGGCCTCACGATCTGTAAGATGGATCTATTATGGTATTATTCACTGGGATTGTACTACCAAAAATGAAACGTGAGAAGTGGCTCTAATCGAGGAGGAAAAGCTGTGCGTACGACAGAACAGGATCCATTACACTGTTGATGATCCCTGAACGCCCCTGGAGGCTGAAGAAGACGGAATGCAGACTGGTTTGGTAGGGCTGAGTGTCATTTATTGTCTTTGTTTTGTGGTTGTCATTTGTTTGATACGGTGATATGCTGCATGTGAATTTGTTTATGTGTATGGAAGGAGGAATGCCAGATGATCTGACTGACTCAGGCTGCTGGAATCATGTTTCGGTTTTCATGAGGCGTTCACACTGCAGGTGACTGAGCTGCTGTTTCATTGACTTTCTGTCTTACTGGTTTGGCATTTCATAACACACATTGTAGAGATGGCTTAACATGGTTGATTAATTATAAACTGAAGAGTAAAAGGATCAGTAAACTGACTGGAGTTGTGTTGACTCCCAACACGCATTTGTTCTCCAGGCGTCATTCGAGACTTTTGTAACAGAGTCTGAGATAAAAGCTGAAAAGAACTGAGGAGCTTTAAAATTGAAGTTAAAATAAAACTTAACTCAAAAGCAACATTAAACAATGATTAATGTTAAACATGAACCTGCTCATATTTGTTGGAAAAGAAAGGAGTCCCAGCAGTATGAAAGAACTAAAACAAGATTTTTAGGAATTTCTACATCCTGGCATTTACTGATTAGACAAAGTGTGTGTGTGTGTGTGTGTGTGTGTGTGTGTGTTTCTGTTTCTGTTTGGGTGTTGCTTCACATTTCTCTTTACCAGTTCTGTTCTCAGGCTTCACTGTTTTTATTAACTGATAAATGAAACGAATTGGCTGTGTTTAATTATTTTTATGAAACCTTTCTACATCTGCTTCTAAACAAAACTATTTTCTCAATTAAAGTACAATTCAAATAAGATTTGGGTATTCTCATTGACTTTAAGGACCAGGGGGCGCTCCTTAATTCCAAATGTGTTTGTTCTTTGATTATTTATATTCTTTACTCTGCGAGGGTCCAACGATCAAATGAATCAAAACAGCTTTTCATAAAAATTGACCCAAGTTGTGAATACGGTCATGTGAAGTCCATTGCTAACTTCGGTCACACATTTCTCATCCTGCACCGTGTTATTGGGGTATGTTTGTTTTCAGTTTCTTGCTGCCTATAAAATAAAAGTGCGTACGTCGTCTGTCAGAGCTAGGTCAAATGAATTAGTGTATTTGATAATATTTTTTATAGAAGTAATATTCATACAGTTTGAAATAAATTGTTTCATAGTAGTTTCAGTTTTGTGCAAAAGGAATTAAAGGCCTGTCCCAAATATAGGCAGGGTCAATTCAGTGATTTTTGAAGTTTTTTGGTATATCTTGTGGTTCACAGTTCATAGTTTCACTTTGATTTAGAAAACAAATCCAACAAGCTGGTTGTTGTTTTCAGACATGATGGAGGAAACAGACAGACAACAGATTTAAAAAAAAATATTTTTATAAGAGTTTCTTTTTTTCAGTACAGGTGACAAAAAGAGAATAAATAACTTAATATCTACAAAGAACTATTAACATTTTTTTTGTACATCATTTACAGTTTTACATGTTTTTATATTAACATTGTTTTACATTTTTTTTTAACTTTTTTTCTCTACACAGTCAGCATTATTGTGTTCCAAACAACATTCTCTCTGAACAGTTTCAAAACACTATTTTCCCTTCAAGCTACATCCTAAAATTGGCAACTTTAACTTTAAACCAGGGTCTTACGTACACACATCCACAAACACACACTTGTTAAATGTTTTTATCGGAGCGCTGTTGTTGTTTAAATCTGAAGGAAGACTCAGAACTGTTTGAGCTGATTCAGATCTCTCTCCCTGCTGCCGACTGAACACAAGCTCAATATCTGACACATCAGTTTCCCGTCGGACACAAACTCAAACCTCCAGTCTGCCCATTTTAACTATTAAAATGACATTTTAAAAAAAGTGCAAATGAAACATTACTACAGAAGATGAGAGCAGCTGCAATTATCTAAGATTTCGTTTTTTTACCCTGTTATCCAGACAGATCCGTGGGAAACCTACCCAAACTGGACTGTACATAAATTGAATAACAATCTTAAACTATAAATATGAGCACCAAAAATCGCATTACTTGTCATCTTTAGATAATAAGATTGATTATGTCCACTCTCAGCTTCTGTAGGAAAACTCCTCCTCACCAATAAAAACAGTCTTAGATTAATAACAGTCAAACATTCTAATAAACACCACATTTTGGCAAATTATCTTCTTGTCAACAACATGAACTGTTCCTGGTCTCAAATTATGTCTCAGCTCTGAGATTTGGTTTTATCAGATTGCAGTGTATGCTAGCTCAGCACCTTCAAGGCCAGCCGCTGCACTGAGTCGACCAAAGTTCATCTAACATCGCTAGTATATCCTTAAAATCTTGGAATGTGACATTTCAACATGCACCGTCTACAAACTCAAATCTACCAAATCTACCAGGAAGGGTCAGGACTGTTGAGCTGCCAGTTGTGTGATTCTTTACCACTGGAGCTTATTAAACAATAAATTAAAAGAAGTTGGAGCGAGGATGGCGGCGGAGGTATTAGGCGTTGAGGTGTTGGCGGTGTTTTTGGCGGCGGAGGTGCAGAGGGAAGAAGGGCCCTTCAGCGTCGCTGCCCAGAGAACTGCTGAGAGACTCCTCACCTGAACTCATCACATCCTCACATGAATCCTCACTGTAGACACACAGACATAAAGAGGTTAACACACACAGCTGATCAAAGGGTTTAATCAGTTTCAGATGGTGTCTGGGTCCCCTCTCGTAGGTTTTCTAATGTGTCCGTGTGGAAAACAACCATCGAAACACTTCGGTGATACCGGACTCCAACGTCTCTTTGTCTTAGTGAATGGTTCCGATGTTTAACCTGTACAATGTGGGAAGAAATAGCCTATGTGTGAATAACAGTAACGATGAGTCTTAGGAGATTTTGCTAAAGGGAAGTTATCGCTATATTGATGTTACATGTGTGTGATTCCAGTGAATATACATTAAACTGATCAATGAAAGATTGTCATGGATGTTTGGCACAAGTATAGTACACATGTACCACTTATGTGAAGCTGGATTCTTCTACACAGCATGTGGCGCTTTTATTTTCCCCTGGCTTGTTTACATGCAATGCCTCTCTATGAGCTGAAGGTGAAGCTGCCTCACAGGATCGTGGTTAGCTAGGCGCGCTTCAATATGTTGTTTACAGTCACGTGATTCTGATGAATTTCTGATGAAATTTAGCTATCGGGGGCATCAGTTCCTCTGTTTCAGACAGACAGACTGCCGTCACGCGTCAGCTGATCTCATGTTCGAACTTTTGACGGTTAAAGTGTGACTCAGCTGACTGAGCAGGGGATGTGCTGTTCCTTATTTTTCTTTTCACACATTGACTTTGGTTCTCCAGAAGTTCCATGTTACATAATGGTGAGGCACTCTGGCCTCATGTGACGTCACGGAAACGTCTGTGTCAGTGGGACGTGACCTGGGACTCGCACACATCCCATGCAGTGCTATGAGATATGAGAGGCCCCGACAAGCCCAGGCAGTCAGAGGGGCTGGTCTGTGTGTGACGTAATGTTACAACACACCAGAAACTTGTTTGTTGCTGCACAGCTGGTTGCCTCAGAGAAGTGTTACAGCATACGCAGCAGAAATGCCCAGCTGATTCAAATTTACCTTCCAGACGCACCTTTTACAGTATCAGTGTGGTGTCGATATACACACTGTAAAACCTGGGGGGGGGGTGGTGACAGACAGGGCGCGTCCGGTTCCTTTTCATTTTAAATGCCTCTGTTGTTGTCATTGTCGTCCGGTGTGTTGGGTGTTTTCTGGCGGATTGTATCTCTAACTGTGAGCTGTCACATGACGTCAGTCCGACATCAGGTTGAAAACAAACGATTGTTCAATTAAGGAACTGAGTGTGGTCTGACGCACTGTGCTCTTAGCTCTGACTGAAGTGTTTCTATTTTATTTAACCTTTTTTTTTAACCAGGACAGGTCCCGTTGAAATGTCTTTTTTAAAAGGAGACAAAGGTGACAGAAAGGAAGTTTGTGTAGCATCAAGTATTAAAATCCAGCAGCTTCTCAACGTTAGAGGACTCTTACTTTGTCTCATCGCCTTTTTGTAGTTATTTTACATTAGATAACTCCTTATTTAATGATTTTTTTTTGAGCACTTTAAATTTGAGAACTTTTGCTTGTTTTGTTAAAAATTAAATCAAAATTGAATTGAAAAATATTATCCCATAGTTACTAGGAACTATCCAGTCACTCTCCGAGGAGCCCCTCCCCTTTGTATTTTATTTATAGTATCCTACTAAGGTGTGTAAAGGGCTCTGACAGTGTTAGGATCTCTTTGTGTTAGGGGTTCTGACCTCTCGCTCTCATCCCAGGAGCCCTCTGGGATGGTGGGCAGCTCGGGGACGCTGCGGTAGGTGTGCAGGTTCTGGGCAGTCCGTCGCGACACAATCCACTGCAGCTTCCTGTGGTTGGGTTTGCTGCATTCAGGGGAGGCGTAGTCCGACAGACACAGAGCCACACGCTCACTCCACAGCAGCAGCTCGCTGTCCGCAATCTGAAAGCAAAACACACAGCAGTTCACTTTAGCCGTCTGGCCCTGCCCTGTTCACTGACATTTGTTTATTTCAAATAACTACTGCAGTGTCTGTTTGGGGCGGGCCGATTGCTTGTAAACTTTGTCTGAGGAAAGTGGCAGCATCTGGAGGCAACACGTTCTAATGCAGTGCAGTGAGGATTCAGATGTTACTTCCCACGTCTATCTAATCTACACAAAAACACCTTGAAAAATGTCTGGTGAAATCAGTACAACTGTAATAACGGTGGGGAAATCGGCTTCTTGCCCTCCCTTGTTGTGTAATAAAGTCATATGTGTTTACCTTTAAGTGTCTCTGGATGTGATAGGCAATTTCTGACATGTCCTCTGACTGAATGGCTTCGATCTCCTGCCTTAAGAGAGACAAGGCTAGGACGGACGGCTGGATAGACAAACAGACAGACAGGAAGTGGAGGAATGACAGGGAAGAACAGACAAACGTGTAGAGAGAAACAGGTTACCGGAGCCTCAGTGTTGTTGTCAAACTAACAGCAACATAACAAAACTCATTTCTGAGCATCTCATCAGACTGCTGAGCTGCTGTAATCCAGTTGGACCTTTGGCCCCTGCAGTGAATTCCTACCTTTGCTTTAGAGAAGGAGATCCGGCACAGACAGGCTTTGAGCTGAGCCTCCAGCTTCTCAAGGTTCAGAGTCTCCTTCCTGATAACACACACACACACACGCAGAGTCTGGTTTAGCACTGCAAAAACTGAGCTCTCAAAAAACAAGAAAAAAAGCATTGAAATGGGGGAAATTTTACTTTAAATAAGCAAAGTTATCTGCAAACACAATATTTCACTTGCTACTTAAGGCCAAAAAAACTTGATACAAGTGAAATTCTCTAACATAAAAGCCGCCTGGTAAGAAGAAATATCTTGTCAGACAAAAAACAAGTATAGTTTGCCTTCAATTAAGATAATTAATCTTACTAAGATTTTAGTTTTTGCAGTGAGGTGATGTTAGAATAGAAAATAAGACCAATGTAACTACTGACTCATCAAAAGATTAAACAGATTAGACATTTTGAGGCTGCTAAAACTGAAAACATTGTAATGTTTTAAACTGAAGTGCAGCTGGGCATATTAAAAACAATACACTGTGCCGTGGTTATGCAAGTGTTGGTGCCAGTAGCAGCCAACAACAGAACCTTATCAGTGCACTTCGGTCAGTAGCTGAGTCTGCTGATAGTTGACTGCTGCCCTACTTTAAGCTGCTGGGACAGTAAAGCAGCGCTGTGGAGAAGCTCTGGCAATGAAATTATGGGAAAATCTTTGTTTCTACAAAACAATCTAAACTCTGGCATTTTATGTTGACATTCTAAGATGTGAAACAAATCCTGAACTTGCCTCAACAAGGGCTGCGAGCTTGTTATATTAAGAAAAAAACTTGCAGAAGAGAAATCAAAGTTTATTAAATGTTGACTTTGACGGCCTTTCTTTCTACATCGAGTCTATAAGTAGATTTTCATAAAAATGGATGATTTGAAGAATGCAAACTTTAGTTTTAGTTGCACGTCATTTCCTGCGCATGATGGCCTCACCTGTCTGTGGAGTGTGAAAGTGCCAGCTGGTGGTACAAGTGCAGAAAGGTTAAGGCAGTGATGGGTTTGGACTTGAAGTTGAGCTTCTCTGCAACGATCTTCTCCATGCGGCTGAGGTCGGACACGGTGAACCTGCACTGTCCGATGCGGATGAGCTCGTCAGTGGGGGTTAGGTTGCACTCCTCCTCCGTCACTTTGGCTGCCATGTGGAGGCAGCTGAGGCTGATGCAGGACAGGTGCTTCGGCTGGACCTGAGGTGAACGAGGTGAGTAAGAAAAGGTTTGAAAATGACATCACTGAGCAGAACCCAGTTACATAGAGCATTTATCTAAACTGTCTTCAGGCTGCGGTTTTAATCAAAGCGTCACACATTTGTTATTCAGTAAGGAGCTAATTATTGAAGTAGGGAAGTAAGTGATTTATTAACACTATTTACAAATGAGGTATGTCTTTTTTGTAGAATTTCAAGCTGAATCCTTTCAAATTAAATCAGACGGTTTAAACTTGTTTACTTCTACATCTGCTGATTAAAATGACACCAGAGAGGTTTCATGCTTTCACAATCTACATAAAGCACCACAACGGGTTACCTGTTACAAAACAAAACAAAAACTAAATTCTCCTATGTCAGGAATGAGCATCCCATACCCTCATCATGGCCAGGAATCTGTCCAGCAGGTTAACAGCCAGGACAAAGGTCTGCGTGGTGTAACCGAAGAAGCTGGTCAGACTCCACAGGTCCTCCACTTTGGCATCTCTGCACTTGGCCGAGATCCGACAGTCATTCTGGAAAACAAAGACACGCTGTGGTGATTGGTGATAACTTACATTTGGGCAGAAAATTATTGAAGGTGCCTGCTAATCAAAAAGCCCTTCAGACTTGGAACATGATATTATTTTTTTCATTGTATAGACTCAATTAATCAAAAGGTAAATCAAAGATGAAAATAAATAAATAAATAAATAAAACTCCTTAATGTGAGTTGTGGAGAAAGATTTCCCATTTAAAGACTCAACTGTGGATGCTACATTTTAGTGGAATGTGCTCACCTGTGTGGTGGATTCGATGAGGCTCAGCCCCGTCTCTTTAGGGAGATAATAAACCTCCTGCTCATAATTCATCCTCAGCTCCTTCATCAGCTTGAAGGCATCCATCTCTCAGCTGGCACTGGAGCAAGTGATCTGTTTTCACCACAGTATTTTCGCTGCAAAACAGGAAAGCGCCGAGATTCAGCTTCAAAAACTGTAAAGAAATCCCAACTATAATCCACATAATGTTCAGTCTCACGTATATTTATGTGGTGCCTTACAGGACATTTCTATCTATCTATCTATCTATATATATATATATATCTTAGTGTTTTAAGTTAGTGTAACATTAATATATTTGGCTTTTGGACACCTTTCACCGACGTTGCATCATTGTCCTTTGGTTTCACAGATATTTGGAAAATGTGTAATAAGAAATATTTTATATGATAGAAAATATCGATGCTTATCTAATAACTGGACACTGGTCTATTTCGAACAGTGTCCATCATTTTTTGTAGGGAAACTTGTTGTGTAATAACCAGAACGTTTCTGTAAGTTACACCGCTGGCCTACATTTGCTCTCAGCTCTGACAAGGGTCAAGGCTCAGAGCTCAGCAGTGACACTCCGGTGTCAGATTTCCCCCTGGTAAACGCCTTCTCGGTCTTCAGACCGAAAAACAGGTGCTTTCCAAGGTTCAGTCTGTTAACAGATAACCTAAACTAAACAAAAACATTATCCGCGCGGCTGGAAATCCTCAGTTTTAAGTTGTAGTTGATGTTAACCGAGGAAGCTAACAATAACCACAGCTAGCTAACGTTTAAAATCCTCTGGTAGGAGCGGGGGAGGGGCTGCTTTCTTCCATTGCTCAAACGTTAGATGTCTATTAAATTATACTGTACAGCGCAATTATTACTACAGAAACAAATGTTTTGGGATTGTAGCGAAGTATAAATGTATTAAATCGATCGAAAATATGCTTGTGTTGGTTTCTCCCTGGGTTATATATCCGTGGTAAAAAGCTGAGCTTTCAATAGGAGACGGATCCCCGGGACACTAACAACAACACAGAAGAAAAACATCCTTGACTGTGGGAAGAATTTTTTATGTGCAAACTAATGTACATTTGTTATTTTAAATCTTAAAAACCGAGGAAAGAAAAGGAAAACACTCGCTTTAAGTTAAATGTCCCCACTTCTTTACAGAGATTGAAACTAGAAAATACCCTTCAGTAAGTGAAGTTAACGCTAACGTTATCGTTTCAGACGTTCCTGTACGATTTCTGTCGACATAGTGCGATGGAAAACTATTTGCAGACGAAAAAAGACGGTATTATTAGACAATCACTAGCTTTTGTTCATTAAGATTAGAACTACATTAACGTCCCATTGTTAATCGTCCGCTTTTTTTATTTCTCTCCTCTTTCGACTGAACTGTGTTAGCAGAAAACGCAAATGTACGTTACTTCCGCAAATGCGCGTAGTCTGTGTAATATAAGTAAAATTATACTATTTTTAAGATTTTCTGTACCTGTTATTGCAGGTTAAATCCACATATCTGTTGTCTTCTGCTGTAGCGTTTAGTCTGTCCCCTTCTCCTTTTCTCTTTTGTTGACGTTCATAACGCACACGCCCACATGTGAACGTCACTGGCAACCAGGCAGCAACCAATCAAAAGCTTGAGTTCCAGAATAGCAATCGCCTCCTTTCGTTACGAATTCAAGCCTACACCTAATGCCCTAAACATAGTTTTTTGTTGTCGTTTTGTCTTAATGTCTACCATTATCGTCCAGAACTTGGTACTTGAAATCGAAAACCTATCTTCAATCCACCGATAAATTCCAATGTATTCAAAACATACAGCCCGTCTATCATAGAAGACGAGCCCCCTTTGACTGATGTTTCCGTGACCCAATCAGCGAGACGCAGTGTGGGACGTTCAAATAGTCCGCCCAAAATGGGACGCTTTGATTGGCTGATGGCTGTACAGAGTCTCGGTCCTGATGCAATCTTAGCATTACGTAGTGCCTTTTGACTGTCTTTTTTTGTCTTCAACAAAACTGTATGATGAATGTCAGAAATAACGTCTGTGAATGTTGAAAATGGTTTGCAGTCTAGCTGTGGGCTTGATGCAGATGCTAACCACATAGGGATATAGAGCTAGTTGTAGTCTTACAAAACATAGATCCCTGGGTTATACCATAGTCAAAGTTACAGAAAAAGCCAACATAAACAGCAAGCAAATCTTAACTCGACTGGTTAATTTGGCTTACAGAAAATTACCGGAGAATGACATAGAAATGATTATTGCAACGTTATATGTGCCGTAAATGTGGATTCCTTTGGGTGGGTGGGTCTGCAAATGTATTTTTATTTAAAGCAGAGTTGAGTTTACTTGCAATGAAATGTGCTATATGAAGACATTTGCCTTGTCTTGTCATTTGAGGTATGCCTAACTCTTGTTATCTTAATAAGTAGACCTACATTTTAAGAGGATCCATAATTTTTTGTGGAAGTAGAAAACAATTTATCATCGAAGATGTCCTGAGTACAACAGGCTGACTACAAATATACAATTGAGTCCCATTGAAAGTACCTAAAGAAACAGATAATGGGAATATTCCACAAGCTCTGGTCTGTTTGTCCCCCGTCCTTCCTGGAGGTGGGCGGGACCTGAGTGCATTCTCCCTTCCTCCCCAGTCCCCTCTCGGAAGTAGACGTATCTGTCTATCCCCTTCTTTTATTTTTATATATTTTTTACATAACCCCCTTTCCCCAACACAGCACCATGGACGACTGAACCGAAGAACGGGTCACCGATTTCACCCCTTAATTTATCCTGGAGTTAAGAGGACCGGATGAAATCCAGCTGTGGTTTTCTCCGCTTCGCAGGGGAGGTAAGGCTTGGGACTCCGTCTACTTACTGGGTCTGAGTCAGCCATTTAAATGTCCCTGCACTGTAGTTAGCGCAGTGTTCGCGTAAACACACTGAACTCCTTTTACATGACACCATCCGAGGATAGTGACCAACGTTTTCAACGTGTAACGTTATGTGATAGACAAGTATGAATTTGTGCTCTACTTTATGTCAACAGACGTTAGCGAGTTGTTAGCGACGTCTTAGAGACGCTAGGTAACGTTAAGCTGTCAAATTAGCTCCGTTCCAGGGAATAGTCTATTCCGGGAAATAACTGAAAGAAATGTTTGGTAATGCACCTGCTTCCGAAAGCCCGGTGATTCCCAGAGAATGGGACCTCCCTTGGAGGTTCAAGGTAAAGTTAATTCCCGACAAAATTAGAAGTAACGTTAGTTAGTTAGATTTCACTTGGTCACTTAAGACTGTCACTGACTTGGCTAACGGTACAGTTAGCTAGATACAAAGCTATCTATAGGTTAGTGAACTTATTAAACTAAAGATAGGCTATTTTATAACGTTATGCTAAATAAGGATAACGTTACAGCAAGATAAATGGGTTACTTTTTGGGGTTGCTTGAACAAATTGTGAACTGTTAAATGAACTGATTCTGCAGTGAACTTGATAAACAGACATGACCACAAGCCTTTTTCTGACAGTGTTGTCAGTACGCTTTGCATAACCATGAACAACAGGGCAGGAAAGAAGAAAAGCATATTTATTATTTTTCATAATTTACTGTAGGGATAGAGGATTTAGATTAATTTCCTGTAGTATATGTAATTTATACTGTAACTTCAGTATCGAATGACGCAATAGTCCCAGATAAATCACAAAGATAATAACCACTGGGAAAATAAAATCAGACTGTTGACGCTCCCTGTAAGTATAAAATAACAGCGTGAGAGGGAAAAGTTACTCTATGTCTTACTGGGCACAACTTGTAAGCATAATGAGGGGCTGCAAATAGCTATGTATTCATTTTTAGGGGTCACAAGTCAGAAATGTTGGGGACCACACTGCCATTGATCACCACTTAGCTAACGCTGGGCTGTATTTGCCACCTCCAATATTGTCATAAAAATGGGTGAGGATGACTAGGACGTGTTTAATAAGTTACTCAGTTAAAATCAGTTATTCAGTCTTTGGTTCTGTCACACCTAGAATACTGCCCTTTAAACTGGCCATCAGCAACAGAATCTGGCCTAAAGATGCAGGTTGTTCTAAATAAAGCTGCTCGTCTGGCACTTGGCTCTACATACGTTAACTACATGCATGTACATCTGGCAGGGCTGATGGTTGAATGGAAAATCTCTTTGCATCTCCTAATGCTATTGCGAAGCCTCATTAGTACCAACCACCTGTCCAGCTTGGCTCACCAGATACATGTGGCCCCTCTGGGCATGGTTATAGCACAAGAGTTGCAGCCTCTCCAAGAACCATTTTTTTCGTAAAGTCACCATCACAAACGGGTCAATAGAACTCTGGATTTCTCTGCCTGAAGACGTCATATCTACTACCAATAACAAAATAACTTTCAAAACACATACACAGAAATATCTTGCCAAGTAACAGGATAGGCACATACCCCCACATGTATATGTTTGTTTGTTATGATATGTATTGTGTTTCAATGTTAAGGACCCCAGGAAGAATAGAATAAACGATAAACAAGAAGTGAGAACACTGAATTTACGGTTGACAGAATCTTTAAACCTAAGTCTGAACTAATGATACCAAATGTGTCCTAAAGTGATGTCAACCAGCACTGTCACGTCATGGTTGTTTGTCTGAAGTATAAACCAAGCTCACCAGTTTTTGATAGATAGGTGATTTGGAGTATGTGGTGGTCTGATGTGCTTTGTTCCTGTGTGCAGGTAGCTGTATCCAGTGGGGAGGTAGGCTTAACCAGGGAAGGAAAGAATGAAGTTCTTCGAACCCTGGGGACGCCAGAGGCTGTCTTTTCTTTTAGAAAAGGCTGCCTCTAGGGAAGCCAAGATGTGGAGGGTCTATGTGCCAAAGAAGCCCTCCTCACAGGTGAGGATTTACCTCTGGCTATATGGTACGCCGTGGTTTACTTGTAGTGTAGTAGAGAACCTCCTCCTACGCATTTCCGGCTCAAGAGTACATACCATCTCTTCCAATGCCTTCTCTTGTTTCTGCATTTTAGTAATTGATAAAATAAGTAATTAAAAGTAATAAAAGTAACTGCTGTTCAACATTGATCAGCTCCAACTCAGCATGATACGCTCAGTTTCTGTCACCATTGTTTATAGTAGCCTACACCAACAGTGGCTAAACTCAACATAGAGGAACATAGAAACCCAACTGCCAGTTAGCATTTTGGCAGTGTAATTGCAGAGCGACACACACACTAAAGCACAAGTATAAATGTTCACGACGGCACGTACGTGCCTCGATGCAGAAATAAATTGCCCTTTACTGTAACCCAGAACCCTACTGAACATCACATGCTAGGATACAAGCTATAATTTGAAGAATAGGACTGGCAGATCTAAGGCATATTATTTATCACACTGTCAACAGATGATGTTCCATTTGCAACTTTAATTACAACATACAAGAAATGTATCAAAATCTTAAGTATAAATGCAGTGGAAATCGCTTATAGTGATCATGTCTGTCCAGGTCAAAGTGAACACGATAAGCAGCTGTTTTTTCTTCTTCTTTTTTCCCCCCTGTATATTACAATCTAATTGACATTTTTATACATGAGTATAAAATAATGAAGCAGACAGCTGTGCTATTTACTGATTTAAATGTGGCCCTCTCATGCTTCAAGCCCTGCCTGTATGGTCCGGGTGAAAGCGTTACTCTCCATTCACCTGACCTACCTGCTGCAGAGGAAGAGCGGGGGTGATATTTACGCACTGTAAAAGTATCAAAACGCCAGCAGAGTACAAACGGGAGGGCAAAATACCTCACTGAGCCACAGTGGTGTGAGTATAGTAGAGGAAGAGATTACATGGAACACTATCACCATGATCACTATAAGCAAGTGACTCCTGGTGACACCGCTTGTTTTTAACCAGAAACAGAAGTCTCGCTCAAGGACAATTCTCGCTCTGAAATCTCGTGAGAGGCGAGTTGAAAAGCCGGGTGGAGACGAGAGAGAGGAGTTTGTTGTGTACGTAGAGGAACTGCTAGCAAGGCTTTATTTCCTAACGTTACTCCAACACAACAAACTCCTCTCCAACTCTGACTCACGTTTCCACCATCGTCTTCGTGCAACAGCTCACCTCTCACAAGATTTCAGACTGAGAATTGTCCTTTCTCTTTCTTATGCGTTTTCATATTTTCTGGCATTTCTATAATGTTACGTTGTCAGATGTTAAACATGGCCAAAGCTTCAAATAATAAGGTGTGAGTATTTAAAAGAAATCCCTGTGAGGCCAAAACCTCAGATATACCCCTGTTCTGAATGCTCTGTTTTAAACTGTTTTTTTTCTACTAACGGCTCGGTATGATATCATTCCAAGACGGATTTCCATATATGGTTATTTGCTTGAAGCCATCTACTGCACGGATTCCAAAATGTTGTGTACCTACTGGTCAATTCCACATTAAAATATGTAAAAATAGGGCCCAGGTTTCAATATTTACCAGTGGCCATTCCTCCATTAGTTAGTAGAGTTGGGGGGGGGGGGACTATCTCATGGTTCATTTGAAGGGGAAACTAACCAAGAATTAAATACACAACTCTATATAAATAATAAGTTGTATCAACATTATGTATTCCTCACTGACACCAAGATGTGTGTTTGTTCTAATTACAAAATAAAAACCAGTACAATTTTAAGTACAAAAAAACCCCCTGATTGGTGCATTCCAAAGAAGTACAACAGTTTCCTCATATCTTGCATTATTACCGTCTACAGTGGTAGACAATAATGAAGTTGTTCATATTTTTTAGCCTGCATCTATCCTGCATTAGTACTGTAGTATTTTCCTGGAACATTTCCTGTGTGGGGCTCCCCCAGCGTCCCATGAAGTTGGGATTGTATCGTCATCTAATCAAGCATATTGTGCTCATTTAGCTAATTGGATTGACAGTTGGTTATTCTATCTGTACAGAGAAACTGCAGCGCTGCAGTTAAACCAATGGAAAACAGTAACTTATATAAAGTGGAATATCCAGATAATAAACGTCATATTTAGGGGTTGCATAAGCTGTGAATGTTTGTCATCAGTACAACAGTAATGTATTTCCAAGAAATATGTGTTAAATGTTCATGATGGTGCTTTAATTCCTATTCTTTTCTTTCTCCACTCATGTTATTTTTTTAAAATGCCTAATTTGTCCCTCCGCTGTTCGTGACACCTTTGCAGCTTACCTGCACTTTGTTGTCCACATTCACAGCTGATCTAAAGGTTTAGCTATGCAAATTTAATGGAATTAGCAGAGGGGGTAATCTCTGACTCTTAATCTGAGTCACTGCAGCACGTTCATGTCTCTGCCAAATAAATCAGGCCAACACCACACAATCGACCTCCTGTTGTTGTTGTTCTGTTGTTGTCTGGTTATGGACCCCAGAGTGCAGCCAGGTTAGCTAAGCAGGGAAACCACTGTTCTCTATGTAAGCACAACTTTTTGTGTTTTTCCCCCCAATGTTCTTTACTTCACTGGGCTAATCTAGGGGAACAGAACATTTCACATCCTCAAATTCAAGCATATCCTGCTTGAACTGTCTCAGAAACCGCTGTTGATGTGGGCCAATAAAGCCTAATGAGTCATTGCATATGATATTGAGATATTCAAATAAACCCCACTTTATATAAATAATAACAAACACTTCTTTGTCAAGGCCTTGGAGCTATTTTGTGTTGATAATAAAGTTGCCATTAAAAGGCAATAAATGACAGCACTGAGAGAGTTCGGACACTTATCAGTGCCTTTGGCCAGGTCAAAAAAAATTCTTCCGCTGATACCTTGTCTCTGAACAACTTCCTCCTTTTGAAGTGAGGAAGTGTACTGTAATGTGTAATGTAATTTTTTTCTTGTTAAAATGGATTTTACAAAATTTGGTTTGAAAAATGGTTTCATTCAGAAACCATTATCAAAGTCAAGGTATTGGTACCTGCACAGATCAGATCAGTCTAAATTTTTTGAACGATTCCCTGCCCTACGGACAGAGTGGTGTAACCTCTATAGAATTTGTTCTCCTTATCAAAGGTTTGTGCAGCAACTGACACCCTGCAGTCTGTTCATGTATGTCTTGAACTGAAGAGACTAGGACTGAGAAGTTACTGCAGTATCTAATATGGGGTTGTTTTACTACAGTACAAAGTCAGTCTATATTAATTTGTTAACATTTACATAACAAAGCTGACTTGTATCTGTCACCTGTTATACCCAGGTCAGACAACACATGTTGTCCTGGTCCCTTCTTTACAGTATATCATGCAGTATATTTTGCTGTGAAAAGGAAAAGTCAGCTGTAGAATTATTCCAGTTGTCAGATGGTTCACAAATGTAATTCCTGGAATATTTTTGTATCAGGTTTGGTCTGGTTGTTGAGCTGAGTTAAGAAGATCCTGTTTGTTCATTTAGTGGAAGTATGTCAGTCACAAAAGCCTCCAGTACATCCTGCCTGGCCTTGTTTGGCCCTGTAGTGGAAACCAGGCCAAGTGCGTCTCTGAAATAGCATTGCTGTCTTAAAGAGCTGTGTGTTTCCTTATGTCCAGTGTTGGCTAGTAACGCGTTACTGTAATAATATTACTTTTCCCAGTTACTAAGTAGTGTAACTAATTACTTTTCTAAAACAGTAATACTATTACTAGTTACTAAGGCAAGTAACGCTGTAAATCCACGACTGTGTGACAGCTCTGTGGAACCAGACTTTGTTGTTCATGTCCGCTGATAGCCAAACACTAAAGGAAGAACGGAGAACGAGGGAGAGAGGCGTTCTCTCCACAGCTGTAAGTAGCTGCTGCCATTATTGTGTAACAGTCTAAGATGGAAAGAACATTGTTGTCTAATGTTAACTCATCAGGAGAGAGTGGCTTTAACGCAGCGTTTTGTAACTGCTGAATACTGCTCTGATAAACAGGCTACATGTGCAGTAAAACAGCTGTTTAAAAGTCGGGATTTACTTGCTTTATTTTTTTATTTCAGCCGCTGGTGATAAGAAGCATAAGGCCTAGGCTATATGCTTTGTAAAAACCACACTCCTTGCTGCTGTTATGACTATGATAGGCCTATTCTCTCTCTCTCTCTCTCTCTCTCTCTCTCTCTCTCTCTCTCTCTCTCTCTCTCTCTCTCTCTCTCTCTCTCTCTCTCTCTCTCTCTCTCTCTCTCTCTCTCTCTCTCTCTCTCTCTCTCTCGTGAACACCGCTGCACAAACCTGTCCAAAGTTAGAATCCCCCCCCCGTCATTCTGTGGGAAACACTGAAAAGTAATATAGTAACGTAACTAGTTACTTTTATCACCCAGTAATAAGTAAAGTGATATTACTTTTTTAAGGAGTAATAAGTAACTAGTAATATATTACAATTTCTGAATAACTTGCCCAACACTGCTTAACCTTGCCGTCATTTTAACGCTCCATCAAAGGCTTCTGCCTCATTTTTCACAAGTAAGACGGAGGATAGATACGTGTGATGGCATCTTTTATTGTCACCACGAGGAAACGGGTACAGGAATACAAGTTCCAGTGGTCGGTACAAACATCCCTCAGGCCTGCTGAGATGAGGCTGTTAACCTTGTTGCTTGTTGCAGGATACAGACATCACCCCGGCACAGCGGGACGAGGCCGTGCGCTGGCTGACGGAGCTCCACAGCAGACTGCAGCTGTACCCAGAGACCCTGGTTTTAGCTGTTAGTATCCTGGACCGCTTCCTCGCTCCCATCAAGGTAAATAAAACCCACCCACAGATTTTTGTTGCTGAGTGTTAGCAGGACTATCAAATGGAGCCGCTTTTATTGAAAAATATTAACTCGATCTCTGCTTTTAAGTAAAAAAACTCCTTAAAATCATGAACATAATTATATTATATATAATTACAATATAATTAAAATATGTCTAATATTTGAATTATAATAATAATCCCCAAGATTTTATAGTTTATACTACTGCTATTACTGTCACTACTAATTCATCGCTACCAAAAACCTTTTAATACATTTTTGAAGACGCTTTATTTAAGGTACAAGTACATTCTGTCAAATTCCATTTCTTTGCTAGAGTTTGTGAATTACAATAGTAACCATGATAGAGGATCTTTTTCATATCTCTTACTCCTATGACGCGTCCGTGTCAACCAGGTCATTGGAGACACTGTTTCATTGTGAACCATGGAAATGGAAATGCTGCCTTTAACAACTATATTTGTTTAAATGTGATCAGATAAGCCATGAAATGTAGAGTTGTGATCATGCAGGGTTTGGGTGTGGGATGCTAGGTAAAAGCTCCTCAGGAAGAGAAACTAAAGGGAACAGGATGTGTCATCTTCAAAATGTTCTGTCCTGTCAGGCCAGGATGACGTCTCACACCACCGGCAGGAAGTTAGTGTTTGTAGCTGAGGAATAAAATTGTCCAGGTTTATCAGGAGCTGGACTGTGTATTTCAGACTAAGTGTGTGTTTGTGTGGGAGCAGTGCTCCTAAGCATTTGAGTTTCTTACATCCATTTTATTTTGTGATCTGAAGTGCCTGATTATTAAACACTGATACTGTTAAAGTAGAGAACAGACAACTGACTCATGCTTTCTATTTTTTCTCTACCACAAAAATGATGATTGATGTTTGAAATAGTCTGATTCAAGTTGCATTGTAGGCATTTTTGCTAACCAGTGCTTGAATAAAAGTTAGCAACTTTATTTCTAAAAAGCAACTAAGAGGGTCTGAAAAGTGTGTGTGTGGAGCCCTGCCCAAAGTGAAGTCACACAGAGAGCAGATGAGGAGAGGAAGAAGCAGCGCGACCAGAAATGACAGCAAAACGTGTCCCTATCTGTTTATTCTGGCATCATGTTGCTTAAAATGTTTGTGACGTTCTTATGTAAAAACACACATGTAACCACAACGGGCAATACTGAGGTCAGCAAAATACCATACAATACAGTGCCATAAGTTGATAACGAAATAATTGTGACAGGACTAATGCCGATACTTTTTGTTTGCTGACGCACAACGATAAAAACGCTGTTTAATTGGAAGTGTGTCATCAACATCAATGTCATGCTCAATGATGTGTGTACGTGATGGCGTGTCATTAAACAAGACTAGACGTATTAATCAACTGGACAAGCTCAGACTGCTGCATACAACAGGATCAATCAGGCGCTGTAACGCAAATGTAAAGCAGGAACAACATGAGGACCTGAAGACAGAATCATCCATGAGTGAACATTTGCTTTGAGTCATGGAGTCAAAAGCATCAACAGAGTCACGAGCATAATATAGCTAAGCAAATTCACATGACACAACTGAGATGATGTTCTCAGGTTTGGGAAAGCAACTAAATAGTTGGTTCAAAACGAAAGTGTAGGTGTAGCTAATAACTTTTACAATGGCTGAGTTCCAGTAAGTGTCCCACTTTGCCGTGTCCCTCGGTGAGAATGCAAAATACAAGAACCTGGGATTGGCTAACATAAATGGAGTGCAGCAGTGCTTTTCCTGGGATGACATATTAAAATGTCTTCTCTGAAAAAAGTATGAATCTGAGTTTATACATGGCCGCACATTCCTGAAAAGTGAAAACACCTGTGTGGGAAGACGGTGTCCTGAGCAACAGAGTGGTCTCTGATCTGCCGGCCACAATTCAAGTTCTACACAAAAAACAATATAATAGTTACATTATATATGTTGTCAGCTGATGTTAGGGTGACTCCAGCACACTGGTGTACAACTGACTGTAAAAATTTCAATGACTTACTGATGATATTATTTGTCTTCAGGCTCGTCCAAAGTACCTGCGCTGCATCGCCATCACCTGCTTTTTTCTGGCTGCTAAGACCTGTGAGGAGGACGAGGTGAACACAAACACCACGACACACATGTAGAAATACACACATAATCAGACAGACACTGAGGCTAGAGCCACATGATTACGTTTTTCTCTTAAAACATAACTTTTGCTGCCTTTTACACCTGGCTTCCGCACTATTTTGGTGATTTCGAACCCCTAAAACCCCTTTTGAAAATTCTACTGACTCCGTTTTAGTTTTAAAACTGAAAGCTTTTAAAACAAAAACGTATTGGTGTGGAAGTAGCTTTAGGTGCAAAAAAAAAGAGCATGGAAAGTAACAGTTCTTGTAATTGTGTGTGTGTGTGTGTGTGGCTCAGTGTGTGCCTTCTCTGAAGGACTTGGCTTCCTCTAGCAGCTGTGGCTGTTCTCCGTCAGAGATCCTGAGGATGGAGAGGATCATTCTGGACAAACTCAACTGGGATCTGCACACGGCCACAGCACTGGATTTCCTGCACATCGTACGTCTGTCACACACACCCTTGCTTTATCTGGCATAATCTGAGCTCCATTGGCTTATTTGTTAAATCCTCATTGAACACTTCCCACATTCTGAAGGACTGTCCTCAATGAATTATTGATCACTGTTAGTCACTGTGGATCTGATCCATCCAGATGGTATTCAGTTTGTGTTTGTAGATTTCTCATCAGTGCAGCTAGCGGTACCTGGTGGCAAAAAGACGTTACTGCCTGCCTTACTACAGATCCTGCTGGATGATTTTTCTTTGTTTCACCTCCTGCAGTTTATTTAACTTAAATATGTTTTGCTCAAATCTGTTACATCTTTACTTTACTTTTTTTAATAATGGTTATCTTGATTTTCGCTTAGTGGTGACATTACACAGGTCAGTGTTATTGCATATCAATATAAACATAGTGAATAACAATTACAAATGCACTATTTTGTATCTTCCCTTCCTTCCCAGCACCACTTCCCCACATTCACCCATCCGATATTGTCTATAAATAATGGGCTACACAAGTAAGTTATATGTAACATGTGAAAATAGAGAAGAGCAGTAACAAACAAAGCTGAAACAAAGAAGAGATGATAATCCACAAACATCATGTTTCTCTATTTGTACATCACATTCAAGATTCCGTTTTTACTGATTTAGCACCACATCACTTAACATCTTACATTCCATTTATCCATCCCGAGTCTCTCCTACCTAAGCAAGCTCATCGTTCAAATTTCCATTTTCAAAATAATCTATAAATTGTCCCCACACTATTTGAAAAAAGTAATTTTTTGCGTTTGAGGATATGTTATCTTTTTCATTGAAAGACAGCAGGACATTTTCTTTCAGCCACTAACCTATTTGAGGACTGAGAGGGCAATTAGATGTTTGCAGTAAGCACATATGGAGAAGAATTTGTTTACTTCTCTGTATATATGTGGTGGATGGTGCACTCCCAATATAAAAACATTTTGATCAAGGGGTAACTTGAGAGCTAAAATCTTAACAATAGAATTGTTCATTTCTCCCAAAATAAACTTGTTTCAGCACAGTCCCAGAGACAGTGGACTAAAGTCGCCCTTTTCTGATTACACTTGATGCATGTATCTGGATGATTGCTATCAAATGTTATGCAATTTAACTGGAGTAATCTAAGTACACATTAGCAAGTGACATTGCTAACAACATGTGTCTAATAGTAGCAGATTGGGTTTGGGTTTTAATACAAGCATCCTGCCATTTATCAAATGTAATCTCTACTCAAAAATCCTCCCTCCAGGCATTTAACCTCAGATAAACTTTGCCATAACAGTTTTTCTCTAAAGCAAAAAAAGATGGCCTGATGTCATCATCCATCCCAATGTTTCATTGTAGACATCGTCCGATGGCAATTTTGTAATAATAAATAAATAACAAATAAAAATGGAGATAAAGATCAGCCTCTAAATATTGTGATGTGCTCTGAAATATTATTGTTGGTAAGACTCTCAGCAGTAAAGCTTATATTAAGTATTAGTAGTATACACAGTACTGTGCCAAAGTTTTATGCAGGTCTTGAAATATTTTCTTAAGTAAGAAGTCTTTCAAAAATAGATTAGTTAGTGAAGAGAAGAAAAACTCTAAATCAAAATCAATATTTGGTTGATTTTTAAATTGAAAAAAAGCCCAAAGTCCATCCCACAGAAAGCTCGTTTGTAGCCTTTTCCCTTTCATCCCTGTGACGACACAACAAAACACGCGTCATAATGCTCGCAAAGCGTCTAGGCAGACACGCCCTCAAAAACACACTGTGCTGCTGCACACCTCTCCTCTCCCTTCCAAACACCAGCTACCCTCCAGGCAGTCAATGGACAAAGTTGTTACTGTGATGTAGAGACAGAGCTCAGTTAAAACTTTATGGATGAAAGAAACTTTTGTTACAGATTAAGCTGGTAAGGGGAACATATAAAGCGTGTTTACCGGCTTCTCACAGTTCTCACTGACCTGCCCTACTCTGCTTCTGATTGGCTATTAGTCCTTAACTAGGAACTGCGCATTTGCAACTCCTAACAAACATCATCCGTCCATAGCTAAAACCAAATGTTCAACACACAGGGTGAAAAGAGGAACTGCAGCAATGTGCAGTATGACAAAAATAAAGGTGTTTTTGTAAATTAAACCCTGTAAACCTGTTCTGGTACAACCCCTAAATAAGATTTTGAACCTGAAAATGAATACTACCTCTTTAAAAAATTCTTCATCATCATCAAATATTTGAAATAGAATATGCTCGTAATGATGATTGTTTTTCTCCAACCCCGCCTCCTCTTCTGCTTCTCCCTTAGTTCCATGCGATGGTGTTGTCATGTCGTTCTGGGTTTTTGGACTTCATGTTGGGACTGAACCGCTCTGAGCACCTCACCATGCTCACACGGCGCCTATACCACTGTCTGGCTGACCACATACTCATACAGGTACACACACCCATATACACTCACCTGCCAATTTATTAGGTACACATTGCTGGTACCGGGTTGGACAACCTTTTACCTTCAGAACTGCTTAATTCTTCGTGGCATACTTTCAACAAGGTCCATATTTCAACTTTGGTCCATATTGACATGATAGCATCCCGCAGTTGCTGCAGATTTGTCAGCTGCACATCCATGATGTGAATCTCCCGTTCCACCACATCCCAAAGGGCTCTATTGGATTGAGATCTGGTGACTGTGGAGGCCCCTGGAGTACAGTGAACTCATTGTCATGTTCAAGAAACCACGTTGAGATGATCTGAGCTTTGTGACATGGTGCATTATCCTGCTGGAAGTAGCCATCAGAGGATGATACACTGTGGTCATAAAGGGATGGACATGGTCAGCAACGAGACTCAGGGAGGCTGTCGCATTTAAATGATGCTCAGTTGGTACTGAGGGGCCCAAAGTGTGCCAAGAAAATATCCCCCACACCATTAGCCCACCACCACCAGCCTGAACCGTTGATACAAGGCAGGATGGATCCATGCTTTCATGTTGTTTATGCCAGATTCTGACATCTGAATGTCGCAGTTTTTCCAGTCTTCTTTTGTCCAGTGTTAGTGAGCCTGTGTGAATTGTAGCCTCAGTTTCCTGTTCTTAGCTGACAGGAGTGGCACCCGGTGTGGACCTCTGCTGCTGTAGCCCATCTGCTTCAAGGTTTGACGTGTTGTGCGTTCAGAGATGGTATTCTGCATACCTTAGTTGTAACGAGTGTTTTTTTGAGTTACTGTTGCCTTTCTGTCATCTTGAAACCAGTCTGCTCATTCTCCTCTGACATCAACAAGGCATTTTTTTTGTCCACACAACTGCCGCTTACTGGATATTTTCTCTTTTTCCGACCGTTCTCTGTAAACCCTGGAGATGGTTGTGCGTGAAAATCACAGTAGATCAGCAGTTTTTGAAATACTCAGACCAGTATGTCTGGCACCAACAACAACACCACATTCAAAGTCACTTAAATCCCCTTTCTTCTTCACTCTGATGCTCAGTTTGAACTTCAGCAAGTTGTCTTGACCACGTCTACATGCCTAAATGCATTGAGTTGCTGACATGTGATTGGCTGATTAGCTATTTGTGTTAACGAGCAGTTGAACAGGTGTACCTACTATAGTGGCCTGGGAGTGTACACTGTCATTTTGCACCATAGATTTATCTGCCGCTCTCTAGTTACGTAACAGAGCTGTAAAGCACATTCTGTTTTCTCAACTCAAGATGGAGGCTAATCACCGTCTGAGGCTCAGGTTTTCATGCATGTGGACATTTGACCTGCATGAACAATGAACAGGTTCAAGGGTTCATTTAATGTATAAAAAAATGTTTGTAGGGTGAACAGGCTGTGGCTGGGTGGGTCCTGTCCTTTAGTAAACTTTGGGCTCTGCGTAGGCACCTCACCTCACAGATATCACTGATGCTCGGGAGATGGGTAACAATGACCAGTTTTAGTCACCCGCTGCAGAGCCCTCCGGTCCTGGGCCGTGCACATCCCATGCCAGTTTGTGATGTTTTCAGTCAGGATGCTTTCTATTGCTTCTCTGTAAAAGCTGACAAGAACTTGGCACAGGAATTTTGGTCTCACAAGTTTCCTTTAAAAAAAACAGCCAATGATGTTGGTGTCGTCCGCAAACTTCACAACTCCATGTCAGGGTGTACAGCGGGAACAGGAGGGGACTGAGCACTAGAGTGGAGGAGGTGTGTCCACCCTTCCAAACTGTCCAATATTTAGTGAGGTACTGAAATCAACACATCACATTCTGATGTAGGTGTTGTTATTTTCAAGGTGTGACACACTGAGTTGGGGCTTCAGAAATTACAAAAATATTGCACATGGCCATATTGCAGTTTTGATTTCAATTAATTGTTCTGGCCCACACTGAGTGGAAGGCAGTGGAGATGGCATCCTCTGTGGATCTGATGTTTCTGTTGTGAGGGTCCAGGCTGGCTGGGATGTTGTTCTTTATGTGCTGGAGAACCAGTTTCTCAAAGCACTTCATCAGAACAGGGGTGAGTGCCACAGGGCAGGAGTCAGACTAGACACTGCAGACTTTTAGGTGCAGGAAAAATGATGGCTGTCTCTCCTGTGTAATTTTATTGGTCACATTATGTTACCATATGATCAGCAGTAAGCCAGATATGATTGTTTGTCCCTCATGTGTTTCTGTAGCTCAGAGGATCCATGCTGGCCTTGGCCCTCATCACCTTGGAGCTGGAGACCTGTTGTCCTGACTGGCTGGCTCTCACCATCAACCTGCTGAGGAAGGCACAGGTACAAGACTGACTCTATTTCATTATTGGGTACAACTTGTGGCCAATCAGAAGCTCTAAATGTTCAGTGTGGAATATGTGACCAAAACAAATAGAAGTGTTGGAAGAGAAGCGGCAGAAAGCTCAGGTTGAGCTTCTGTGAAGAACCAGATCAACAAGCAAAGAGGAAACTCCTGATAAGTTTAATTCAGTTCCTCAAAATGGATCAACATCTGTCATCTGTAGACAAAAAACAGAAGAGCACCGATGTCAAAATTCTAACTAAAACAAAATTCAAACTGCACTAAAAATACATTTTAGATGAAATATTACAACATCTTCACTCCTTGTTAGCCAGCAGACTTTATCATCTCAGGTGCAATTGTTTTTCTATGAGAGGCTCTGGAAGAGAAGAAGACAAACAGACAGAAACGCAAAGGAAAACAAACTGTCGTCAGAGATCACTAAACATGTAGTCTGATGTAGCAGGAGGGAGAGGTGGCATTTGGAAACGCTGTAGGAGAGCAAGCGCAGAGGAACTGATGTGAATACTTTAACATTAGAGAGCAAAAACGGACCTAAAGAGCTTCTCTTTTTAGAGACTCGCCCCTGACCAGGAGTCAATCTGGTTGATTGTCTCTGCAGCTGCTGTTTCCTGGTTTAACTCCTCCCCCTCTCCGTTTGCCATCACAGCCTTTTAAAATGGCTGTAAGTCAATAAGCTCATTGTCCCTGACTCTGTTTGAGCAAGGCAGTGAGTGTCAGCAGGAGACAACAGCAGTCTAACATACTGACATTATCAGTCACACAGCTCGTAAACTAGTCAAATAAAACTGTCAGACTTATCATTGGATACTTTTGTTTTATTCTGTAGGACATCTTAAATCTTTATTTAATGTTTATTTTTTATCCTCATATTTTACTGTCCTTGTTTTAATGCTTTTCTGTAAAGAAATGAATGAACTGTACTTTAAAATGAATAATGGCCATTCATCATTTTGACTCCTTAACCAGTCTGTCCAGAGAAACAATATACAACAAATAATGTTCAGGTTGCCACAATTACTGATCATGCACCACAGAAGAAAATTGTAAATTATATAATTACATAACATTTAAGGCGAAATAAAGGTAAATTATTTAAGCAAAAATAATGAACTTAGTTTATTGCATATTTGTTATATAATTTAATTACTACAGTTAAATCTACTTTTGGCCAGTTTATTAATGTTGTTTTCATGATGCATGATGCTGACCAATGTTATCCAGCTGAAATGTTTCTGTTAATTCTCATCGGCTAATCATCAGAATGTTGTTTGATCTTCCAACATGTCCTGTAATGAACACTGTTGCCTGTAGGGGATATGTCTTTCTTACAGCTCCCTCTGCTTCCACCTGTGTGTCTCCTTTGTTCTTCTCTCCTCCTCCTCCTCCTCCTCCTCCTCCTCCCTCTCTCTTAGATCGACAGTTCCGAGTTGATCCGGAGTCGAGAGCTTGTGGCTCGTAGTCTGTCCACACTGAGAGCTTCCCTGCCTCCAAACACTGTCTACATCTACCAACCCTTGCAGAACCAAAACACCCTGCAGCCTCCTGCACAGGACCCCACTCTCCCCTGCCGCACACTGGGTATGTGTTAAAGGGGAACCTCACTGCGTTACACATCATAGTCTGTTACAGGTCTTGGATTAACTGTGTGAAAGTTGTATAAAGCCTTTTGGGGCTTCAGAGGGTTGTGGAGTTTGAAAGAAGTGAGCGTATCAGACCCCAGTAGACCGCTCATCATCTCTGCCTAAGGTTAGTGGCACAAGGCTACATTAGCAGCTACCAGCATAATGTACCAGCGTCTGGCCAAAATGCATCGTGGGTATTGTAGGTACTTCGACAAGGAAGAAGATTGTGTGGAATCTGTGTTAATTGTTTTAGTTCTGACTTTAACTTGAACTTTTGATAGTTCATCCAGAAAGGTATTAAAAGTACTTCTGTGACTTTTTTCTTTCCAGGGACCATCACCTCCACCAACGAGTCTTCTAAGGAGCACGCCCTCGCCCCTGTCCAGCAAGATCTGACACCTGCTGCTGGGGTAGGGGGGAGCCATCAGCCCTGGAGCTCCGTCTTCTCCTCCTCCAGCAGCATCCCAGCTCTACTCTCCCCACCCAAACACCTCCGCCATCTGAACCAACTGCAAAAGGTCACGCTGCGCTACAAGGCCTCTGCCAAGCGCAAGGTAACACTATCTCCCTCGCTTTAAAAAAACACAAGAACTTCATGCAGGGGCGTGAGTAGGGCAGATAAAAAATAATCGTTAACTAATTGTTTGAGTTAGTTTTTAAGCTCAGGTTTCTGACATTTTATACATTTTATTTACGATAAACTGATGAGTCATGAAAGTAATCGGGAGAGTTTCTGATAATGAAAATAATAGTTATTTGCAGCCCTACAGCTGAGTCACAATCTAAGTCTGTCTGTTCAGGTGGAGGAGATGGAGGTGGACGACTTCTATGATTGCATCAAACGCCTCTACAATGAAGACATCACCACCACCGCCGTCCAGGAGGGGGCAACACCTGCAATGGGGGCAGTAACAACAGGTGGAGGAGGAGGAGGAGGAGGTCTGGGTGTTTGCAGTGTCCTGTTGTCCCTACAGGAAGGCAGCTCTTCCCCCTGCCCGCCTCTGCAGCCAGTCAGTGCCTCCTAGAGACCAAACAGGAACCTGTAAACCAAAACCACCTTCACACCTTTCAAATTAAACCTCACAGTTTAAGGATTCAAACTATATTAATTTTTTAATCAAACAGTGACATTTAGGCAGTTCTTTTGGCAACCGTGATGGATCACTCCCTCAGCAATAGGGAACAAAGTCAGGAGAAAAGGACTTTATTCAGTGTTTCCATTTAAAGGCAGCTCCTCAGGAAATGTTGCCCATCAGAGCTGCAGAAATGTCTTTTACTTCACTGCTCTTGATTAAACGTACAGTAAAAGAAGAAAATATTGACGTATAATAAAAATGAAATAGTGATACAAGTAATTTCAGTGGTTAAGGTGGTTTTGGTTTCAGTCAAACTGAACTTCAGCTGTCCTGAGGTCAGTTCCCATCATCCCCTGCAGCGAGAAAACAGAGCCCAAAAAAAATTTAACATTCAAAAACTAAACCTGCTGCTACTATCTTATTAATTCTATTTGTTGAACACAAATACAATATTACAAAAGTTAAAAAAAAATTATAGATAGAAAAGTGACCTTCAAAAAAATTTTGATTTCTCTACCCCTGTGTGTGTGTGTGTGTGTGTGTGTGTCTCTCTCTCTCTCTGTCCTGTCCTGAAAGATTTTTGAAAACGTCATCATTTGTCAACTTATATTTGTTCTTGTTTCTTTCGTGATACATATTTATGTCTTTATTCTGTCTTCTCTCTTTCTTCGCTCTGCATGTTTTCATCTCTATTTATCTTCACAGAGTCTAAATTTCAAGTTTCTGTATAGACATTGTCTGTATTGCTTGCCCAGATAGAATGAGTTATTTTTTTTGTGAAGTGCAATTTGATTGTTTATAAGATGCTAATATAAATATCCCTCTCATAAATCCCTCCCTCTTTCCCTTTCCTCTCAGCTTGTTGGCTTGACTGAATGAAAGTTTCTCAGGTTGTTTTATCCCACAAACTAAAACGGGTCTCTTTGAAGCTGCCACTGAAATCTGGTTTCCTCCTGCACGTGTCTTGGCTGGCAAATGACATTCATCATTTTACTGGTTGTCTCAAGTCACCTTGAGAGAATAGACAAATTATTAGTCACTGCAGCAGCTCTCAGTGGGTTGGAGGTAACCACAGGCTGTCAAACACTGTAGGATCTACAGTACTTGCTGTACAATCAGGGCCCTGTTCTTTAAACCTCGCTCACGTGTCCCAGGCCAACAATATGTTATCCAGCTAACTTGGTTCATTGAACGCAGAGACACCAAGGGATCCTGATTTTTTTCCCAATAACGTACATCCTCTCATCTATAACCTTAAAGAATCTTGAGAACTTGGTGTTAAGACAACAGCTCCAGTTAAATTCTATAAAACTGCATCTTGCTTGACAATAAACCTAACTTTGTTGTCCTTGTACAAAGAAAAGGCCCTGGTGAAAGTCTGACTGCATGTGGTTTCTGTGTTGAAGTAGACAGAGGGAATTAAAGTTATAGTTAATATATCCATATGTAATAAAACAACATTGAGTTATTAAAAGCATTTTAATATTAAGCTAAAAAAAAAAACTGCTTTTTTTTTAGTTGAGCGGAGCTTCACAAGGACACAAGTGACAATCTTCACTCTGATGTTCCAAAAAAAATATGTGACAGATTCTGTTTTTATGTCTTGACGTTCAGTTTAATATATTTTTATTCCTGCAAAAAGCTCTGTTGTTCCTGCTGTGGGAGCTGCTGGTGACTGCTCCAGGTCCCTGAACCGGCACCAATAAATAAAGAGATAAGAAGAATAAAAACTGCGCAGGCTCTTTGTCTTCATTGTATCACACAAACACATTCATGTTCTACATTTAATTTTTAAATAGAGTTTTTCCCAACAGAGCAAAATTTCAGTTCATGGATAAACATTACGCAGAGGTGGTCAGGGGTGAAAGGTCACAACAGGCAAGTCAACAGATCAATGAAGTGTTACAAAAGGCAGTCAGAGCTGAGGACCGCAACAGAAATGATGTTGATGTTATTTCTATTAACCAAGTAAATTCTGCTTTTTATAGTAAGCTGTAGAAAGTGAAGGGACAGAAAGGCAGGTACAGACAAGAAAAAAGTACAAGGGTAAACCAGAGTGAGAAGGAGAGTTAATATTGGACTTTCATTCATCTGATGGACAGGAGGAAAACTCCAATGGAACAATGTTGCTCTGTGGAAGCAGCTGTTCTTAAATATGTTAGCTATAACAACTTTACAAAACTATAATACTGTGTGTCAGAAGTTGTTTTCCAGCAGTTTTGTGACCAGCCTTCGCATCTCTTTACAGAAACACTTTCCCTGTTTCTTCTGTAGATTCATTATTTGTGGCTGGTTGCTATGAGGGGTGGAACATTATCAGTATTCTATTTTATTTGTCCAGAACATTCTGTGCTGCCTGTATAAACCGTGCGATAAGAGTGAATTAACGTTATTAAAGTTGAACATTTTCAGCTCACACCGTTCGCGTCGCCCAGTTCGCGTTGCCCGGTGCGAATTTGCGTTTATTCACATCTTTGCATTGAACTTGTAATGGTGCCACGCTGTTGGTCAACATCGCAGAGATCTTGTCAGGTGCTAGTGGGGCCTATGAAACACTGGCGTGCATGAATATTGTTACGTTCCACCCCTCATAGACCACTGGTTCTCAAAGTGGGGTCCCTAGCAAAGAGGGGGATCATTTATTTTCACTATAATTCCATCCATGAGTAACACAACAATAGAATGAATGACTATTTTGGTCATGGTCTCATACACTTTCTATGATAAAATATCTAAAAGCAAAAATCCTATCAGTTGGGGGTCCCTGGTCTCATTTATGTCAGTTTAGGGGTAAAATAACGTTAGATCTGTCGCATTTTCTGTCAGCTCACTCTCACTCTGTATCATCGGTGTTTATGGTTTAATAGCACCGTGCTGGGCAGGTGACAGGTGTGCTTGTAATGTTTCTGTGCTCTGTAACAGTCACAGCACTGATGTAAAGTCACACAGCTGACGGGAATTAGTGCGTCCGCCGTCGTGTCATGTTTCAGTCACTGCCAATTGGAACTTGAGCCGATAAATAGCAAATCCCCATGACTACTGCAGAGTCATTTGACCCAGAAATGAATGGCAGTTGTACCCTTTCCCGCTGAAGACAAAAGACAGACTTTAGTGAGGTGTTTTATCCAGTGAGTCTGCAGCCATGCTACAGCTCTGTATGGCAGGCCAAGCAAAAATAAGAGATTTTTTAATGTTAACACAATGACACATTACCGTGTGATCTCAGACTTCAGGTGATCTCATAATACAGACCATTGTAATGAATATAAATATAAATATTTGGAAAATAAAAAACCTTTTTGAGCATTTTTGACCAGGAGGGGGCACATTCTCACTATCATATCTCACTTGTTAAAACCTAAACAGACCTCTTGTTCAGAGATAAGGCATAGTAAATATGTCATATTACCCATTTTGTCAGAATTTACAGCCTTCCAAAGACTTTCAGGATTAGAATGAGCTTGTTATGTAGGTTAGATAGTATGTGATTTGGCTTTCCTGAGAGCAGACACTGTGCCAAAGTCCTAGGCCACCCAAAAATTCTCATTAAAGCCATTTACCTGAGAATATGTGTTTAGCCTATTAGTTAAATTTACATTTTGGTAAACACAAAGATACAAAGAAAAGTAGCTTCTTATCGATTCTTTCTAGAACCACACAGATACTGTAGTTAATATCTGTAAAACCTGCTAATAGAAATTAAGGGACATGAACCAAGGGATGTTAAAATCAATTGTGCATTACAGATGCTCCACAATGCCTGGATTGTTACGGAGTAGCCAATTATACACTTCATACCAGCCAGACTTTATTTAATGTCTGCTTTTGTGACAGTTTATATGCTGGTTTAGCAATGTGACAGACTCAAAATGGTTTACTGACAGTATGAAAAGGCTAGAACTGATGATGGGACTGACATGATTCCACTGCAAAACTGCTCAAGACTCAATGACTGGAAACAAATCATGCATTCATTTTAAAACGGTTTTAATTGGCCCAAGATTATGAAATTGGTCTGATGATGATGGCTCCTCAGCAGCAAACTTCTCTCATTATTTGACAGTAAAATCATGGGTCTGGCTATCAATCTGTTAACTTCAAGTTCATTAACTTTAAGGTCGAATGTATGTGTATTTTCTTCATTTATTTAACCAGAAATCTCCCATTGAGATGCAATGGGCCCACAGAACGCGAATGTGCCATTGACTGACAAAAACCTGATCTAAAGTCAGGAAGCATGAAGTGCTCTAAAACTTCCTGGTAGACGGCTACGTTGACCTTGGACCTCAGAAAACATAGTGGACCAACACCAGCAGATGACATGGCACCCCAAACCATCACTGACTGTGGAAACTTTACACTGGACTTCAAGCAACGTGGATTATGTGCCTCTCCTCTCTTCCTCCAGACTCTGGGACCTTGATTTCCAAAGGAAATGCAAAATTTACTTTCATCAGAGAACATAACTTTGGACCACTCAGCAGCAGTCCAGTCCTTTTTGTCTTTAGCCCAGGCGAGATGCTTCTGACACTGTGTCTTGATCACACAAGGAATGCGACAGCTGAAACCCATGTCTTTCTTGAAGCACTGACTCCAGCTGCAGTCCACTCTTTGTGAATCTGCCCCACATTTTTGAATGGGTTTTGTTTCACAATCCTCTCCAGGGTGCGGTTATCCCTATTGCTTGTACACTTTTTTTCTACCATATCTTATCCTTCCCTTCGCCTCTCTAGTAATGTGCTTGGACACAGAGCTCTGTGAACAGCCAGCCTCTTTAGCAATGACCTTCTGTGTCTTGCCCTCCTTGTGCAAGGTGTAAATGGTCGTCTTTTGGACAGCTGTCAAGTCAGCAGTCTTCCCCATGATTGTGTAGCCTACAGAACTAGACTGAGAGACCATTTAAAGGCCTTTGCAGGTGTTTTGAGTTAATTAGCTGATTAGAGTGTGGCACCAGGTGTCTTCAATATTGAACCTTTTCACAATATTCTAATTTTCTCAGATACTGATTTTGGGGTTTTCATTAGTTGTCAGTTATAATCATCAAAATTAAAAGGAATGACCACTTGAAATATATCAGTCTGTGTGGAATGAATGTATACATTATACAAGTTTCACTTTTTGAATGGAATTACTGAAACAAATCAACTTTTTGATGATATTCTAATTATATGACCAGCACCTGTAAAAGTGGGCTCATATTCATATGCTTATATGCACTTTGGGGGCTACTCGGTTATTATCAGTGTTTTTGAAGGAATGTGGCTTGTGTTTGCTACTGAAGACTGCAACCAAATCTGTTGGGTCTCCATAGTGTCAAAGCTGTTATTTGTAGTTCTCCTGTTTGGGCAGCTCAACAGTGATACAAGTTTATGTGGGCTTATGTCTTGTGTTTAAAGCTAGGTTAGGCACTTTATTTCAGAGGCATTTTAAGTTATATTTGTTGAAATTATCTTTACACCCAGACAGAAATCAATTAATCAAATGCTCTAACACAAAAATGAAAAAAGCCCTCTATCCGTCCAAATTAAATGATTGACCGGCCTACCTGCCTGTCTACCTACCTACCTATGTGCACTCTGCCCGTGCACTCACTTACATTAAAACGTGTTTTGAAGGAGTGGCTTTGGAGGGAGGTCTGGAGGGAGAGGAAGGGGTCAGTTCAATACTTTCAAAATCTCTTGCTGGTTTCTCCAAAGTTGCCTACACAAGCTTTAATGTGAGCGCTGCAGGTGACCACAAAGGATCTGTTGCGTCACCCTTCCAGCCTGGACATTCTTCACTTCACATTGTCTCAAGCTCCCTCACAGTACTGCCTCCTGTGTACGCTTATTTGCTTATCTCCCCATCTTCCTTGTTCCCTATCTTTGACTAAAATTAGCTTGACGGATCTGTGCGTGTTGCAAGATCTTAGCTGGACGGAGCTGAGGTGCCATCGTGTTAACTGGAACCTCTGGCCAGTGTTGCTGGAAGTTGTTTAAACCCTCCTGCTCAGATGCACCTTGTTTATTTTGCTTTGTCCTAGTGCCTTTCATGAGCCACTGCACTCATACACTTTGATACTCTTCCGTCATTGACCATCTCACCTTATTATATTGTTTTTGATAAATTATGTATATATATATATATATTTATTTATTTATTTATTATTATGTTTTGTGCAATATTCAATAATATGCCGTTTAGCTTTGGCAATATGTTTCATTCCAATAAAGCTTATTATTTTATATGAACAAGGAAGAGAGGCTGCAGAGTATTGTGTAACTCTATATACACTACCGGTCTAACCGGCTGTTTCAGAATGTAAACACTGCGCTTGTTCAAACAAAAACTAACCTTACCCACACAGATTTTTGTACATCTGTTGAGGAACCTCAATGACATAACCTAACACACACACACACACACACAGACATGTACAAACATGTCGTCCAGCCTGCAGCGTTTCTCCACACAGATTGAACAGGTTACCAGTTTCAAAACCACCTTTAACAGGACACAGCGGTGTAACCAGTCATGATTTGGGATGGCCCAATGGGAGCACCCCACGACTACACGTTGCTACTTGTTGCTTTGTAGTAGTATAGAATTGAGTATTTATAGGATATAATTTAGAGAATATTTTAGATCTAAGATGAAACTGAAGGGCGGGACTGAGAGAAAAACCTGTCCGCTACTTCAGCACTACGGACAGCGCCATGGATTTATCAATACATAGCCCAGTTATGCTCCTGATATTTCAGAGCCATGGCCCGGGCCACAGATTCTAACTTGTACAAACTTCAGTCAGACTAAGGATCAATGAGTCGGGCAGACTACACTAACATACTGAACTAAACAACCTCTGCTCCTGAACCTGGCAGGTTAACAAGGGGAAAGGCATCCCCTCTTAAACCGCCTACTGGGTGTAACTGCTTGGTGGATATAATGAAACAATATGTAACCGCTCATCTTCACTGCGCAATCCAGAAACCGGTCATACCCAGCCGCCAAGTTTCTGTATGTCAGGTCACTTATTGTAATTTGAATAATCACCATTTTATTTTGGAATGTGCACAATGCTACCACAGTAAGATCTTTTATGAGGCAAACGAGGAGCAATTTGCAAGCAATACAATCATGTACAACTAATTCACCACACAGTAACTCTGGAGCCACAGGGTCGGGGCAGTTGCCTATTTTTCAAAAATTATGTGTTTTCTGCATTTCAGTGTTCTCCATTCAGGAACAAGAAAAGGTGTCAATAACATATAATAGTTATATTTGTGATTTTTTTCTGCCTTTGTCTTTTATGGGGCTCCATAGAAATAAGAGAAATTGTGGAAAACCATCCATATCCATGAAAGCTGACTGCAGTGTTTCAAGACACAACACCTCCAACTGTGAAACATATTTAATATTTAATGCATAAGTAGTGGTATGAAAAATACTGTACATCTTCATTGTAGAACATCAACTTAGAGCAAACTTCAGACCAGGAGGCTAGCCTGGCTCTGCCCAAAGGTGACAAAATATGTATACCAGTGCCTCTAAAACTTACTAGTAATACATCATATCTTGTTGGTTTTAATCCCCTCAAAAAAGTGTGCAGAATCACATTTTGGTTATAAACAGAGTTATAGGAATGTGGCCGCATAGACAAAACTACGAAAACAATACCCAATTTGTAATAAACCAGACTTACGTTTTAAAAATCACCCCACCAACTTAAAACACCTCTCATTCAGTGCCAGCAAAAAGTGAAGCTTCACAAAAGTAGTGCCTACTGCAAAGTGATTTATCTAATTAAGGTAATTTGATCTCATTAATTTGATTTGAGTTTAATGTAAAAACTGATGCATGATTATGAATCGTTATGAGGGAGTACACACTGACAAAAGGTCAAATGTGTGTGACAAGTGGTGTCTCTGAAGTGTGAGTGAATCACCGCCTCAGACTGAAAGTGGTTGCCCACGCGGCTCCTACACTTACAGCGTTTGCCGTTTTTTCCCCCCCCCCATCTGACAACAACGACAGACAATCACGCTGAAAACTGACCTGCTCTGCCACATGTTTGCTAATTCACCTCTCGCCTCAAGTCATCACACGTCTCAGGATCCAGCAGTCTTTGTGATAAACCTCTTTCTTTGGCATTCGTATCCAGTGAAATTGAATGCTCGGGCACAGAAATTAGTGTTCTATAAGAGCTCTTTGTGACAACAGAAAACATAAATGTACACATGAAAAGGATTAAATTCCAGCTTGACCTGCTGTCATTCAACAGAATTTGACTACCTTGTCAGCGTGTATGACTTCAATGTGTGAACAGGAACCCACCAGAACTGAAAGCTATTTACAATTTCTCCCTTGGTCTATAGGTGTGAAGGTGCTCTTTACAGCAGTGGGAAATGTCAGTCATCGATCAGTATATGCCTGTGGACAGACAGTGGATCATATGTGGCATATCATTTGATCTTGGCCATGCTGTGGTCAGGCCCAACTCATGTTTCAACCTTGTTTGTGTTTGAACCCAACTGGCCAGCAAACAGTTGTTCAGTCCAGTGGTCAGTAAACCAGGTTACAGAAAAACTTAATCCATCAGTTGAGGTTTCTAAATAGAGGAGTCGGACTGATTTCCCTGAAACCGTTGCAGCGATTTGTGTTTGAGGAACGCGGCGATCGACGTGGACCGTTTGACCCTCGTGGTGCCTGAAACGATCAGCGGCCTCTCGCCCGAGGAAGCCATGGAGAGGTGATGGCGCCGACGCTGGCGGTGTGGCGTCCGCTGCTGCTGCTCCCCTTTCCAGCTGGAGTCTACGTTCGCGACTCCGCCCTGTCCTTCCACAGCAGCCCGCAGTGGAGCTCCCAGCAGATGGAAGACTTCTGGAGGCAGAGTGCGGCTCAGGTACTGCCAGGGCTTCTTTCCCGCCATGTCCCTCAGCTTCACGTTGGCGTTGAACTTCTTAACCAGCAGCTGCATTATGTTCTTGTGTCCGTGGATGGCTGCAATGTGGAGAGGCGTGTGGCCGCATGTTGACCTAGCGTTTATGTCAAAGGTCAAACCAGCCTTTTCAACTCCATACCTGAAAGCCCAACAGGAGAGAGCGGATCAGTGGCTGGTCACAAAGTATCTTCAGATATATTTGCCTTCACATCCTTCAAAATAAATGAGTTTCACTAACTTATTTAGTGAATATTCAGTACGTTTCTTTCAGATTTTGTTACACATTCAAAATATTGAGCAAAAAAAAGGAGAAAACAAGGAACTTTTGAAAGCAACTTGTGCTTGATTGGTGGCAGTTCTTTTTAAGCTGTTAGCATGTTGGTCAAAGTGAAATATCTCAGTAGTCACAGAAAATCATGGTCACCAGAGGATGAATTTTGTAATCTTTACCTGTAGAGCAACCAGCAGGACAACAACTCCACTTGTCAGCCTCAGCTATATGTTACAAGCTAAACATCATCATGCTAACATGTAAACTTTTTGTAATCTATCAGTATTAGCAGGTGAGCTTAAAGCATTACATTAACATTTATTCATTTAGCTTTTATCCAAAGTGACTTACAAATGCTATATATGTCAGAGGTTGCACGCCTCTAGAGCAACTAGGGGTTAAGTGTTTTGCTCAGAGGGACATTGGTGGATGGGTCACAGTGGGAAGTTGAATCCCGGTCACTCACACCAGAGGCATGTGTCTTATCCACTGCACCATCACCCCACACCCCACAGCTGAGCATGCACATCTGAAGCTGAAGGCATTGTTACAAACAAACACAGTTTGGCCCTATTCAGTTTCTATGGGACAAGAGGGAATCAGCTCTCAAAGCATCCCCTTTTGTTTATGAGGTAGATTCATAAAACCCACTGTAAAGTTTTGGAACAGCTTCAAGTTGCAAGTTCCTTGGTCTTAGTTTGTCCTGCCCTGAATTCTCATCCACTTGTGTCTTTCCTTTGACTTTGTGAGTATTTGTGCTGCCTCTAAAATTTGCTTTGTTTTCTGTCTGAATGCACATTTACACGGACCAGTAGTGGAGCTAAAATGTTTGTTCCAAGGGTGGTATTAACATCTAAAGGGTTCATCCTTTGTGGAGCAGGAATGTGGTCAAAACATTTTAAGACAATCTCTCCGATTGATTTTGAGGTTTCTTGTAGAGGAAATGTCAGGAGTTCAGAGAAGTAATTAGAGATCATGCTCTGGGGACTGAAGCTGGTTTTTGAAGTTAAACCACTTTCAGAATGCTACGTAAACCAGACCTTCCAGAAAGGTAATTGTGTACCATAAGGTGTTGAGGACTCTGTGGTCACCGTGTTTGGCAATCCAGTGCAGCACAGTGAAGCCGGAGATGAAGTCTTGTCTGTTGAGCAGGGACGGGTCCTCTCTGAACAGGGAGTAGATGTCGGGCCAAGCACCCGCCGCCCCCTTCACCAGCCAGGCGTGCTCCCTGGGCTCCAGAGGAACCAGTGACTGATGACAGGAACAAACATCAATATCAACTTAATCAGCGTTCCTCCTAGGAATCGACTGGGTGTTGTAAAATCCTAGCCTTGGTGTTTCGTTTGAATGAGGTACAGAACAATGCAGCCAGACAGTAATCAGTACAAATTTTAAAATATAAGTCTATTTTTCCATAAATACTTTTAGTGATCAGTGTTTTGACCCCCTTACCGGCCAAACTACCAAACCAAGAGTGTTCAAGTGAGGTTTGAATGGAACATTTAAAAAGAAACAATTGTACTGTCTATAAGTCTCACCTGCCTACCGGGGCCCTCATGATGAGCAGTGGAGGTGGAGGTGGAGGTGGAGGTGGCAGTGGCGGGAAGGCTCCTCCTCCCCCCTTTCCTCTCCACCCCCTCGACCAGGTCGGCGAGGCTGCGGCAGCGAGGCGGCGTGGAACAGGAAGACAGCGAGGAGGACGACAGGTTGTAGCGAAGGCTGAGCGAGGAGGAGATCAGGTGGAGGCGGTTCAGCCGGGCCGCCTCGCTTCCTCCTCTTGCCTCCTCGTAGACCAGCTCGTCGAGGTTGGCTCCCAGGCTGCGGCACATCCTGCTCCTCAACTTGCTGCTGAGCCTGGTGGCCGCCGAGCGCGGCCGCAGCGGCGGTGAAGAGGTGGAGCCCTCGCTCGACTCTACCTCCCCGCGGTCGTCATGAAGATCCCCTGTGGGGTGGAGGAAAGGGTTTAGTATGCTTTAAACAAGCTGGTCCCGGGTGTCCGGTGTCGTATGGGTGGCAGCAAGCCACAGTTGCTCTCAGACTTCACCTCCTCTTGTGTAAATTAATCTTATTTACACTTTTTTTGGTTTACATGTTTAGTTAGCTTGGTCCCATGATGTTGTAGAAAGTTTTCAGCGCGTTCTTTGCAAACAATATGGCGTCAACAGAGCCGCTGCCCACAACAGAGGTCTGCTGTTGTTGCTTTGACAGTGCATGTTGAGAGGGCGAGACCTGAAATCCCCCCCAGGAGTTGTGGAGGAGGAGGAAGAACAGGGGATGTAGGGTAGTGCGCGAAACACTAGGCAAAGGGGGAGAAGGAGATACAGGCTGTTTCGGCCTTCCGTCGTCATGGAAAATGTGAGATTGCTAGATAAGATGAGCTAGCAGCCCTGGTGAGGAGTCAGAGAGTATCCAGAGAGCAGTGTTTATCATTGTACCAAATCATAGCAAAGGATTTCATATAAAGCAGATCTGAATCGTACTCTATAATATTTTTTGTGTTCCAGAGACATGGTTACATAAGGACATCCCCGACTCCAACTTGTCTGACTGAGGAAAGCTGAGGGGCTCGCTATGCTCATTAACAATGCAATGCAGGTTCAATCCCTGAATAAAAGTCTAAAAGGGGTGTACATTACAGAGACAGACTGTTTTAAAGGAGGGACAATTGTAGTGAGCGCACTGCGGCATCAGGTGTGACTGTGCAGCAATGCCAAATTGTTAACATGGCTCAAATGTCAGATAGGACGGCCCCACAGCAGAATTTTGCTAAGGGCCTCAGGGAGGTCAGGACCGGCTCTGGATTTAACAGACATGTTGCAACAGCATTTACAAAACATAATAGCACAACATACTGTCCTAACATGACATAACAGACATGTTGCAGTAAGTAAAAAATAACAGAAAGGTTCATTTTTACATATAATAATTCGCTCACATTCTGACATATTAATGCTAACATGCGGTATTTACAGACATATTAATGTCAAGTGTTATTCTATTGTTAGAATTAACTTGTTAAATGCTAGCTTTAGTGTGCCATGTGAGCAAATATATGCTGACATGCATATAGCCAAACAGACTGAAATGCCAATTCATTTCGATATTCACTCACCATTAACACTGATTATGTCATTTTATCTGTCACTCTTTTTATGGATGTAGCTAGTTAGCTAGGTAGGAAGTCCCCATTCTTAATCCTGCCTGCAAAGCTCTGATTTGTCCATTGTTTCACCAGACAGGAAAATAGATGCCAATATGCACAACCCAGACACATGTGAATCACTGAACCGTTACAGATGTGGGTAGCAAGGTGATGTCTTCAAATGTCTTGTTTTGACTGGTCAACAGGCCACACCCACAGAGTTTACGATGACATAAGACAGAGAAAAGCAGCTGATCTTCACAATGGAACTAGAATCAGAAAGTGTTCTGCATTTGTGTTTGACAAATTATTCATCAATGATCAAATTGTTGATCAAGTTTCTGTCACTCTACAAATCAATTAATTGACACACAAATAATATAAATATTTCCAGGCTGTTTCTGCAGATTCTTTCAGTCATGCAGAAAGATCTCTTCATATCTAAAGCTTATTAAAGACTGAAGCGTGCTGGTTTATAAGCACAAAGATGTGACCTGTCAGATGTTATATTCCACAGCTAATGACTTCATTATATAAAAGATCATAAGAAAAAAACACCGCATCAACTAAATGTTCTTAGTTGAACAGTGTATCTTTTGGTCAACAGACTTGAGTCCAACAAACTTTAGCTCTGACCTTTGGAGAGGTGCCATGGCAACACACAGGCTTCAGTGTCCTGGTTATAAAGGGGATTGTCGTTGGAGTCATGCCAAGGTGCCAGGGTTTTAGTGTTGGCACAATGTGTCTCAGACTCAGACGCAGTCCTTTGGGCTCGCTGAAGTACTTCCTGGATTTTAGACCCTTTACCTGTTGACGCAGCAGAGTTAAAGAGACAACCTATAATAAAACAGAAGCTCTGGACTCTTTATTTATTTTTGTTATTTATTTATTATTATTTTCTTTTGTTTCAGGTAACTTACCAATACAGGAATAAATAACACAATTTTGGAGGACTATTTTCAGCAGCGGATTAATACACGTTTGGTGCTCTAGTGAGTATTTAAGTCAGCAGGTATGTGGGATTAAGTCAAAAATAACTTTATTGTGTGTTTTCATGGTAATAAAGGAACATGTTACCCAGTGCAACAGTGTGGCTCACTGGTGTGTTTTTAATTGCTGTTAAACTGTTAAATTGTTGGACAACATTAGAGTTCTATGGCATAGAGGAGGACGATATATTAGGCTTTGGATACAAATACAAAACTTGAAGTAGGTTCATTGTTGGTTTTGCTCTTTTCATGAGATTTGTTGACTATATTAATAACAAATATAGAGTTATTGTTTAATCTTACCATACCTGTTCTGGCCCATAGATCTTCATAGCTGCTGTTCAACTCCGATCCTCCAGGGGAGCCTGACGGCGGCCAGTCTCTGCTGGAAATGCCGGTGTCAGACGAGGGGGAGAAGACGCTCCTGGGGCTAGATGACAGCGACTCCCTTTGGCTTTGGTCGGGCCCCTCCAGCTGGACACCTGCAGACTGGGAGTATTGGTGGTCCGTGTGGACACCGCGATGAGGCGGCACTTCTTTTGCTCGATCTGGGGACGGCCTGTAGAGCTCTGCCTCTAAAGGCAGGCTGCGTCTGGTGGGCACTGCCTCCCCCGGAGCAGACCCAGGCACCAGCCGGGGACTGGCCCCCTGCCCTCTCATCCCAACCCCTGACTCCAAACACCAGCCTGGGCCACCAGGGGGCAGAATTTCCCCTTCCACATCCTGGATGTAAATCCCCGGGAGCTTCTTTTCTGACGAAGAGGAGGAGATGACAGTGGGAGGTGCAGACTGGTCTATGATGCCCGGCAAGGAGGCGGATGTCCCACCACCCGTGTCTCTGAGAGGAGCCCTCAGGGGCCACGCTCCTGCCGCTGAACCTTGCCTCATCGGGGCCTCTTCCATTTCATCTTTATCGTAAGAGACAGCAGACTTGTAGCTCTGCCTGTATCTTCTGTGGGGTGGGGCGACCTGAGGAGGAAGACTGATGTGATTTTGAGAAGGCTCCTGATGAAGACCTCCCTCAGGTGCCAGAGAGGCCTCCCTCTCTCTGATGGTTTCTGGGACTGGGGCCTGCTGGCTCGTTTCTCCATGATGTCTGACTGCAGCGACCACAGGTGCGATCGCAGGAGACCGGCCAAAACCTGGCCTCATCGGGACCTCGTCCTCCTCATCGTCATCGTAAGAGACGGCAGACTTGTAGCTCGGTCTGTATCTTTTGTGGAGTGGGGCAACCTGAGGAGGAAGACTGTTGTGATGAAGACCTCCCTCAGGCACCAGAGAGGCCTCGCTCTGTCTGATGGGGTCTGGGACTGGGACCTGCTGCCTGGTTTCTCCATGATGTCTGACTGCAGCGACCACAGGTGCAATCGTAGGAGGTGGGTCAAAACCTGGCCTCATCGGGACCTCTTCCTCCTCATCTTCATCGTAAGAGACGGCAGCCTTGTAGCTCGGTCTGTATCTTTTGTGGAGTGGGGCAACCTGAGGATGAAGACCTCCCTCAGGCACCAGAGAGGCCTCGCTCTGTCTGATGGGGTCTGGGACTGAGACCTGCTGCCTGGTTTCTCCATGATGTCTGACTGCAGGGACCACAGGTGTGATCGCAGGAGGTGGGTCAAAACCTGACCTCATCGGGACCTCTTCCTCCTCATCTTCATCGTGAGAGACGGCAGCCTTGTAGCTCGGTCTGTATCTTTTGTGGAGTGGGGCAACCTGAGGATGAAGAGGAAGCTCCTGATGAAGACTTCCTTCAGGCGCCAGAGAGTTTGTGGTCTGTCTTATGGTTTGTGGGACTGGGACGTGCTGGCTGGTTTCTCCATGATGTCTGACTGAAGGGACCACAGGTGTGATCGCAGAAGGCGGGCCCAAACCCACCCTCTGCTGTCCCACTTTAGTGCACTGATCTCGGACAGGAAGCTTAGAGAGCCCCTCTGAGGTCTGACTCACCGCCTGAGCTGCTGCTGGTCTACCAGAAAGTTCAGATGTGCTCACTACCTGCTGCTGCTTCAAGTTAAGATTTCTTTCCACATTGTTGTTGTTCAGTTTGATCCCAGCCGCAGGTAGGACTGTTTTCCCGGCGGGCGTTGTCGCCTCCCCCCGCTGTGCTTTCTGCAGAGACTTCTCCGCGCTCTCTGCCGGGCTCAGTTTGCCTTTCTGCGGGCGGTGCTCGGTGTTCTTCCCGGCGGGGAATCGCGGCGGCCCGGAGGAGCCCCTTTCACCGCCGCCGGGGACATATCCTTTGAATTTCGTCCTGAGAACGACGTGAGAGACGCCGTCGACCTGTCTGACGGTGGCCACGGAGTTGACAAACTTCTTGAATAGCTCCCGGTTGCGCGCCCGGTCCTCATGTTCCTGGAGGAAGTGTCTGAAGTGCAGAAGCAGTTCCGAGTTTTTCACCGAGCCTCCGCTGCTCTGGATGAAATATAACACCGTGTCCTGGGTGAAATCTGTGGCCATTCTGGACTTTACTTTTTATCTGCTTTCGGTCTCTCTCTCTCTCCCTGCTGCTCTCAAAGGTCGGGGAGCTGTTTCTGTCAGTCAGGAATAAAGCTCCGCCCACCTCAGGTATTTAAGGTCAGCCCCACCTGCTGCATTCCTGCAGCTATCCCGGATGCGTCTGATTGATGGATAGAAAATAAAATTGTATTGCTTCTGTTATACTTTGACTGGATTTCTTTTTTGATTTTGCAAGTTTCTCTGCAATAAGGGCCACCACACAATCCATCATTGTGGAGCAACAAATGCCTGCATGTTGATTATTGAGTCTGTCTTTTTTGTTTAATAATGTTTTTACATTGTTCAAGAGTGCAATGCTGGAAGTGATCCCTGTTGACACACTGGCTAAATATTCTTTTGGTTAGAAATAGGCTATTTAAGTGCTCATTGGCGTAAGGAGGACATAGGCCTACTTTCCACAGGAGAATGGGCAAGGACAAGTGTATGGGAAAATGTATCTCTGTCTGTACAAGTGTACTGGGAAAAAATGCTTTTAGACTGAAAATACAGACAAAACATTTGAAACAAAACCCACAATGCTTGTGAAAATGCATCTTGAACCTATTGTGAATCCTTTATTATTTACTCATCTTTTGTCGTCTTTCTGTTTTATCCCTGCAACTTGCCTGCATTTAAATTAATTAACTTCTATGAGCAGTAACACTGTTTCATTAGATGTGTCTCATCTGATTGAGTTTGGAAAGGTTCTACAGTATGAAGATATTTGTTGTAAATGTAACGCTATACCCTGTGGAGATTTGATAGCCAGGATAATGGAGTAATGGTGATCTGTTTGTAACAGGCTCTCTAATATTGTATTAGATTTGAGACTGTCCAATCTGTGTTGGAGGCATCCAGGTAGCAAGGAATTTATCAATAAATGTGTCAGAAAAGAGTATTACTCTGGTTAGCTGAGAATGAAATAGATTTAAAGAATACAAGAGAGAGCTGCAGTATTGGTTTCAAGTCTCTGTGGGTTCAGAACTACCATCTTTCACGTCCAACAGGTCCTAGAAACTCGCAGTGGGCCGTGTTCGAGCCCAGGCTGCTGCCCTTGCGTCATCCCCTCTCTCTCACTCCCTCGTTTCCTGTCTCTGTTCACCTGTCCTGTCTGAAATAAAGGCAACCTCCAATGTTCACCAGCTAGTTGTTAACTTTGTCTGCTGTTTGCTGGGCAGGTAGTGTACGGGCAGTTTTTAGAGATTTTTAGGCTGAAAATGACACCATGAGAGCGAATCAGTAAAGTTGTGTGCCGGAAAATCAAAACAGTGAGCTAAAAGATGCTTTAAACTCAGTAGAGCTGAACGAAACTGCAGTGATGTTTCTCTGTGGGTTTGTCACTGAGTGACACATTCCACACTCATCAATCATTTCACTTTTATTAGAAAAAAACCCATTATAGCTGCTTTAGCTGTTAAAATGTTCTACAGTTTAATGGTGTGATTATAATATCAGTCTGGAAATGTCCAGACAGTTCTATCCATGTAGTAAATAGGCTATATACACTCACCTAAAGGATTATTAGGAACACCTGTTCAATTTCTCATTAATGCAATTATCTAATCAACCAATCACATGGCAGTTGCTTCAATGCATTTAGGGGTGTGGTCCTGGTCAAGACAATCTCCTGAACTCCAAACTGAATGTCAGAATGGGAAAGAAAGGTGATTTAAGCAATTTTGAGCGTGGCATGGTTGTTGGTGCCAGACGGGCCGGCCAAGTATTTCACAATCTGCTCAGTTACTGGGATTTTCACGCACAACCATTTCTAGGGTTGACAAAGAATGGTGTGAAAAGGGAAAAACATCCAGTCCTGTGGGCGAAAATGCCTTGTTGATGCTAGAGGTCAGAGGAGAATGGGCCGACTGATTCAAGCTGATAGAAGAGCAACGTTGACTGAAATAACCACTCGTTACAACCGAGGTATGCAGCAAAGCAGAAGACCCCACCGGGTACCACTCATCTCCACTACAAATAGGAAAAAGAGGCTACAATCTGCAAGAGCTCACCAAAATTGGACAGTTGAAGACTGGAAAAATGTTGCCTGGTCTGATGAGTCTCGATTTCTGGTGAGACATTCAGATGGTAGAGTCAGAATTTGGCGTAAACAGAATGAGAACATGGATCCATCATGCCTTGTTACCACTGTGCAGGCTGGTGGTGGTGGTGTAATGGTGTGGGGGATGTTTTCTTGGCACACTTTAGGCCCCTTAGTGCCAATTGGGCATCGTTTAAATGCCACGGCCTACCTGAGCATTGTTCTGACCATGTCCATCCCTTTATGGCCACCATGTACCCATCCTCTGATGGCTACTTCCAGCAGGATAATGCACCATGTCACAAAGCTCCAATCATTTCAAATTGGTTTCTTGAACATGACAATGAGTTCACTGTACTAAAATGGCCCCCACAGTCACCAGATCTCAACCCAATAGAGCATCTTTGGGATGTGGTGGAACGGGAGCTTCGTGCCCTGGATGTGCATCCCACAAATCTCCATCAACTGCAAGATGCTATCCATCAATATGGGCCAACATTTCTAAAGAATGCTTTCAGCACCTTGTTGAATCAATGCCACGTAGAATTAAGGCAGTTCTGAAGGCGAAAGGGGGTCAAACACAGTATTAGTATGGTGTTCCTAATAATCCTTTAGGTGAGTGTATTTAAATGTGTGTGTGTGTGTGTGAGACTCTCACAGTGAGAGAGACAACTTGAAGAGTACGCAAAGTCATTCACAATACATTTATTTTCCAAAAACAACTGTTTTTTAATCTTTATTATTTTATAAAGCGAACATTGAATTTCATTCAATGATAAACTAAAAAGGTGTGAAATATTTTGTTGTGCCTCTGCAAATAACAAGAATGAACAAGCAAACAATAATCAACAGTACAATCTGGGTTATTGATGATGACATAAGGCAAATTGTGTGCTGTAATGTTTGAGGAATAAGAAACTGAGTATTTAAACCGTGCTCTAAAAATAACAGTCAATTGAAACATGTAAATACAGAATGAAACAGTTAACAACAGGTAAAAACATGCACTGATCACTACTTAGACCCTCTCTGGATTTTAGATTCCACATGCTGCTGCTGCTGTTAAACAGCAACAATAAATATTGATTCTGTAGAACTGACGTGAGTCCCCATGAACTGAATTGAAAGTCATATTCAATATTTAAGTGTGATATCTGAGTGAAATATTTTTAAAAACACGTGACTATAATTCTGAGCCTTCGTTGGCAGAAAATCTGTTCTGTGAAAGACTACAGTGTACTCTCAGATGAAGGTAAAGAAGGCCAAGTAAGTTGTTTTACAACAACTTGATCTCACCAAAATGATTATATTGTGATAATGAGAAGTGATATTTCATTATTGTGAGTAGAGAGGGTAGAGTAAAAGAAAAGAAAATAGTGCAACAGTTTACATTTATGCTTAATTTATTACTATTTTATTATTTGAATGTGTTGGAGTGTTGCACTTTTTTTCCTTTTTTACATGTACTTCGCCTCATCTAAGAACACATTTGCAACATTTATGATTTGAACATAAATAAATACTTCATGGATGCACCAACAAATCCTTTTTGTTAATGTTACCTTTTCATGATAACAGAGTCCAGCAGTTAGCATTAATGATGCTGGAATCAGTAAATATATTTTCATGTGGAGGACAGTTTAAATAAGATTAATGAACCAATTTTACACAAGGATGAGTTTACCCTCTGTGAGCAGAACTATTCAGTCTTCAAAACAGTTGTATAATGTCCACGAAGGAAATTTCTAAAGTCTGAGAAAACAATGTTGATGATGTCATAGTGATGTCATCAGGTTTTAGTTTCTTGGCCTGGACTACAACAGAGAGCCTGAGTTATCAGGCAGGGAAAGTCTAATCAAAAGATGCTATCAAGTTGCATTATGGGAAATGACTCATATGAGGGACAAGAAATTAGGATATCTCTGCAATTTGGATTGTTCTTTTTTATCTGTTTCTCTCAAGCCCAACTTAATGGAGGTGCAGCACTAAATCGCTGGAGTCCTCCTTTAAAATGTGTTCCAGCCTTCATTCTGTAGGTTTCAAACATCGTGTTTCCTCAGGAATCATAATTTTTGAAGGAAAGAAAAGTAAAGAAACTGTCTCTCCATTCTCGACTTATATCAGTAACTAAAACAATGACAGGCAGAACGGACAAACTGCTAATACTTCTACTGAATAAAAGCTCCAGGCAGAAATTACATGAAGAATTTCAGCTTCTTAATACTTTTCTGAGACAGACAGAGATAGTGACAGTGACATGCAGTTTTATAAAAGTAGTGTTGATTTCCTCTCAGTGGGACAATGTGCAGCCTTCATTTCTCTGACTGCTGACAGACAGTTTGATCAGAACTGGACTTCCTCAGAAAACTCGAAAACTCAACACTCTTTCACTACACAGAAATCCATAAGGAGGGTCATCTAAATGTGTTTTTTTTAATCCTTCATGCATCGTAGGTTTCAGCAGCTGTTTGCAACAATCACAGTCCTGTCAGAAAACAGTGTGAAGCAACTTGTTACTGGGAAGCTATAAATTTGTTGGAACTTGGAAAACTTGATCTACACCTAAAACTGAGCGAGGCATTAAACCATAATGAAAGAAGTCATCGGTAGGGATGAGCGAGTACATCATTATCTGTATCCAAATCCTTACTCGGAATGGGGCTTAAACCAGACGTGGGTGGGACTAACTGGACGTTGTCAAGATAAGCCTAAAACTGATACGGGTTGATCAGAAGTTCCTGTTTTTATTATAAAACTATTTATAGAACAGCTTCAGAGCTTCAGAGCAATCAGAGCTTCAGAGCAATGTTTTGAGCACAATAGTAAGAGAACTATATTAACAGAACAGGTTTTAAAAAATTGAAAATGGAAATTGACACATTTTACTCTGATGACGCTCGTACTCATAAAAAGTACATTATCTGTAGCGGATACTCGTTTCAGCCAAGTACTCACTCAATCCTACTAGTCAGTTTACTTAATTAGGGGATTGACAGGACATTTTCTAGCAATTTTAATGACTGATTCATTATTTACATTATTTATCAGTTAAAAAGATTTGCTTCTTATCTCGGTGTTACTCTTGACATTCAGCCAATCATTAATCTGTCAGTAAAAAACATGAATTACAGATTATTCAGAAATGAAGGTGGCCCTAGTAAAATGCTGAAACTGAAAAATAATTTGATCAAAAAAAACAAAAACTCAAATCCAAAACAAAAACAACCTGGATGTCTGCAAATATTTCATCCTGTGAAAATCTTTGGAATCTGAACTTTCCCATTTTTTGACATCAAATGTTTCATCATATCAACAAAGAGGCATAAGCAGATCAATGTTCATGATTCAGTGTAAAAACTGCAAAAAATGCTACATGTCCAGACATATAGACGGCAGTGACAGTAGTAGTGTTAACAGTATCATGTGACAGTGATCATAACAGTTCTCTCAGAGCAGTCCCCAGTCAGGATCTGTGCACTCAGTTTCTGTTTATCTCAGAGTTTTTTGATTCTTTTCGTAGTGAGAAAATAAAAAAAGTGTCCCTCCTTGGTGGTAATTTATTATTGTGAAGTGACTGTACATGTGCGAAAGCTGAGCAGGCCTTGTGGAAATCTCTGGAGGGGTTTGAGAAGAAGACAAAATTCTATTTTATTTTAAAGATGATGGCATTTTGTCTTTGGGAAATAACACACCTGCTCTGTCTTGTCATCAGAAATAAAGAGTTGCAGGAGGCACGTCTGAATGTTTTGACGATTCCCGAAAACACCATCAGTGTTGCTGAAAAGACAATTCCTTACTTTTGAAAAAATAACTTTCTATCCTTTTACTATTAATTCAGGTTGCTGTCTGAACCAGGATCATAGTCAGTGCCTTCAGCTAAAGAGTTCTCATGTTGCTGGCCGGAGGTACCACTGAGGACATGGAGGTACTCGGTAGGGCTGTCCCCGACTAAAGATTTAAATAGTCGAATCAGAATTGACAAGTCTTGCCTATAGTCGACTGATAGTCGAATCCTGTGTTTGTGCATGGCGATTGCAAGGGGGGGGGGTTAAACACCGTAGCTCTGCTTTAATCTTGAGAAGCTGCAGAGCTGCAGTCTCTATTTATTAGTCAGTGTAACTTAAACTATTCATTTCCAGCTAAACTGAGGCTTATTGGTGACCATTTCCTCTCTGCTCGCCTGTCTTGTACAGAGTTTGGCGCGCAAGCCGTACAGCCGGATTTATTCACGCACTTTAAAAACATTTATTAAATGCTTTTTTCTTTTCACATTTATTTTCAGAATTATACGTTGAAATATACAGGTGCTGGTCATATAATTAGAATAACATCAAAAAGTTGATTTGTTTCAGTAATTCCATTCAAAAAGTGAAACTTGTATAATGTATATATTCATTCCACACAGACTGATATATTTCAAGTGGTCATTCCTTTTAATTGTGATGATTATAACTGACAACTAATGAAAACCCCAAAATCAGTATCTCAGAAAATTAGAATATTGTGAAAAGGTTCAATATTGAAGACACCTGGTGCCACACTCTAATCAGCTAATTAACTCAAAACACCTGCTAAGTCCTTTAAATGGTCTCTCAGTCTAGTTCTGTAGGCTACACAATCATGGGGAAGACCGCTGACTTGACAGCTGTCCAAAAGACGACCATTGACACGTTGCACAAGGAGGGCAAGACACAAAAGGTCATTGCTAAAGAGGCTGGCTGTTCACAGAGCTCTGTGTCCAAGCACATTAATAGAGAGGCGAAGGGAAGGAAAAGATGTGGTAGAAAAAAGTGTACAAGCAATAGGGATAACCGCACCCTGGAGAGGATTGTGAAACAAAACCCATTCAAAAATGTGGGGCAGATTCACAAAGAGTGGACTGCAGCTGGAGTCAGTGCTTCAAGAAAGACATGGGTTTCAGCTGTCGCACTCCTTGTGTGATCAAGACACAGTGTCAGAAGCATCTCGCCTGGGCTAAAGACAAAAAGGACTGGACTGCTGCTGAGTGGTCCAAAGTTATGTTCTCTGATGAAAGTAAATTTAGCATTTCCTTTGGAAATCAAGGTCCCAGAGTCTGGAGGAAGAGAGGAGAGGCACAGAATCCACGTTGCTTGAAGTCCAGTGTAAAGTTTCCACAGTCAGTGATGGTTTGGGGTGCCATGTCATCTGCTGGTGTTGGTCCACTGTGTTTTCTGAGGTCCAAGGTCAACGCAGCCGTCTACCAGGAAGTTTTAGAGCACTTCATGCTTCCTGCTGCTGACCAACTTTATGGAGATGCAGATTTCATTTTCCAACAGGACTTGGCACCTGCACACAGTGCCAAAGCTACCAGTACCTGGTTTAAGGACCATGGTATCCCTGTTCTTAATCGGCCAGCAAACTCGCCTGACCTTAACCCTATAGAAAATCTATGGTGTATTGTGAAGAGGAAGATGCGATACGCCAGACCCAACAATGCAGAAGAGCTGAAGGCCATTATCAGAGCAACCTGGGCTCTCATAACACCTGAGCAGTGCCACAGACTGATGGACTCTATGCCACGCCGCATTGCTGCAGTAATTCAGGCAAAAGGAGCCCCAACTAAGTATTGAGTGCTGTACATGCTCATACTTTTCATGTTCATACTTTTCAGTTGGCCAACATTTCTAAAAATCCTTTTTTTGCATTGGTCTTAAGTAATATTCTAATTTTCGGAGATTTAGATGAATTTGGGATTTTCATTAGTTGTCAGTTTTAATCATCACAATTAAATGAAATAATCATTTGAAATATATCAGTCTGTGTGTAATGAATGAATATAATATCCAAGTTTCACTTTTTGAATGGAATTACTGAAATAAATCAACTTTTTGATGATATTCTAATTATATGACCAGCGCCTGTATATTGTAATAGGCTGTATACTAACTTACTATAGGAGAAAATTGGTAGTTCTGTGTAAAATCAGACGTTGAGCACCCGCATATCGCCAAAATGGCATGATCCTTGTTTTGCCATGAAGCTTCTCACAGTCAAATCAGGCTCCGCCCATCGAAGCATCAAATCTTCAACTATTCGGGGTCAGCCCTAGTACTCTGTAATATTTCTGGAAATGTGGGAGTTTCTGATCTATCTGCAAAATGGAACATAAATTTAAAGCTGAATTTTACATTTACAGCTTGAAATCAGATAGATTCAGAATACTGAGACACTGAAAGCAAACATCAAGTATTTCAGACATGATGAAATCTGGAAAACTGCAGGGAATGACCCGTGACACTGGAATTGTCCTTTCAAGCAGAACTGAAAATCAACACTGAACTTCCAACCTGAAATCACCTTTCAGAGCAGAGGATCATTAGATATTGGCAGCAGTCACTTCAGTCCACACAGCGCTGGCGTGAAGGTGAAAAGAGACGTAACGTACAGTTGGGTGTGAATAAAATGAGGCACATTAAAGGCTTTTCTTCGACATGTGTGAAGTCTGCATAGTAGTTTCAGAATGAATAGAGCCCGTTTCAGGCCAACTCTTTCTTCATGTTAAGCTTCTTCAATTTAGAACATCTCTCGAGCTCTGAGTTAGTTTTAGGAAGCCAATTATCTCCTCTCCATCGTGTCCTTCACTGCCACTCATAATAGCGGCCTGTCCATTACATCACAGTGATGTCACAGTGGTGGATCGGACTAAGTGGGCGGGGCCTGGTATCACAGAGGGAGGAAGCAGCGGTGGGAAAGGAGAAGAGTAGGGTGCAGGGCTTGACGAAGAGAAAGGACAACCTCTTGACCAGCCGTGAGCCTCAGCCAGCTCCTGTGGCAGGCTCTCGGCCAATCGCGTCAGCTGCTCCTCTCCCTGACGTATGCTGTCGTCAAGGCGCCGCTGGCAAATCAGAAGAGAGGGTTTGGTGCTGATGAAGCGACGGTAGTCCTGAAGCTGCGGTTCGGTGAGGTAGCCGGACAGGATGGCGTGGACCACGCGCTGCCGCCGGTCCAGGTTCTCCTTCAGCTCCCGGGCGTCTTCAGTTTGACAGAGGAGCAGAGAGCGTTTGTGATGGAGGGAATCCTGAAGAAGAGGAGACAAATAAATTATTACCAGTTTACACAGAATCTTGTTCATTACTAATAGTACTTGAACTGTGCATGTCAACATCCAAATGGAAACTAAAACTTTCTTAAATTTTGTGTTTAAAGTTTAGCACAGCATAGATGTTCTTCACAGCAGACATGTTGACATGTCAAAGAAGAGTACTAGTCCTAGTGTTGTTCACGCTGGCTCACTATCACACTGTCATGACTCACTAGAACGAAGCCCTCATTGATGTTATCAGTAACACTGGGCTCAAATGTCTCTTGGGAAAAATGCACATTTTGTACACACGAGACGTTTATGTTCCCCAGAGGATGAATCCTAAAGACTTTGGCAATCCTCTGACTTCAGACTTTAGGTCATGACAGGATGCCAATTCACTGGATTCCTTAATATTAATGCTGTCAGCAGGTTAACATTCCAACAAGCTTAACATTAATTATACACTTACATGCTAATTGTTATGCATTTTACATGTTCTGTTAATATGGTAATATGGTATAACATGCAATGGTTGTACATGTCACTATATTAACTATGCACATGGTAACATGCTAAACATTAGCATGTTAAACTAGCTGTAAGCATATTGTTATATAGTTAGCATGTTATGTAACATTTATTCATTTAGCTGACGCTTTACAATTGCTGTATATGTCAGAGGTTGCACGCCTCTGGAGCAACTAGGGGTTAAGTGTCTTGTTCAGGGACCCATTGGTCTCTCACACCAAAGGCATGTGTCTTATCCACTGCACCCATGTTAAACATAGACTTATTGAGTGGTATTGCTGTAAGAAATCTCCCAGCCATCATTGGCAGCTCTGAGCGCACCTTACACCTGCCAGATGTTATTTTTCCTCACCTATAGGTTACTAAGAAAAAATCTGGTGAGTTTGTATTTTCACTAGTGTTCCTGCAACATACTGTATGAGTCACTCAGTGACTGAAATGTCACTGCTGCTGAAGATGGCAATCCATGACCATCCATGGATGTGTGAAACTGAGCCTGACATCCAAAAATGGACACCATACATTTTGGTTCAGGTATTCAGGTGATTTTGGTTCAGGTAACAGCATGACCTTTCCTTTAGTGCCAGCCTCAACACAAACGTAACATGCTCTCCCCCTCTTGTGGTAAGAATGTACGAATAGCAAGGTGGTCGCTAGCATAGTTATTTTTGTTCTGAAAGCTCAGATATGTTTTGCAATAAATAATACTGAATTATGTGAAAGCAAACTCCCATAAATTAATTGTCCAAGAAAAGTCCACCATTCAGGGTAACTACAGTAAATCCTTACTTCTACCAAGTACCATAAAACTGTAAGTCAACACTAGACAAATTCCTTCAGTCATTCGCAGTCATTCTTTATGGTGTCGGTGACATGAAGGTTAACAAGTTGTTACCACGACAGCCTGTCCCATCACTACCTTTTAACCCACATGACTGCGATCACACATGATGAATTTATTCTTTATTTTGAGCACCTCTCCTATAATGTTATCAGCTACTGAAGTTATATATATTCAGCTGTAAATAATTCACAGCTTTATGATTAATTTACAGTATGATAGTGTTTTATTTCATTAACATGTGATTACCAGATTATCAGCCATCATCATCACTAGATAAATGTGTTTGAAAGCTAGTATTTGATCAGTGAGTTCACTAACAAGCTTCACGTCAGTTTTTAGGGTGGTACAGATGAACAGGAAGACAGTAATCATTAACAAAGAGATCGCATCAGCATTTCATTCATTTGAGATCATTCCTTCTCTGTGTGGCCCTCCATGTTAAGTAGTATCTTGATGAACCTCCTAAATTTGGCCCAAAATACTCCCAGAGCTCTTGTTAATAACACGGGACTTATATACAAAACTTAACTAAGACCTCTGAATTTATTGAATTCGTATTGGTAATAATAACTATAATACTATATATTTATCAAACACAGCAGATTTGCATGGGATCAAAAACACCAAGGACCTGCAGTTGTTAAAGTCACAGAAGACCTTTAACCCAGATAATATGATTCCTGTGCAGACGCAGCTACAGATGACGAGGTGGTAAATAGGCACACGGGTAACAGGTACATAGACAGATAAAGTGTCACACAGGTAGGTCCTGTCCTGTCTCACCCTCTCCTCTGCTGTGTCCTCCTGCGTCAGATCCTCTCTCTCCAGAGCCAGTAGAGATCTGTCAATCCTCGACAGCCGGCTGGACAGAGACAGCAGCAGGTTCACGATCTTCTCCAGATCTCCTGCAAACACAACCAGGTCACATCTCAGTTTCTGACCACCAAATCACCAAAGCCTGATGGGAGCTCCAGTTGAAATAGATTAAATAAAATAATTGTTGTTATATAGTTTAATAGCGACAGTCAGAAGTCGTACCAATGAACATGCTGTACTTCTCTTTCTCGTTGGGTTTGAGGTGTTCCTGTACCAGCGTTTCGATTCTCGTCCCCAGCGCCTGGTGACATCTCTGCTCCTCACACAGCGCCTCCTTCTCCTGCCGCAGAGCTGCCACGCTGCACCTCAGAGCCTCACACAGCTCCACCTGGTAGACGGGGCGAGAAACACAAGAATACTCAGGAGTTTCACTTCTGTTACTGCTGTGATGTTTTAATTCAACTACTGAATCAGAAAATTGTGTTAATAATAATAATAACAATAATAATAATAATATTATGAGTAAAGAGTTAAAAAATCTGTGTTTTACCTTCCTGGTGTTGAGGTCTTTCTCTTCCTCCTTCCCATGATCTGTCGCTGTGCTCTGAGATGTGTCACAGACCCCATCTTGGATCCTAGGAAGGCAACACATTATTTAAACACCTAAATTTCAATTTTAAGTGTTTTTATTTTTTCGAGGGCCATTCTTTCAGTTCTGTCATTCTTGTGCTTTTTTCATTTGACACTGCTGATGCTGCTACATTGAAAATGATCAGTACCCCGTGTTCTCCCCGTGTTTGCGTGGGTTTCCCCTGGGTGCTCCGCTTTCCTCCCACCATGAAAGACATGCACGCTAAAATCCATAATTCTGCCAAGTAATCATTTTTACGGGGTTCATAAGCAAGCCGCTTATCGAGACAAGCCCCCACCCTGAGTCTCGACCCCCGGGTTCCTAGCCGCTCTGGCCACCAAACCCTAAACAACCTCCTTCATCCCCCCATTCTCGACCCCTTCATCCTCGACCCCTACATCCCTCTCCCCTCGACCTCTTCATTATAAATACGCCTCATTATCCAAATAAACTACCCTTTTTATACCTCATATTGGCGTGGACCTTGTTAGTGAATGAAGATTTAAAGAGAAAGATAACAAAAATAGAACGAAATGAAAACATATGAATAGAAAAATAACTCAGAAAGCCATGCAAACACATGCAAAAACAATAAAAGGACCACTATAGAAATATGGTATGTAATTTATTATTTTTATGTGTGACATCTTAAACATGTTTCATGCTATTTAATATTATTTAGAGTTTGACTACTTAAATATAAAATTAGTTAAAATAAAAACTCATCCAGAGTTTCCATCAAGTACAGCCACTAAGACATCCCAGCAGTGATTACAATATACACTATTGCCCAACAAGGATTATTATACATATCATATTATTGCACCTCGGTCTCACTGTACCATGGAGTATATGCCTTTTGTTCTGTTTTTTTTTGTATATTTTTTGTTGCTTGTGTTTTTGTGTTTATATTTGTTTGGATTTCTCTGTTATGTGCTTGGTGTCTTCCAGTTTTGCAGTGCCATGAACACTATGTCACCACACTCCATTCATCAACCAGACACACACACACACACACACACACACACACACACACACACACACACACACACACACACACACACACACACACACACCTACCATACAAGCATTTATATCCAGCTCCTCATAATAACCTTTTCAGCATGTCATCGCTCAAACGTTTTAATCTGGTACTTCCGTGGAATTCGTTCTCAGGCAAAAAAGTTTAAATAATGAATTACTTTGAAAACTGCCAGCAGATATATGCGTACTACTATTAAGAAACATATCTATCAGAAATAGATTATAATAAATCAAAATCATCACAATTCAACAAAAAATAATAAGGTTTTAATAAACAAAAAAGTCTCAGTCACACCGGCAGCACAGATCCTGAAGGACGTGTAATCATCATGTCAATCAACAATCTTACACAATAGCACAGTAACATCAGTAATGTTTATGGCCCAAACATAGACAACTTAGATGGAAGATAAGAAAGGGAAAGGTCAGCTACAGGAAAAAGTTGAAGGAGCGCCTGTAACATAATAACACAAGGGAGATCTGAAGAGGAATGAAAAGTCATAATAAAGACAGTGGAAGGGCCCACTATCTGGTGACCAAGAAGGAGCTAAGGAAGATCAAGGCAAGAAAGGCCACGGGCCCGGATGGCATCAGCTCCAGGCTGCTTGAAGACTGTAAATTGAGGTAGTTCTGCACATTAAACATTTCAACCTCAGCCTCAGTCTGGAGAGAGTTCCTGAAAACTTCCTGTGTTGTTCCAGTGCCAAAAACTGCACAGTACTGATGAGCCATGGAGACCATGGAGAGGATTATATTGAACCACCTGCAGTCCCTGGTGAGCTCAAGGCTAGACCCCCTCCAACCAGGCAATGGGGTCGATGATGCAGTCATCTACTTACTGCACAGATCCCTCTCACACCTGGAGAACACTGGGAGCACTGTGGGGGTCATGTTTTTTGACTTTTCCAGTGCATTCAACACAATACAGCCAGCACCGCTCAGGGGGAAGCTAGTAAGAGCTGGAGTTGACTGCCACCCGGCTGCATAGACATCAACTACTCCAGGACTGTGTGTCTGATATTGATGGTTTGCACAGGCTATGGTGCTTGCTCCTTTTCTTTTCATTCTGTTCACATCAGACTTCAGACACAATTCAAGCAACTGTCACCTGCGATGATACTGCCATTGTTGGACGTGTATCAAAGGGGAACGATCAGGAATACTGGGAGGTCATCGTTAACTTTGTCGACTGGTATGAGCTTAACCCCCTCCACATTAATGCCAGCAAGTCAAAGGAGATGGTGGTAGACTTCCGCAGGAAGGCGCCCCAGATCACACTGTTGAACATCCAGGGTTTGGATACTGAGATGGTGGGAACATATAAATACCTGGGTGTTCAGATATTCAGGTTCAGGATCAGACAGGCTGTTCCTCCTCACCCCATCCAGGTTTCTCCGTCATTGCCGAAGTGAGCCTTGAAGTCTCCCAGCAGAACTATAGAGTACCTAGATGGAATCCCTTCCAGGACACCACCCAGAGACTCCAAGAAGGCCAGGGACTCTGATCTAATGCTCGGTGCATAACCACACACAACAGTCAACTTTCCCCCCATCAACTTGCACTCACATAGAGTCGGCTCTCTCATTCTACGGGAGAACTCCAACACAGCGGCTCTCAGCCGGGAGCTTGTGATTAAGGCCCAGCCACCAGATGCTCGCAAGTGAGCTCACCTCCTAGGTCTGGCTCCAAGAGGGTGCCCCGGTTTCCCTTTTATGGGCGAGGTGCTGCAGCTCCTTCTCTGCCAATTCATGTAGGGTCTATGAATTCCTCAGTCCAGCCCCTCTCCTGGGACCAATTTGCCTTGGGAGACCACACCAGGGACTACTGCCCCAGACAACACAGTTACCAGGATCACAGGGACACAAACCCCTCCACTGCGTTAAGGTGGTGATTCTTTAGGGAATCTACAATATTATTATTATTATTATTGTACAACTTCTAAACAAATACATACACAATTTCACAACTTCTATAACACTGAAAACTTCATATGTGCCCATCTTCCAATGTATTTATTTATTTGTCATTAATATAGTATTTTCTCCATTTCTGTATTTTAACCGATGTGCACTTTTTTTCTTTCCCTACTAAACTCCTCCCCTATCACCCCACCATTATCAAAGTGCATGGGAATTGTCAGCGTGGTGCCCCATCTTGTCCCTGAAGTGTGTCAACTCAGGGAACTCTGTAGGATCTCCCTAGAGTGTGCGGCATGGGCAAGGAAGGCTGGGTCAACTCACTCCTCTGCTCACCCACAACCATATCCAAGTGCTAATCCCTAATAAACAGGCCCCCTCCTTAGGGCGTAGGAGTGGTTAAGGAAGGGATCAATCCTACAATGGACCACAACCACAAATCACAATAAACAAAATTACTGTTACTGTTCTGCAACTTTGGCCACTAGGTGTCAGTGTTGTTCAACTGTTTAGACTGCAGGAAGTCATCTGTCTGTCCGGATCAGTGAGACCAGTGGAAACTACAGGAGGAACACACATTCATATACTACAGCCAGAAGGAAGGACAGTGAAAAAAAAACAAAGAATATTCTTAATCTGTCCTCTTAACTGCAACTTCAGCCATAAACTCAATGTCATGTAGACATTTAAATATTGGTTGTTTTTTTGTCACTTCTTCTTCTTCTTTTTATTAATTCAGTGATTTCAGTTCTCCAATGATCCATCTGTGTAGGGAGGCTTAATGAAAAAGTCACTGTTGTTGGACACTATTTCCACACTGATGCTAAGAAACATTTATGAGGTTTCTCTGGTATTGCTGTCCTGGCCGACAAGGCTGTAACTTGCTAGCCTGGCTCCAGACTTCCAGCAATTCAAATAGATCTGGTGTTGAGCTGATTTGCAACTGTTTCTCTGGCTGGAGAAGGCCATCTTTTTAGGATGAGTTTAGAATGAGGACGCCATCATCCTACACAGCTAGCGAGCTATCCAGCTACATCCAAGGTTGAACCAAGGTCAAAGGTCAAAGCATAAACACAACCTTCCTGTGACTCTTCACTGACCGTGTGTAAGATGATGCCTCTGAATTTATCGGTGTTTTTGCTTTCTTTTCAGTGAGGATACATTCCTTCCCTGAACATGTTCACCAACAAAAACCCATTCAAGATGTCACTGACTTTAAAGTTCACAACAACATGCAGAGATTTGTATAGTTTCTTCTCTGTGTCAGCAAGAGATGGGAGAAGGAGGCTTTGAGACCCTCTCTCCTGTATTTCCTGCACCTTCCCTATTCACATTGACTAGGTGAGAGAGCAATAGCAGAGAGATGTATGATTTTGAGTAAAATTGAGAAACCCATCTGCACATCTGCATCACAAAAAAATCAGCAAGATTAAACCAGGAGTGCAAAGAGTATTTGTAGGGAAGCAAATGAAAAACATTCTCAGAAAAAGAAAAGAGTGTTTTGTTGATACTAAAACTCAGTGTCTTAGTGTATTTAAAATATCATTGAAAGAATATTCGAAGACAAAAGCAGCACTAGCTACCTCAAAAACCTCACCACCAGCCTGGATGTCATCTCAGATAACTTTCAGAAAGAAGCTCGCAACCTTGGTGTCATTTTCTCTCCTCTGCTGACTTAGGTCATCCATGCCTTTATTTCCTCAAGACTCGACTACTGCAACGCTCTGTATTCTGGTATTAGTAAGGGAAATATTCATAGATTACAGCTCATTCAAAGTGCTGCAGCCAGGCTTTTATCTCGCACTAAAGAGGAGTGACCACATCGCACCAATCCTCGCCGCCCTTCACTGGTTACCTGTAAGTTTTACAATTGATTTTAAGACTACTTGTTTTTAAGGCCCTGAACAGCCAGGCTCCTGCCTACATCTGTGATTTGACCTTGAACTCCCTAGAAGCCAGACCGATGCCTGAGATCCTCTGGCAGAGCTCTACTAATGGTTCCAAAGTCTCGTCTTGTCACTAAAGCTGACCGAGCCTTTGCTTTGCGTGTGGAACTCCCTGCCTCAGTGGCCTCTTTTAAGTCTCTTCTCAAATGTCACTTTTATTGTATGGCATATGTTTGCTTTTTATGTCATTACTGTTATTGTATTGTTTAACGTTGATTCAATAGATAATTCATATTTTATATATATATATATAGTTTTAAGAATGGATCATGTTTATTTTACTGTACAGCACTTTGTAACTTGATTTAGAAAAGTGCTATACAAATAAAGTTACTATTATTATTATTATTATTATTATTAAAACACATGTCAGAATTACCTGTCATCCAATTGGCTACTACCCCTGCGTTGCCATGGTGAATTCCCCACCGTTTTGCTGTTTGGAAAGATCTCCTCCATGAGCTCTACAGTGGATTTACCCCCCCACGTGTCCAGGAGGGGTGCCAGAGAGCGGTCCTGCAAGACCTGGATAAAATAAAAAAGGAAGAATCAAACTATGTGAAACAATAATTTGATAAAATAATGAGCCTTCTCTGACTTGTTGTCCACATGACCTCTGGGTTATGAAACAGGCTCTGTTAGGACTCACAGGTGGACTTCCTCCAAACACCCTGTCTTCACATGACCTTTAGGTCACAAAAAAGGCCCTGCCAGGACTCGGGAGGTCACTAATTAGGTCACAAATTACTAGTTGACTAGATAAGTGACTCTCTCGATTTACAACAGCCCTGCTTGGAGAACTAATCTGATATCTTCCATTCCATGATGAGGTTTTGCAGGATTCACAATGATGAACACATGAATGTTGAGAGCCAATTGGAAATGCCAGTTTATTCATTTATGACCTACATTCTAACTTAGTAAACTGAAAAATTCACTTTCCAATATCCCATGATCTGGACTGCTTAAAGGACTCCTACGGCTAAAAGACACAGAGAACAGAGAAATGACTTTGCTTTGCAGAAGACAAAGACATTCCTGTAGCCTTCACATGAATAATTTTATGTTATTATTTCATTAGCGGTTATAATTATATGTATGCATATAGATTGCCATAATAACAAATATTGCTACATGTTTGCCATTTATGACATTTATTTAACATTGTCTCCCTTACCAACTCATTTATTAGGCTACTAAGGATGATCTTTTGTGATTCATAAAGGTGTTTAGTATCCTTTAGCAACTGTGGAGGTCCAGAACTGTGACAACTCTGGCAACCGCTGCTAACACATTTCCAGCACACCCAGTCACATGGTGTGTGAAGATGCTAATCCTGTGCCTGCAGAGAGAGAGTGCAGATTAAAACAAGTTGCCACGTGGGACCGACAATGGCCATATTCTCCTGGAAAACATATCAGCTGCCCAAGCTGCGACGTGGGACTGTGTGAATGTGCGGCCCACACACAAGAATCGACTTCACCTCCACCTCCCTTCCATCGCAACTTCTCCTCTGGCCATCTAAAACACCAGGTGAAACTATACTTTTCCTAAGATATTTGAGTTTGACGCAATTCCTAAAGGTAATTTAGTGTTAGATCAGGAGTAGAATCTCCCTCCAATATAATATGACATTGGAAATTATTTCCCTCTGCTTCCCCAAACCTCTCAGCTGCAGAAATGTGCATTATTAAAAAGATTTCACTGATTACTGTAAAGATTCCTTCTCCTGTTTCCATTAATTAGGACATTAAAGCATCACCTTCTGCTTTACCTGGTACATATTGGTTTCCATTAAATCATTAATTGTTTGGGCTGTAAAAGAAATTACATTAATGTATTCATTGATTGTTCATCCCTGTACTCATCACTGTATTCATGGATGTATTTATTTGTTCATGTGTAGTTAGTAGTTTGGTCTGTGTCTAGTTAGTAGTTTAAAAACCTTTCATTTTTAAAGAACTAGATTATGTGGTTTGTATGTGAAATATAATTTTCCCTGTTCGAAGGGTGGTGCCACCGATGTGAATTCAATGCGGGTTAAAAACAGAGACAGAAGTAGGTACGATAACAAGGTAGAGTCAGAACTGGGTAAAACAAAACATACAGAGCCAGAATCAGAGGATGTTAAAGGCGTACTAACAATATGTCAAAGACAAAGATAAAGTCAAGACTAGTTATTAGAAAGAACAGTCAGAACTCGGTACGGTGACAACAAAAAAGTGTGAAAACTATACCTAATGCTAATGATCAATGTGTAACAAAGAGTCTGACACGATAACAAGTCAGAACTAGGTACAATCACCAAGGCAAAGTCAGAATTACATAGGTAATCCATTCACATTTATTCAAGGTAACTGCCGACGCAAGGTACCCACCAACTGCCGGGCCAGCGCCTCTGCTCGCAGCTCCTCGGATGTCTTTTCCCTCTTGGGGATGGGCTGGTACTGAAGACTTAGGCTGTCCTCGGAAGTGGTGGATATAGTGATGGAGGTAATGGTGGAGGGCTTCAGGGAGGGAAAGAGGCTGGCCATAGGTGCAGGAAAGATGGAGGAGGAAGGAGACATCGGAGGGGAGTGGAGGGAAGACTTCCGGGTGGGAATGATGGGGTTGTTTAAGACCTCCACGCCAGGACTAGAGTACAGGGGAGAGAACGGAGTTAAGGAAAAACAGAAAGAGCAGGTCCAAAATGATAATATTTAAATTCGGGTGAATATAAAATATTGCACAACAAACCTTCCCACAGTCTGGTTTCCAACTTCTGGCACCAACTCGAGGGATGGCGCAGGAGGAGGAGGAGAAGGAGGAGGAGGGAAGTCTTCCACGAAGCTTGTCTCTTTGATTGGCAGAGAAGGTGACAGAGGGGCAGGATTTTGGAGGAAGACCTCGTCAAAGTCAAAATGCGACAGGCTTGTTTCTAGTGGCTGCTGCTGGTCGATGGAGCTGAAGAGGCTGGACTCGGAGATTCGCAGTGAGGACAGGCGCTGGCAAATGGATGGACGGGAGAATGGGGAAGGAGACGACATGGGGCTACCGCTGTCCTTCCTGTTTGGTGGGGCTGCAAGCTGGAAATGGGGAAGGGGTGTTGGCGTCACCGATGAAACTCGATTGTTGTTTTCTGCAGAATGCTCTCTACTCATCTCTAAACTGGAGGCTCTCCCTCTGTACATGTCCTTTGCAGTGTCTTCTAATACGCTGGTATCACTCAAACTGTGTCTTGTCTGTCTGTCCGTCACCGGGGTTTCATTGGAGCCAGTAGCGTTAAAGCCATCACCTGTGCTGGTTGGTGGGATCCCTGGGAAGGTTATGTCATCCAGGTTGGCCTGGCTCAGCCTCTCGCTAGCATGCCACTCAGTGTTACCTTCATCCTGAGTCCCGGATGGGGAAAAGGGGGAGGGCAGGCCAACGGAGGCTGCCAAGGTGGAGGTGCTGTTGGCTCGCTGCCGCTCTGAGTTTCTCCGTCGCTCCCTGCGAGTGACCGGAGTGTGGGAGGAGCCTGGGTGTAGGATCAGAACACAAGGAAGAGAGAATTCAATGGCGAATCACAGTGCTAGGACATATATTTATGTAGTGGTCACAATGAACGTCTCCCACATTCACAAACGCTGGAGCATTTATGACCCTGAGACCCCCTCCGGATCTGCAAACACACTTCTCCTTTCTCATACAGGTGTCAATTTGGAGACTTGCCATACACAAACAAGTAACCCTGGAAAAGATATGTCATCCAGATAACAAAGTGTATAACCATATTTTTTTTTTAACGCATATATTTTTTAGCTTTTCTTTCAGAAGCAATTTCCTGCAAGCAAGTACATTAGTGTTGTTTATTTTTTAATTTTCATACGTGATAGGCTGCTTTCTTTCAGGGAGTTGAGAGGAGGCCACAAGATTGAAGACTATGTGGTGTAGTGAACACCATGTTTTAAAAAAATGTTTTGCTCACCTTGCGATCCTGCAGGCTGGACGGTGTTCATACTGTTCTCAGAGTGTTGAGGGGAGACGAGGTCCCCTGATACCTGGATGTCTGCAGTTCTAAGAGACAGACAGACAGGTAAAGAAATAATGAAAGAAAGGGAGGAACACACATTCAGTCAGATAGTTATAAGATAGAATAGAATACTTTATTGATCCCACACCAGGGAAATTCACTTGTTCAACAAGATTCAACACGTACAGGAAAAAAGAGTGATAGATCAAAACAAATAGACATCATATAGAAATATAAATAAGAGGTATATACACTACATACACCTCTCATTTATACAGATATATTACTGTGCTGTGGGTTACGATATGTTCTGTATTAGAATTGTCTTTTACTTGTGTCTATAGTCCTGTTTCTTCACAGTGACTATTACAATTTCCTGGTTATATTCAGATACTAGACACACGTTCGTGAAAATACACACACACACGGAATTCTTGAAGTGACCTCTAACCTTCATATTTTCAGAGCAAACATAGTTTGAGTTTTATGTCAATAAAGATTGGAGTCGATAATTAGTTTATTTTTCTGTCTCTGTGACAGGGAGTTTTCTCTGCTTCCTTAAATTCCTCAGTCCCTCCCTCCTTTAACTCCTCCCATTCACTCCTTCCTTTTTCTTTTTGTTTAAATTTCTGCTAAAGACGCTGATGCTACACAGAACTTCTTCTCCTCCCATTAACCTCTTCTGAACTCTTTCACTCCTTTTAACGGCCTCTCTCCTTCTTTCTTTCCTATCATCTGAACCCTCTCATTTTACTCCTCCTTCCCTTCTCTCATTTCCCCCTTCTCCTCCTTCCATTTCACCCTCTCCATCGCTCTCTTCTCTCTTCTCCCCTTCTCCACCTTTTCTGCCCTCAACGCCACCATTTTTCTGTTCTTCTCTGTTTACCTGTGTCCCTTCCTTCCTTCCCTCCTTTTCCTTACAGTTGTTTCACCTTCTCCATCCCATCTCTTCTTTCCCTCCCTTCTTGTTCTTTCTCTTCTCTTTTTCTCTCACCTCCTCCCCACTCTCATCCCACATGTCCTCCTTTCCTTTGTTCTTTTCCTCCTCACCTCCTTCCCCTCCTACATTTTTTTCCTCTTCCGTCCTTTGCTCCCTTCATCTATCCTTCCCATAACTCCATTATTTCCCTTCTCTTCTCTTTTTTCCTCCAATGTTTCAAATCCTCTGTGCACCCTCTTCTTTCCCTCTCCTCATTCCTTACTTCTTGTCTTCCATCTCTCTCTCTTTGTGGTGCCAGCAGCATGGCACATGGACTCATAAGGCCAGAACTGGTTTGAAAACAGCAAAGAGCCTAAAGCACACACACACACACACACACACACACACACACACACACACACACACACACACTGGATGACTGTTAACATCCTATTATGGAAGAGAGCTAAAATATCTGCTCAGAAATGATCCGAATTTCCATGATCCCTTAGTTCTCCATAAGGAAACAAACAGCAGTCTTGACATTTTGCTAAAACCAGTTAAAATTAGTTGTGTTTCATTTTATTAACAGAGTAACATGAATAAATCATCAGACATAAAACAACTGTGATGAATGATCATGCACGACTGCACTTCAGCCAAAGAGGGTTTTATTCTATACATGCTAGTTAAGGTTACTGAACATAACTGGGAGACATGATAAATCAGGTGAAATGGGCAAGACGGTTGATAAACTGTGAGAACCCATAAGGAAAAACCTGGTTTGGTATTTGAACCATCAGCTGTTTGGTCACATGATCACATGGTCTGAATGCAGCTGTAGCATACCTGTCCTCAGGCACAGAGTGGCGTCCAGGTCCTGAAATGAAAACACCAAATGTCCTGACATCACCTGGAGGGAAGTCCTGCAACACATACACATAGACAAAGTCTTTTAGACTCTTTTGGAACTCTAATTCCACTATTGTTGTTTGTTCTCTTCTAATGGAGTCATATTGTATTCATATTTCAAATAATTTCTAATTCATATCATTGTAAATCACCCACTGGGGATCCGTAAATTTTATATTATCTTATTATTTTGTGACACAAAAAGTTCAGTCTGACCTTCATCTGTCTCAACATATTGAGAACTTGTAGTCATTTTAAACAATAAAATGTTGTCTATTAAACAAATGTGACACTTACTACATTGCGTGTACATTCTAAAATAAATGTACACGCAACTCTCTAAATTCTTCCATCTCACAGAGAAAATAAGTCAGGTCGCAATGAAATTTGCTTTATTGGCAACAGTACTGCCAAAGCTAAAGGAAAATACAAAAATGACCCCAATTCAATTCATATAGTTTATCGAATAAATAAAATCATTTTATTTCTGTATATTGAACATAGAATAATATTATCTAATAATTTCTCTACGTCTTCTGTCATTACAGCAGTGTCTCCTTCGCGCGGCAATAACAGCAGCCATCTCTGTGCACCTTCCTTTCAAATGTATTAAATACAGATGCTGTTGCACTCACATGAAATTGCGTATGGCTTGTTCGATCACATTGTGTGTAGTAAATAAATGTATTTGCATGTTATCCTCCCATTACTTTGTATAATAAAACTGAAACGCCCCAAATTGCATATTCATTAGGGGAAAGTACTAAATGAACAACAGGTGCTATCTTGGACTTTTGAAAGACGTCATTCTGCGTGCACACTGTTAGTAGATCAGCTTGTGTTCATTTGCTGGTGATATCAAGTTTGCACATGTTTTTACTCAGGCAAAACCTTAGTAAATCTGGCCCTTACAAAGGTAAAATTATTCTGTTTCTATGAATCACTGAGTGTGTACATTATCCTTATCCTTATCAGCATCTTCCTCATCTGTAAATCCTTTTTTGGTGGCCTTCCAGACATGTACTAAATAAAGAGTACTGAACTTGACAATAAACACGTATTCCTGTGTCTGTGTGAGAAAACACACACAGCACAAGCCTGAAGTCTCCTGCTTCTCCAGTGAAATGAGTCAACCACACGTGTGAGAGCACAGAATCAAACTGTTTTTAGATTTACATTCTTAAGAAACTCAACTTCCCACTATCCCACTCATCACAGATTACAGTGTAAAATAAGTACTGTCACCACCCTGCAGTGAAATCTATTGATTAAAGTAAGAGGACGGAGTATGTGTTTGTCCGACTGAACTGTAATGATGTCACTGTGAGATAAAAGAAGAATTCATCCTTTACTGCATTCTTAAGAACTCTGAAGATGTTTGTATGATGTAGGCCTATGTATACAAGTGTGTGTGTGTGTGTTATCTTTGCCATCATCCACATCGGACAGCGCCCAGCCACCGTCTCCGGCTCTCTGGCACCTCACAGGAAACTCTGAGGATTCTAGGTATTTCCTGTGTGACCCCTTGCCAAATGTCCCGTAACAGCAAATAGTCAAATAAATGGTAATGAAAAGAGGAGCGGTGAGATGTCATTTCTGTATTGCCGTTGTAAGAAGCAAATAGTACGTTTTTAAGTTGTGGTGTTATGATTGTCTATCCTTATTTAGAAAACTGCTCCTGATATTTTAATTCGATGCACACATCATGATAGTTCTTCCAACTGTTCCACAATGTTGGATTGAGCCCTTGCCTGTCACATGCCTGAAGCTTGCAGGCGTGTTTACATGCAATTCACATAGGTAAGTTACTTTCTCACATTGCTCCATATACTGACCTACAACAAAGAAGTTCACTTTCCGAGCCATGTGTTTCCAAAACACGGAGGCAATTATTTTATCTTCTAGTACAATGATTGTGAGGAAAACAGTAGACATACGGCTTTCACGTTTGCACGTTGGTGACACAACACAGGTCTGTGCTGGATGAGGTGACGCTGCAATGAAGGAAGAGGGCGAGTTTTTTCACGCAGGGCTAGTTGGTCAGAGCGCTCTGTGTGATCTATGTTATTGTAATATTGGTTTCATATGCAAACACTGTTGCTCGTGATTCTTTTAGTTTAGTCACTCTGTTTGATCGTTGTTTCTTACTTTATGACTTACTCTTTCTGTAGCCAACGGATTAAGTTGTTCAATCAAAGAATCACCGTGTTGAGTAAAGTTTTTGTAGTAACATCATCCTGCTCACCACCCACATACCCACACACAAGCAATGACAGATGAGCTCCTCAGGGGTGGGTACGACCATGACTGCAGTGTTACCTGGTTCAGTCTCTCTACTGTTGGGGAGGAGCGGTAGTGTTGAAGAGTTGTTTGTCTCTCCTCAGATCTCTCCAGGAGATCCTCAACAGAGGCCGACTTCCTGGTGCCCTGAGCTGACCCGGCCCTTTGCAGGGCCCCGTTGAGCTGCTTGGAGAGTCCCAAGTTGTACTGAGGATCTGCGGCCAGCTGCTGTTGGTCCAGCCCTGAGTCTCTGCTGGATGACTGACTCTGTCTACTGAACCCTGTTGCAGGGGCGAGATTCTGGATGGTCTGCGCCTGGGACTCAGGAGAGGAGCCAGGAGGAGCACTGGGAGGAGAGACCAGGATAGGAATTAATACATTGTAATAACAAAGAAATAATCTACCTTTATATTAAAACGTAAATGTTATTACAATTCATTTGGTGCTGGACATGAATTTCTCCACCACATTTCGTGGCAATCCGTCAGATAGCTGACATTAGGTTTCATCCTCTGGGGATAATAAGATATTCCAGTCTAGACAAAAGTGGTGGACCAACTAACTGACAGACCGACATTGCTTAAGCCATGCCCCTAGTATGGCTAAAAAACAGTGTTAGATGCAGCTAGTCTCTGGTTTTTCTTACCTAGGAGGTGGGTGCACCGGAGGCCTCGGAGTGGTCACCCTGCCCGGGTAGAAGAGATTGGACTCGAGGCTCCGCAGGTCGGCACCAGGAGGGAGAGTGGAGCAGAGACGCCTCTCTTCAGAGGAGAAGCTTGGATCTGTGCCAGAGTCCTGGAGGGAGAGCAGGCTGGAAGTGGAGGAGAGGCTGAGGGTGTCTGAGTGACGATGAGAGAGAATGGAGAGAAGAGAAGGGGAAGAAGGGGAGGAACCAAAAAGGAGAAGGAAGAAGAAAGGAAGGACATGATTAATCTGTTAATCTGTTCCGCTCCAAGTCTTTCAAGTTAATATTCACTTTGCCCTCTATCCTTCATCCACTCATGAAACCATCACACCTCACTCATCCTTTTTCTTCCCTTCCTCCCTCCACCCACCTGTATGACTGCTGTTTTCAGGCTGTAGATACACACTGCGAGACCTCAGTCCACTCCTCTGTTCTCCCTCGTCTCTTTTCATGCCTCTCTTCCTCTCTATATACTCAGCCAGAGCGCTGTGCTGAAGCTGCCGTAAGTTGGGCCTTGACGTAGCAGTTTGAGAAGCCCTGCTCCCGACACGACTTGCTGCAAGCTCGAACATCTTCCGCCGGTCTGCCACGCTGGTCTCTGACAGACAGGGAGATTATGGTCAAAGCCCATGGTTAGCAACATAAACACTTATACACATGTTTCAGACGCACAGATGTTTTTGATGTGCTATAATAGATGCCCAACAATCACAATTTTGACATTACTATCAAGCTAATTTGTTTTATGAGCAGCTTCCAGGCAGATCCTTAGAGGTGGATAATGAAGTACCAGCACAATTATGATGATTAGATTTCTAAACTCAGAATGAGACTGAAACTTTTCAATACTCAGCCTGATTCTCACAAAACTAAGCCTTAGTGAGCACAGAGCCACAGCTGGCTCAGCCTTTCAAAGTAATTCCTAAAAGGCAGGTTCTGCGTCACCAGCAAGCTAGCTCATTTTTTGGGCTAAGGAACTTTTTCACAAACAGATGTTTTTTCTGGGCTATGAGCTTTTTAAAAAACATTTAGAATAATATAAATTTTATGTAAATTTAATTTGTTAATTTAATTTTTTCACGTCATTAATAGTATGTATACATATATACATATATATATACAATTTAAATGAATTTACACAAACAATGGCTAACAACGCAGTAGATTTATCTCATTGCTTGTCTAAGCATTAAACATGTATCCCATCTTATCAATCAGCTGTTGGCCTGCCATTTTCCTCCACAACACAAATTTTTCATTACATTTTATATGATGTCTTTATATGTTTTGCTTTTGTCTTCGATAACTTCTACGATGTCATGTCAAAACTAATTTGCTTTATTTTCATTAGTTTGGTGTGCATTTAACAAGTGCTGTATGACCCAAGTCATTTTGATCTCAATCACAAAAATATTGACTTGATTATTTGGAGATCCCGTGGCAGGTATTGGGAGAGTCTATAGAGGGGTGTAAGGCCCTGCTTTTTATTTACCTCCTCCACGCCTGAAGATGTCAGCAGTCTCGTCATCAGAAATCCCGACCTCATTCATGTTCTCTGGCTCTGAGTATGAGCGCTTCTTCTGGTCTGCTCCAAGACGCTTGCGGCCGCAGATCCGCATCAGAACAGGAGGTCCAACAGGCGGGACTTTGGGGAGCGCTGGGGGGCTTGGCCCTCGAATCTCTGGGCTAACCACATGCCGCTCCTTCGGGGTGTGAGGGGAGGTGACCAGTGGTGCAGACTGTGGTGTAATGACAATGCCCTGTGGTTTTGGCATAGTTTTTGGGCCTTTTTTCTCCAGGCTGTGGTGCTTGGTAGTGACGGGCGGAGGCTGATGGCTGATGGAGGAGGAGATGGGAGAAGGAACTGCAGGAGGCGGAGGGCTGGTCGAGGAGCTGAGGTCTCTTCGTCTGAAGGAGGTGGATCGCAGGACTTTAGACTGGGCATCTTTCAAAGAGTCCCTATAAGATCTGATTAGAGACAAATGTCCAACATCAGGATGGTCCCGTCTACACCTTTTACCTTTTATTACCATGCTTTTTTGATGATCTGATTGAGAGAGCTGAAGTGGAAAGCGTACGGGTGTGAATGCACCCAGGACACATTGAGGACACACTGAGACAGAATTTCTTCAAGCAGTGCATGCGAATGTGTCCTGGGCCACATAGATGCGCATAGATGTGCGAAAACAAAAAGAAGGAGCCACAAAAACAGGCAAAAAGGTTTCTCATCTTAGATGGAGTACATGTAAAAGACACTGTTTCCTGATGGAGAGATAGCATTAATTGTTGCTAAAGTAAACACTAGCCGCACGGCTAACTGTAAACAGTTCAGTTAGTGAAGCTAGCGGTACCATTAACGCTACCTGACTTTGCCTGGACTAGGATGTCATAGCACCAGGGGAGTGTTGCTGTTTACAGAAAGAGGAGGCTTAACTTAATAAAACTAATAAAGCTTTATTTAAAGTTTAAAGGTAATAGGACTGCTAGTGGCACGGCTTACCACAGCTAGCAGCAGTTAGCAACAAGTAAACTATCTGAAAAGGAGAGATGAGGTAGAGGAGCAGCTGTAGGACATCAGAGGGAAAACCAGAAAATATTCTCTCCATAAAATATGATCCAGTTTCCAATCATAAGGTTGTGTGTTTGTATAGTTATCAGTGAGGGACGGCCCCCAGAAACACATAGCCCTAAACCCCTAACTCTAACCCTAAACCCCTAAATACCTGCTGAAGGACTCTGACCTGTTGAAGGATGTGTCCTGCATGGAGCCCAGCATCTCTTGGATGTCCTGTCTCCAGGAGAAATCTTTGCTGGTGTCACCCTCCCTGGATTCATCCAGCTGGAAGCTGCTGCGACTCCTCTGGAGGGCTGAACTGGGATCTGCTGGGGTCCTGAACATCACACAGAAGTATGTAATATAATAATTTGGAACAAAATAAAACTGGCCAAAATTGAATATAGGCTGAAATTGTGATACAGTTACCAATATAAATACATTTATTGGGATAATACTGTGGCATTGCAAAAATGTTCACGTTTTTAGTTATACATTTATATATATAGTTTTATCAAGTACCCGTAACCCTGTTTACCTGTATTTTATGTGTTCACTGCTGCTTCCCTTGCAGCTCAGAGTCCTGTGTGCTCTGGTCCCATTGGTGCTTCTCTCCAGCATGTTTCTGAGGTCATCTGCTCCACAGGCGGCACTGCGGCCTTTCTCAGACATCTGATTCAAAATCAGAAAACATAAAGCAGTGAAGCAGTGTCACCAACAACAATGAGCAACATTGTCAAATTTAGCTTAGTTTGTGATGCAGCAAATCTTGCCTGCTAAGTCAAAATATCCATGCATTTCAGTATTAAGTAGTGTGTGACTGACCCTCATTGTGTCATTTTGAAAACTTTCTCTGTTGAATCATCAAAAGAAAACATGGTGATCACAAATGTAAAGTTTGGTTTGAGTTACCCTCCGATGGGTAGGTTTGCTGTGGACGTTGGTGGTGCTTTGACTGCGCTGCTTTCCGGTGCGTTCCCGACGTTCGAAACGACTGACCTTCTCCAGGACAGAGAGGCTACGGGCAGGTCCCTGGCTGCCATCACCAGAGCTACTGTTGCCATGGCTGCTCGCAGAGGTGACACTGTTGGGGCTCGCGCATTGCTGGACCTCGGCAAGGGCGATCTCCAGGCGGGTCAGTGGGTGTTCTCTGTCTTTGTCCCGCTCTCTGTGGTCACAGTGCTGGTACTGAAGAGCTGACGAGTCACTGAGGAGATGGAAAGAAGGCTGGGAGGTAGAAGGAGGTGGAGCCTGAGGCTGAGGTTGAACAGGTGAGTTGAACTGGGTGAGCTTGGAGGACGCCCCTTGCTCTGAATCAATGCTGGTCTGTTCCATTGATCTGAAAAGAGGGAGGAAGGAGAAGAGAATGGAGGGCAAGAAGTAAGAGAAAAGGGTACATTAAGTATATCCAGCAATTAAATGAACTAACCAACCAGTCACTGTCAGAAAGCTGCTTTTCTAGATGGAATTTTTTTATCTGGTAAAAAAACATATGAGTTTGTGTTGATGGGCCCAGTAGCATTATGTTAATGTCAAACCAACATCCTCTCCATTTGTTTCTGATTTGACTGGCTAGCAGCTAGCAGCCAAAGGTGAACCATTTTCTGGTAAAGGTATTAGGTTTGACATTGCATTGGCTGAAGCCCTCTGCTCCAGGAGCAAATGAGGCTCATTGGAACTTCATGGGAGAAGACTTTTCTGCAAAGCCAGTGTCATTGAAAATAACAGAAGTGTCTATGTTGTTAAAGGATTCTGACCAGTTGGAGGATTTTGACCTGCTACAGGACTTTAACCAGATGAACGACTGACCTATGAAGGACTCGAGGGACTGCTGTTTAAATAGTTGCTTTATCATGCTATGAGGTCAAGTTTATTTGTATAGCCCAGTATCACAAACAATATCATGTGACAGTCTGAGCTCTCTAAAAAGAAGAGGAAAAGGTCCTCAAGTGTTTCTTCATCCACTTGTTTTTCAGTGCAGACAGTAATTCTACAGCTGGGAGCCTCACATAGCCAGCAGAATGGGCCACAAATTACCTGTTGGTGGAAAACAAACATAACTCATTCGATTTTTTAGATGTTTTTGTGGAGCTGCTGATTGCATCTCAGAGGAGGTTCACAAAGTGAGAGAGACAGAGACAGACTCTGAAATCTCAAAATACACCAGCCATCCTGCCATACTGTACCTGCTCCTGCTTCCCCTCAAATGGACAGGTGTACAGGGTTCCCTCCACTCTTGTGAGGATTGGGGCCTGAGTCCAGGAGTCGACTGGATATGGGAAATATGGAAATCCTGGTTCTGTTCCTGGAACACTAGGCTGTGGGGTCCCTGGCTTGTATGAACATGGGACCCTTGCAAGCTCTGACCGTGAGGTCCCTGGTGGTTTTGGGGCCTTTGGGCCCCTGCCTGTCTCTCGGTTCCCCCTCCAGCAGTTTTCAGGAGGGGTCTGTAGAGTCCAAAGTTACACTCATCCTGCTGAGGCCTGGTAAAAGCAGAAGATTGCGTACAGTATTAAAAACCAATGTGAAAAATTTTATAGCTCTGTAGCACAAAATCTCTCCAAATAACTAAAACTTTTTACAGTCAGCTGGTGTGGTTGATGACAAAACAAAAAAACAGAGTTGTTATCTGAAATATCGATATAAAATCACCTGTCTGCTTCTTGTGCTTGAGTCCTGAGCTGTGGTGTGACAGATGCTGAGGAAGAGGAATATGGGTATGGTGAGGAAGAAGTGTTATTTTGGTATCCATTTTCTGTAGCTATCATCCTTCCATCCCCCTGCGCCTCTGTGGATCCTTCCTCTCTCCCTCCGACGCCATGCAAGGCCTGGTGCTGCTGTCGGCTGCTCTCCTTTGCCAGAGCGGGGTAGGCTCCGGAGGAGCCTGGCCTGGGGCTGACGGTGGGCATCTGTGCATACTGGGGCTCAGGCTGGGGGACAGGGTACATATCGGTGGGAAGAATGAGCCGACCAGACTGGGGGCTGGGGCCTGCTGGTCCTGTAGGGGAAGAGGGCTGGGGAAAACTTCCACCCTGTCGGGGCTTTGTGGTGGGGCTGCTCTCTGGGCTTTTCTCTATAACTGTGTGAAGTTGACCCTCAGCACTGTACGAACCTTTAGCTGGAACCACAGTAATGATGTTAGGTTAACTGCCTTGTTAGGTGGGATCCTATTTTGTCCTTAAAATTAGTAATATCATTTAAAGGGAATGAAAATATACCTGCACATGAGGCCACAGGGCCACTGGAGTGATGCCAGGAACCCTTCTGTAAAGACCTGAGTAAAACACATTAGATCAGATGCAATTAGATTAGGGTATATGACATTTCATTTTACACATACTGTATTACATATTCATCCATCCATCAATTGTCAACCGCTTATCCTGTGTACAGGGTCGCGGGGCTGTGTTACATATTTCACAACAAAATTTTAAACATACTCTATCATTTTGTACATATACTGTATTATAACATATCTCTTGTTTTGGAAAATACAGTATTGCACAATACAGTATTGCCCAATGTGTTGTATTGTAGCACAGCAAATTGTGCTGTATTATATCATGGCATACTGTATCATATTGTATAATATCATAGGGTAGGGTATGGCATTGTGGTATGTCCTATTGTAGGGTATTATATTTCAACATAAAAGCATCAACAAAACATCAAATACAGCACAAGATCTACAAATCACAATACATACTGGTAAGAGCTAATAGCCCATTTTGCATAAATAGAATAAATACCTAGGGAAAGAAGTAAGAGTCACCAAAAAAGTGCAATCAATACAAGATAACAGTCTGGGGATAGAAGAAGAAAAGCACAGGAATGGCATGTTAGAGGTTAGGGGTTAGATGTGTTATAAGAGAAAGTGTTCTTGGAAGAGATGAGTTTTCAAGAGCTTCCTGAAGTTACAGAGGGACGCCCCTGCTCTGTGTGTAGGGATGGCAGAGCCAGGTGGCATTCGTTGGAGGATTGTAGTGGCCGAGAAGGAAAGTAAACTTTTCTCATGGAGTTTAGGTACATGGGTGCAGACCCAGTAGTCACTCTGTATGCAGAATTAGTGACTTGAATTTGATTTGAGGCCATGGGTAGCCAGTGGAGGTCACTGAGTAATGGAGTGACATGAGTCCTTTTGGGCTGATCAAAAAACAGATGCACTGCTGCGTTCTGAACCATTTGTAGGGGTTTCACCGCACAAGCTGAAGACCTAATTGGAGTGGGTAGCATACTGAGTGAGGTAGGGCCTGATTTGTCTCGGCACGACCCAAGTTTCTCACTACCTTGGTTGGAGTGATGGTTGAGGAGTCAATTTGTAGAAAGACTGCTTGGCTGGAATTACCAAGAGTTCAGTCTTAGCGAGGTTTAGTTGAAGGTAACAAGCCTTCATCCATGCGGATATGTCCGGGAGACAGTCTGTGATCTGCGCCGAGACAGTGGGGTCGTTTGTTGGGAAGGATAGGTAGAGTTGAGTATTGTCTCCATAGCAGTGGTAAGAGAAGCCATGCGAGCGAATGATCGGCACCAGGGAGGTGGTGTAAACTGAGAAGAGAAAGAGCCCTAGCGCCAAGCCTTGGGGCACCCCTGAGGAGAGGCAGTGGGAGGAAGATAATTGTCCTTGCCGCAGAACATTGTAGAAACTCCCTGAGAGGTAGGATTCGAATCACAGGAGTGCTTTGCATGAGATGCCCTGTGGATCCAGTGATTTACTGTGTCAAAGGCAGTTGATAGGTCAGGGCTGCAGCTTTGTGACCTTAGGGCTTCTGTCACAGACAAAAGAGCCGTTTCAGTAGAGTGACCACTATTAAAGATGTTGTATTATGCTCATGTTCAGGTTCATAATCTAATTTAGGGGTTGTAACCAGAACAGGTTTACAAGGTTTAATTTTCTAAAAACACCATATTTTTTGTCATACTGCACATTGCTGCAGCTCCTCTTTTCAACCTGTGTGTTGAACGCTTCGTTTTAGCTATGGAGTGATACATCTTGTCTCTAAATGATCTTTGTTGGGAGTTGCACATGCGCAGTTCCTAGTTAAGGACTACTAGCCAATCAGAAGCAGAGAAGGGCGGGTCAGTGAGAAGCCCATAAACAGCTTCAATTCAGCTGTACATGTTGTTGACCAGCTTGGCAACATAGACTGGAGCAAGAGTTTCAGAGTGGTGAGTTATTAATCTGTAACAAAAGTTTTTTTTTTCATCCATAAAGTTTTAACTGAGCTCTGTCTCTACATCACAGTAACAACTTTATGTCCATTGACTGCCTGGAGGGTAGCTAGTGTTTGGCAGGGAGGGGAGAGGTGTGTGCTGCAGCTCATTGTTTTTCCATCGCATTTTATGAGGGCGTGTCGAAAGGTAAAGGCAAAGGTGTAACCCAAGCCCTTTTGAAAGTGGTTGGAAAGGTCCCTGAAGCCAGAGAAGTAATTTATCACATGACTGATTGCCAGCACCGTGGTAGGAGATATGGCTTGAAGGAGACTGGTAGGAATTGGGTCCAGTGGGCATGTATTGGGACGTCTACGGGTCAGGAGTTCTTATACTTCACTCTTCGTGAGAGGAGTAAACGAGGAGAGTGAAGTGCCATTGACCTGGGAAGACAGAGGAAAAGATGTAGTAGGACTGCCACATATTAGCCTTGGTGTCAAGCCTTTTGCGCCATTTCCCAAGGAAGATGGAGAGAGACATGTATAAGGTAGCTACATGGTAGGTTTTCTTGTGCCGTGCTCACAGAGTAGGAGCTGACCGGAGCAGGAGTAGACAGGTTGATTTTGAGTGATTTAGAAAATTGTTATAGCCACCATTTTTCCTGTGAAGAAGGCAGCAACGGTATCGGCAGGTTTGTGGGTGGTGGAGGTGGAGGAGGATTTAGTAGCAAGTTGCGTGCTTATTCCATATATTTGTCGGTCTAAACAGAGAGAAGCAGACACACACAGACAGGAGAGAAGCTCCTCACACTAGATCATCAGACAAGGGAATGATCATTTTAACTTCAGCAGGAGCGACGCCTGCTAATCCAGGATGACATAAAATGCTTAATTTATGCAGTTATTTTAAATATAAGCTCTATGTGTGATTAGAAAGTGATCAGAGGGGCAGAATGGCTTAGAGAGTAGCCTGGCTGAGGAGGAGGAGGTGGTGAAATGCTACCTCCCATTTGTTTGGAGCATGTGACCAGGAATTACATATTGTACCTTTAAACAAAAGTAAAACACATTTGGGAACACAAGCTAGACTGAAAGTGTGGCAGACTTTGTGCTCTTGACTGTACCATATCCTCATCACCATTATCGCTGTCACATCTGGGTCTATTTTTGTATGAGAATCAATATTCACCCTGATTCCACAGACCCTACTCACCGTAGTGAGCGGCCGTGCTCTAGACTGGACCAGGAGTTTGGTCTCTCGTGGTTCCTGATGGCTGCATAGCTGTCGCTGCGCCTTGGAGGAGCTGGTGCCCCCTTTAGGCTTTCATAGGAGCTGCGGCTGGCTGCCGGGCCCCATATAGGACCCACGCTGTGTCTGTTTGAAACTGGTACACCAACACCGCTGCCACTGCCGCTACTGCAACTGCTGCCTGGGCAAAAGACCCTGCCCATTGAACCTGGAACCAATAGTACAAAGAAAAACAATGATCACACATCAAATTACACTACCAGAATATCATTCCTGAAACAGAAATTTTACCTTGCAGATCGCTTAGGTCCGGCCTCATCCCTACATCGCCTTTGGAATCGCTGTTGCATAGCACTGCAGAGGAGGTGGAGCTCAGCTCATGCCTTTGAGATAAGCCCTGCTGGGTGTTGTAAACAGTCTGGATGTAACGTATGTCAGCCTGCTGCATCTCTCCACTTCCTCCTCCTCTCTGAGAGACGGTCTCCAGTGAATAGCAGCGCTCTGGGCTGAAGGAGGGGGTGGAGGCATGGTACTCTGGAATACTAGAGCTAGTGGAGAAGGAGGAGTAGGCGGAGTCTCGTTTGCTGTGGAGGTGGTCAATGCTGTTGGAGGACCTAGAACACGAAAAGAAATTTAATTTGAGATGTTGAGATATTTATAGCTGTGATGGACAAACTCTATCAAATGGCTAGTCAAGCGATATTTGTTTGATTCATCATGCATCGGGCCCTGCGATGGACTAGCAACCTGTCCAGGTACCCCGCCTTTCGCCCAATGTAAGCTGCGATTGGCTCCAGCCCCCTGCGACCCTGTACACAGGATAAGCGGTTGACGATGGATGGATGGATGGATCAAGCATCGGGAGGGTGAGATTCCCTGGTTTGTCAAATTACTACTTAAGACTTGATTGCTCCTTCTGTTCTCCCTCTTCTAGTTTTTTGTGGGCACGTTGGTGAAAATGGGAAACACTGTTTAGGCTTGGTTGGTGCTGCACAGAAGATTTAGGACAGAGGTCTTTTGAAATCCTGCATGTTACCAGGACACCCAGCCGCTGTCGGTCAATAAATAGCTGCAATGCTAACTGCTACTACAACCACAATGTCTCCTTTTTACATTTTTATTTCTGTACAACAGAACAGCTAGGCTTTCACCTGCTTCCAGTCTTTGTGATCAAACTAGGTTAGACACATCCAGAACCTGCCTCTGTACTTCACAAACTTTCAGACAGTAACTGCTCAAGTGTTTGTTTGTATGAACCTGGCAGAGGACAGCTGGTGGCAGGAGGAATAGGCGGGGTGGGGTCCGCTGTAGGTGGGGTTGGCCAGTGGGCGGTGGTGCTGAGCTCCGGAGTGAAGCTGGGTGGACTGACTAGGGTCCAGGCTCTCCATGCTGCCCCTAGAGCTGTACTGGTCCGGACTCTTCCTCAGGTAGCTGCTGCTAGAGTCAAACCCACCAGACAGGTCTGTAGTCGAGGCACTGAAAGAGATAATATTTATTTGTTATCTAGGAGGCTCAGATAGATGCTTTGGGGATGGAAATGTGGCTCAATCATCACACAGACCAATCTTAGACAATGGAGCTTAAAGCTCAAATCAGCTTGCTACACAATGCTGATGTTTGAATGGTAAGATTTACTATATTCAGCATCTCAGTTTGATGTGTTAGCATGGTAAAATTTCCTAATTGATACTAAGTAGTAGTAGTAGTAGTAGTATACAGGGCCCTCACAGCCAGCTCGTCACATCTGTCAAAGATACTAGAAAGAATAGCCATGGGTGCCCATAGAACATGCCTATGTACAGGGTCACAGTGAATCTTCTTGTTATGGTTACAGGTTTTAGTCATTTCCTGTTTTATTTTGTAATACTTACCTCTCCCCTCACTTTACTTCCTGCCTTTGTATCCCACCAGTTTTGATTGTCTTCCTTGCCATGATTAGTTTCACTTGTGTCTAGTTATCTTCCATTCACTAGTGTTTTTAGTCCGTGTGTCTCCTTGCCACTTCGTCTTAGTCCCATCTGTCAAGCGGCATAGCCATTCCTAGTGTTTTGTCTTCCCTTTGTTTTTTCAGATCTTTACCTTGTTTTCTTGGACATTAACTGTTTCATTGACTTAGGATTTTGCCTGCTCCCTGTTGGAGTTGTTTGTCTGATTCGGACTGCCTTTTCTGGTTGTGATCTGTGCCTTCCTGACTATCCCATACGCCTTTTGTTCAATGACTGTGTAATAAATCACTGTTCCGCAACAGCTCTGCCTCTGCAGTCTACATTTGGGTCCTATTCCTCATGTTACTGTTTACCCTGTTTGCACAACCACAACACTTCTAATGCATTTACCTATCAGTTTCATCATTAGCTCTGTGTGACAGTGCACAAATATATGAAACGACATTAACTTGGTATGTATGTTTCCTAGATATTTATAATGTTATCCATGCAGAAGGCAATGAATGAAATAAAACAGGAGTGCCGGTCTGCTTATTGTTGTGGTTGTATTAGGGTTTTTATTTCTTCTCTTCTAGAAATAATTTATATATATGACAGATCTAACATGAGAGGTTCCTACTTTATTAAGCAGGTTTTATTTTCTTTGTGCATAAGAGGAAATAATTAAGTAAACAATTTAAGTCAGTGCTTTTTACAATGCAGTCACATTAATCTAAAAACATTCTATTCAGACTTTGGACGTATTGACGTGTTACAGAAATAGCCATAGGTGTCATTTACACTGGGGACACTGGGGACATGTCCCCATCACTTTTTTGAAATGGCTGATTTTCCCCCACAACTTAAAAAAAATGTTCTGAATATATAGCTTGCAGTTAAAAATCTTTAGAAAGGTTTATTTGCACATTAAGAACACATGCAAAGCCATTAAATTATAGAAGAAATAAATGTGCATTTCCAAAAAAGGAACTTGAGCAAAAAAAAAAAACCAAGCTACTGATTATAAAGTGACCCAAAAACGTGTGTATGCACCAATTAGTAACTTTAACAACATCTTGACACAGTTTCTTTATGGCCAAGTTTTCAGTTCTCTCCCTTTGAACATGACAAAAGAGGAGAGAAGACTAAATCATGCTTACATATGTGTTGTCTCAGCAGTAAAGCTGATATACAGGAGAAACAGATCTGAAAGCAACAGAAAGCCTGAGAGCTGCACTCCATTATATTCTGTTATATTTATATATTTCGAAATGTCATTAGCCATCAGAATTTTGTTTCCTTCTACATAAATAAAAACATTTCCACCCTAATTTGGTGCAGAAACTTTCACCAGAATTCAGAAAATGAAGTGTTTAATGATCAAAATTTCCAGGGGGAGGTCCCCACAGATCACCCGCTTATATATCTCGGCATTGAGGTTATCTTTAAAATATTTTTTAAGGATCTTTTCGTCTCATTCTCGTGAACCTAATATTACAGTGTGTCTTCACACCCCTAATCTGAGCCCCTATGTCCCCACCACTTTTCAACACAAAGTGACACCCTTGGGTCCAGCCTTGTCAGATTGCTGTTGTGATCTCTGTATTGTATCTCTTTATTCAGACATTAGACATGTTATTTTGCCAGAACATTTACGTAACCAGGTGAATTTCTGAAAGGTTGTAGTTGTTTCGTTGATTGTAAAGTTGGTGAGTTGCTGAATCTGATGTTACCTCACTGTAGATAACTCATTGGAATGTAAATGTGTGTTTGTGCTTGTGTGTCTACGTCACAGTTTGACCCATCAAGTCCTTCAACTGAACACAATGCAATTACTGCTCTGGAAAAGAGGACAGTCTCTGCCTGTATTTCTCTTTTCTGTGTCAGCAACTTCTCGGAGTCTAACTTCTGTGTCAGTGTCTCTTTCTGTCAGATGTACTGTCCATCTCTGTTTACTTTCTCTTCTCATGCTTAATTCCTGTTATATTAAATTGACACTTTTTACTGAGATCTTTTTATTCAGATCCCAACTTTATTAACAGGACATGAAAAGAGTATCTGTGTGTGGGGTGTGGGTGGGCATCAGGAATGCCCCTTTTAGCAGGCATCGACGTCAATACCCCATCCACACACGTGCATTAACGCACGCTCACACTGGTTTGTGTAACAGTATCCATTATTGGCTTAGACAAACATTGTGTTTGGGTCGGGTCATTATGTTATATATATATCAAATCCACTGTCAATCAATTCCTCAGGAAAACTGTGAGGCTGCAAATGACATGCTTGTCTTATTTTCTCCAAAGATAATATCCTTGTGCAGTGCCGTATTGTTTTTTACTTATGACAGAAATTCACTAACCAACATTCCAGTGCAGGGACTGGACCGACTGGATCTTTTTATTGTAGCCGGTGATTTTAATCAAACAGACCTCAGAACTGTTTTACTTAAGATGGCAGCGCACTTAGACCGGCGCTGCTTAATCAGAGCGTTCAGTGGTTCTGTTTTTAACAATGAGAATTATGGCTCCAACATTCCCACAGAGCTCGCCAGATACCTGAGGCCTCTGACGTAGAGAGAGGAAACAAAAGCGAGGCTTCTGAGCTGGGATACATGCTAGGTTAGGGAAAGACCCGCACAAACCTCCGCTGCCAAGTTTTTTCATTACCAATGCAAGATCACTTGCCAACAAAATGGAAGAGTTGGAACTTACCACATTTACATTTACATTTATATTTTTACAGAAAAAACAGCTATTCTGGAGCAGGCTTTCAGGCTAGCATGCTGTGCAGAACACCAATACGACTCCGGTAAGAGCAGAGGAGGACTCTGTGTTTTAGGGGTGTGGAAAATAATTGATTTTCAGATGCATCGCAATGCGAAATTGGATAATAATAAAAGCAGCATCAGAAATAAAAATAGCAGCAGCAGAGGTCAGTAATAATGCTGTAATAATGTAAAAATGCTTTGCCATGTTAGCTACATTTACTGTATATGAAGTAACATTATATATCTGAATTTCATTACTGCTTACTTGTTTGGATTGTTAAAAATACTTTGCTTTAAAAGTAACAAGTAGTCAAACAGTGAGAAAAATACATCTTCATCTAACTCGTTTTACAATTGCATTATAGGCTCATAATGTAATGAGGTGCCTAGAAATTCCCACTCTTGAGGTGATACATCATGATGCATCGAGATGTCAAATCGAATGGAATCATTGACCTGATAATCGAAATCAAATCGAATCCTGAGTCCAGTGAAAATGCACACCCCTACTGTATATACACAAACAATAACTGGTGCACAAAAGTAAATGTCATTGATAGTCACTACACTTGGAATATTTATCAATAAAATGTGGCCCTTTCTATTATTGAGGGAACAGTTGCCATAGTTACTGCTACATACATATCACTGGGGTAACCGCCATTAGCAAACAACAAAGTGCCCATCCTGATGGAGATTTTATAATAGCAAGCTATTTTAACCAAGTGATTACAAAGACTGTCCTCCCAAAATTCTATCAACATGTGCAACAAGGGGAAAAACACACTTGACCCGGTCTATAGCAACATTAAACATGGATAAAAACACTTTTTTCCCTACCTCGCCCATCAGACCACCTCTTGTTAACCCCTGACCTCTTATTAACACATCAACACCTACACTTCAACTGTACTGTTTTACATAAAAAGCTGTGTAGACAATGTCACTACCACAAAACGCACTAAAAGGACCGCAACATGGCTCTCTGGTCTGGAAACAAAGAGCTGTACAGCGCGGCCAGGTCTAACATGAAGAGGGGCATCAGAGATGCCAAAGCAGACTACAAGCAGAGTATTGAGAATCTCTTCAACAACTCAGACCCACGTCCCATATGGCAAGGTACACAGCACATCACCAATTATAAGGACTAGAACAATGTGGAGCATATGCATGGCTGTTGTGTATAGATTACAGCTCTGCATTAATAACCATCATCTAGCCTTCAAACACTTCAAACATCTGGATTTGGACAAAGGACTTTGTCCAAATCATTAACAGACTGGCCGGTGACAGTGAGGATGGACCCCCACCTTGTTAGTCCGAACAGGGGTTCCACAAGGCTACGTGCTGAGCCCCCTTCTCTACTCCCTGTAAACATATCACTGCATACCAATCCACAACACTAACATGTTGGGCTTTGTAGATCACTGGCAGACTTTCTGGGGTAGACCTGGTCTGATTCGGAGAGACGGCATCCATCCCACTTGGAAAGGAGCAGCTGTCATTTCTAGAAATCTAGCCAAGTTTGTTAGTGGACCAAATCCATGACAACCCAGAGTTGAGACCAGGAGGCAGAGTCGCAGTCTAACACACTTCTCTGCCCTTCTATTTCAGCAGTTACCCACCCAAAACTGTACGCAGAGTCGCAGTCTAACACACTTCTCTGCTCCTCCATTTCAGGAGTTAGTGAAAACCCTATAGTGACGGTGTCTGTCCCCCGACCATTGAAATTATTTAAATCAAAGGCAAACAGAAAAGGAGCTGTGTATAAAAAACTCATAAAAATTAAAACCACAAGAGCAATAGTGCAAAAGAATAGGAGAATTAAATGTGGAGATCTTTCTCTTCTAAAAGTGTACTAGTAAATTAACTAATATAGATTATGATTTATTTTGTCTTACTGAAACCTGGCTGGGTGATGGAGAATATGTTAGCCTAAATGAATCCACCCCTCCCAGTCATGTTAATACTCACATTCCTCAAGGCACAGGCCGAGGAGGTGGAGTTGCAGCTATCTTCGACTCTACCCTACTAATCAGCTCTAAACCTAAACTAAACTATAACTCATGTGAAAGCCTTGAGTTGTTAGTCTTTCACACCCAAGTAGGAAATCACTGCAACCAGTTCTATTTGTTATAGTGTACCGAGCACCTGGCCCATACTCTGAATTCTTATCTGAATTTGCATTTGCATTTGAGTTTTTGTCAACTTTAGCCCTTAAAGTTATTATTGTAGGGGATTTTAATATTCATGTGGACGTTGAGAATGACAGCTTCAGTACTGCGTTTAACTCTCTTTTAGATTCCATTGGCTTCTCTCAGAGTGTTCATGAACTATTACTAGTGTTCACTGTTTTAACCACACCCTCGACCTTGTTCTAGTATATGGTATTGAAATTGAACATTTAATAGTGTTCCCACAGAATCCCTCTTTATCTGACCACTGTTTGAGTTTATATTGCTGAACTACACACCATTGGGAAATTTTTTTTATACAAGATGTCTGTCTGATAGTGCTGTAGCTAACATTAAGGATGCAATTCATCAGTTCTAAATTCATTATCAAGTCACAAAGTAACGGAGGATGCTAATTTCAGTCCCTCCCAAATCGATCATCTTGTTGATAGTCCTGAGGCTAACTGCGAATGACACTCAACTCTGTTGCCCCTCTAAAACAATAAATAAAAGAAAGACGGTTAGCTCCATGGTATAATACTGAAACTCGCAAATTAAAGCAAATATCGCGGAAACTTGAGAGGAATTGGCGTTCCACCAAAATGGAAAATTCTCGTTTAATTTGGCAAGATAGTCTTAAAATTTATAGGAAGGCCCTCCGTAATGCCAGAGCAGCGTACTACTCGTCATTAATAGAGGAAAATAGGAACAACCTCAGGTTTCTTTTCAGCACTGTAGCCAGGCTGACAGAGAGTCACAGCTCTATTAAGCCAAGAATTCCCATAGCTCTCAGTAGTAACGATTTCATGAGCTTCTTTAATGATAAAATTCTAACTTTTAGAAATAAAATTCACCAAGACCTGCCCTCAACTGGCACTGACTTATCTCCAAATTCAGGAACTTTAGAAACAGCTATAAAACCAGGTATATGTTTAGACTGCTTTGCTTCCCTCAATCTTTACCAACTAACTTCAATAATTTTCTTAATCTAAACCATCAACCTGCCTCTTAGACCCCATCTCAACTAGGCTGCTTAAATAAGTTTTACCCTTAGTCAGCACTTCTATACTAGATATGATCAATCCATCGCTATCAACAGGCTATGTACCACAGTACTTTAAAGTAGCTGTAATTAAACCTCTTCTGAAAAAGCCCAATCTTGATCCGGAAGTTTTAGCCAACTATAGACCTATATCTAACCTTCCATTTCTCTCTAAGTTTCTGGAGAAAGCAGTTGCTAAACAGCTGTGTGACTTTCTACAGAGCAATAGTTTATTTGAGGATTTTCAGTCAGGATTTAGAGCTCATCATAGCACAGAGACAGCACTGGTGAAAATTACTAATTGCATCAGACAAAGGACTTGTCTCTGGACTGGTTTTATTAGATCTTAGTGCTGCTTTTGATACCATTGACCATCAGATTCTATTGCAGAGACTGGAACATTTAATTGGTATTAAAGGAACCACTCTATGCTGGTTTAAGTCCTATTTATCAGATCGATTTCAGTTTGTACATGTTAACGATGAGTCCTCCATGCACGCCATAGTTAGACATGGAGTTCCACAAGGATCTGTGCTCCGACCAATCCACTTCACTTTATATATTCTTCCTTTAGGCAATATTAACAGGAAACATTCCATAAACTTTCATTGTTATGCAGATGATACTCAGTTATATCTATCGATCAAGCCAGATGAAACTCATCAGTTTGCTAAACTTCAAATGTGCCTTCAGGATGTTTTAACCTGGATGACCTGTGATTTTCTAATGTTATTGTTCTGGGGCCCAGGCACCTCCATGACGCATTATCTAAAGATATAGTTTCCCTTGATGGCATTGCCTTGGCCTCCAGCACCACTGTGAGGAATCTTGGTTATCTTTGATCAGGAACTGGCGTTTAAGTCTCACATTAAGCAAATTTCAAGGACCGCCTTTTTTACGTAATATTGCAAAAATCAGGAACATCCTGTCTAAAAATGATGCAGAAAAACTAGTCCATGCATTTGTTACTTCTAGGCTGGATTACTGCAATTCCTTATTATCAGGCTGCTTGAAAAAGTCCATTAAGACTCTTCAGTTGATCCAGAATGCTGCAGCACGTGTTCTGACAGGAACCAGGAAAAGAGATCATATTTCTTCTGTCTTAGCTTCTTTGCATTGGCTTCCTGCAAAATCCAGAATAGAATTTAAAATCCTTCTTCTCACCTACAAAGTTCTTAATGGTCAGGCACCATCTTATCTTAAAGAGCTCATAGTACCTTACTACCCCACCAGAGCACTGCGCTCCCAGAATGCAGGGTTACTTGTGGTTCCTAGAGTCTCCAAAAGTAGACTAGGAGCCAGAGCGTTCAGCTATCAAGCTCCTCTCCTGTGGAACCAGGTTCCAGTTTGGGTTCAGGAGGCAGACACCATCTCCACATTTAAGAGTAGGCTTAAGACTTTCCTCTTTGATAAAGCTTATAGTTAGGGCTGGCTCAGGTTAGTCCTGAACCATCCCTTAGTTATGCTGCTATAGGCCTAGACTGCCGGGGGGATTTCCCATCATGCACTGAGCTCCTCTCTCCTCTTCTTTCTCTCCCTCTGTATGCAACCTCATCCCATTATTGCATGTTACTAACTCGACTTCTTCCCTTTCACGTAGTCTTGTGCTTTCTCGTCCCTCTCCTCTCTCCTCCTGTCACTTCCTGCAGATGTTTCTGGCTCTGGAGCTGTGGAGTCTGGATCTGTGGTTACGAGTCCCCTGCTACCGTGTTCCTGCTCGACACCCTCTGCTACAATTATTGTTAATAATCCTGTTGCTATTATTACTGGCAGAATTCCTGTTATGACATCCACTTTGATATATATAATTATAATGGCAGAAATGCAGAAAAACACCAGTATCACCACAAAAAAGAAGATGGATTCGTTTGGTTGTGCACTGCATCTTCCAGGGTTTTTGTCTTTATTTTGAATAGTTAAAAAATTTAAATAATGTCCCTATGTAAAACAACTGCTAACTGGCTATTGAACAATTGAATACAAATGGGGGACAGAGAAAACACTGACCTGGCATGGTAGCTAGGATGCCAGGCACTGCTCATCGTGTCCATCCCTCCATGGTCCTCTTCCTGCTGGCCTTCAGTGAGCTTCGTTGAGTGCCATGAGTGAGGACGAGATGCTGACTCACTGCGTCTATGAGGTTAAAATACAAAGAGAGAGTTAGAATATATGTAACATTTGTGTTTCCAGGGCAACAACACAATCTGACATCAAACGGTAGGAAAAAGGGTAGTAATCACGATTTTCGTGAACCACGTGCCTTTGAGGGGTGGTCAGAATCATAGACAATCCTGTGCGTTCAAGTATGAAAGACGTATAGGAGTTTTCACAGTCACTGATGGGTAAATGCAATCCTAACCAAGAGGCATGCCTCTTAATTATTTGTAGGGGAAATAAAACTCAACACGTCTGCTATGGCAGATGCAAAGCAGCGGGTGTGGGAGAAGTTTGGAGAAGACATGGAGAAGGACTTTTGGTCGGCACCAAAGTGCTTCTGGAGAACTGTCTCAGGAGGGGGAAGCGGGGAACAGTCCAAGCTGTGTACAGTAAGTATGGGACCCTCTTGACCTCAACTGGGGAGGTAATTGGGCGGTGGAAGGAACACTTTGAGGAACTCCTAAATCCGACTCGTCAAACAACTCCACAGTGGCAAAGCCCCAGGGATTGATAAGAGAAATGCTAAAAGCTTTGGGTGTGGAGGGGCTGTCTTGGATGACACGTCTCTTTAACATTGCGTGGAAAAAACTGCAAAACTGAAAACATAAAAAAACCCTTAACCATACAGACTTAACCCAAAACGACTGAATACCACTTACTTTGTGGTGTTTACTTGTGGTTGCACTTTATTTCACAGTAGGCTACACTCATGGGACATAACAAGCCATATTTTGAATGAAATTAGACATGTTTTTCATTAGACAGTAAACAAACACACACAGGCTAATTTAATTCATGCTGTAATTAGAAACTGCATTTAATTCTGTATTAGACCCAAAATATCCTACTCTTCTTAGACACAAATATGAAATTTAAATGAGAACACTCCGGATGCGGCCTCTAGACCAGGAGGGTGCAGCCCAAGGGGTTGCAACATTAGCATCCAGTTAAACCCCTAAACCTACAATGAATCAGTGGAGGACCGTGAGGTTGCTATTTGATATAAGCCAAAAGTTAATTAGAAAAGAAGATGGTATTTGAGCAATGGTGCAGCAGAAGCAGCAGGTAGGTAATCACAACTCAGTGCAGCTAAAGTTAATGCATGAGTTGTTATTGCACAAGTAAGTAAAAATAAGTTATTTATTGCAGCTGTTAGCTAGGTTAGATGCAGCATTATGTGTGTAAGAGAGGAAGGTACTACATATCATGATATTGTACAAATAGTACTTTATTATAATAGTACTTTATAGTAACTTTATTAAGCACAGGGTTTTTTGTTTAGCCTTTTGTGATTGATCCATCTGTGCCTAACATTACAATGTGACAGCTCAGCATTTACAGTGTAAAGCAGCCGCTCTCTTAGGACTGATCCCACATGAAAATGTTCAATTTCAATTTTCGCCAAAAGAAGAGATCTCATTGGACTTTTCATGTAGAGCAAGGCTAGACCACTCTCTGTAATATAATTTACAGAGACCCAACAAGTTCCATCATGAGCAAGCACTTAGTGACAGTGGCAAGGAAATAGTGGCTTCTACAGATGTTCTCTCATTGGAAAAACAAGAGGGTACGAGTCATTCTATCATGCACTCTGCTCCCGTGGAGAGACTGACTGTTGTGGTCACCATAGACGCGTCCAAATGGGACTGGGGGTGTATGCTGTGTTTCTGTCACTGGGGCATTTTTACGATATGGGTCTGCTGTCGGGATATGTTCTGGTGTGCAGCGAGGAGGCATGCCTCTTGGTTAGGATTGCGTTTACCCATCAGTGACTGTGAAAACTCCTATACGTCTTTCATACTTGAACGCACGGGATTGTCTATGATTCTGACCACCCCTCAAAGGCACGTGGTTCAAAATCGTGACTCTGCTGAGCAGGAGACCCTGGTGCCTCCCTGTGTGCAGTCACCTGCTATCTCAAGTACAAGGGCAATTATGGCACCTGTGCCCGAAAATCTGGGACCTGTGGGCCTGGCTCCTAATGATTGCCTATAACAAACTGGCCGTATACAGCCACAGTGGCATTTATTCGAGGCCTGGTGTGAGAAAACAAATGTTTTTCGTATCCTTGTGGGATCTGAGTGAAAGTCCGGTGGCTCTCATCCTCTGGTGGTACATTTTATGTGGTGTACTACATAAGAGACTGTTGCATAGAAACTATGGTCCCTCAGTAGGACCAAGCTTTGGTTGTAGACGCTGTATGCGATATGCCTTTGGAACCAATACAGCCTATTGGTATTGATATATTCTCATGCATAAGACAGCGTTCTTATTGGCCCTGTGATCAGCAAGATATATGGGGGATATATGTCCACACTTTGTTCATCATTCAATTTGCACTGGATAACTCTAAGGTGATGATGTGCCTTAATACTGCATACATCCCTAAAATACCTGCCTTGTCAGATAAGGCATTATCTTTTGAACTGACATCCTTTTCACCACACCCATTTGCATCAGCCAAGCAGCAGCACTTGCATAATCTATGCCCAGTACGGGGGTTGTTAACTCCCTTATTCACTACTTTCCTTCAAGAGCACTGCAATCATCCGCTGCTGGTTTATTGGAGGTTCCCAGAAACAGTTGAATGAAAATCTGGGATGCAGATTTTGTCAATTAGGCCAAAAGCTATGGAACACACCACCTAGAGACATCAGGGAAGCCATTTCACTAAATATTTTTAAAAGAAACTTAAAAATGTATCTCTTCATTTTAGCCTTTAACTAGCTATGACTAGCTATTCATTGCTGCATTGTTGCACTTCTTTTAAAATGCTGTATTTTACTTGCTTTTATGCATTCAACTCCACCTTATTTTACACAAATTATAGAATTCTATCCCTGTTTTAAGCTCATTAAAACAGCATTTGTTTTTATCTAGAGTGGTTAGTTGCTGCTCTGTGCACACAAGAGGACACCGAGATTCTATTTCAAGTCAATAAGAAACCACTGATTGAACATGCAAAATGCCTCAAGGCAGCATAAAAAACAGTGTAAATTCTGCTTAAATTAATCTATTGTGATGTTAAAACAAAATCAGATCTTTCTCAAATGTGCAATTAAATAACTGATACTTGACTACTGATGACTGATGAACACAAAGCTACATGTCATCCAACACTCACACCACAGTCATGGTTTTTATGCCATGCTTTTTCTCTTTCACCCTGCACAGATCTTCATTCACAGAACCATTCGATGTCTCAAAATGCTGCAGGGAATCGTCTGAACAGACTTTATTATCAGTGCTAGAACCACAAAAACTGATCATTTCAACAGTGAATATCATTCTGCTGTGTCCTCCCACGGGTACAGAACACACACACACACACACACACACACACACACACACACACACACACACACACACACAGCTGCATGGTCTCATTCCACAGAGATCTGACTCACCCTTTGCCTATCTCTGCCTCTCCCTTGCCTTCCAATTTTGGAGAAAATAATGTTTGGAACAGAGACTATTTGGATGTTTGTCTGTCACTGTTCAAATCTACTGTAACCAACATGAATTCAAACTAACCTTGACCTGTGTTCACTGTGAAAGAAATATATATGTTTTACAGTCATCTCTCTTCATAAGTAGAAGGTCATTTAACGGACTCTAGATACGTTTATTGGGTATTTTAAAAAGAATAAGCCAGGCTTATTTCAAGTTTTCCAAATATACTTCACAAGAAGCTTCCATGTTTTCTCATCTGTATCTAGTTTTACTTGCTCAGCACTCAAAACTCAACTTTTCCTCCTGCTGTCTTGATAAATCCAGAATAATGTTCTGTTGCTCTGGGTTTCAATGTTTAACATATACTGTTTGCTGTTCTTTCAATGAATGTTAAGCTACTTTCAATGAGGCCTATATTTCATGCACAAATTTTATGTTAAAAGCATTTCAATGGCTCAAAGGGCATAATTGCTCCGTCTCCTGGTAGGCTTTTAAAGTAACTCATTCACAGGAAGTTTTGTGTTTCATTGATGATAACTAAATGTCAATTATTAAAAAAATCAGCAAAGTAAAAGTGACAAATACTAAGTGAATGAATGCAGTGTTTATGTTAATTATGTGGTGAGTATGACAGGACTCTCTGGTACTGGTTGATTCCTTTTTCACTTGATTGTGTTTTGTTCATCTGATGCTGGGCATACATAAACAGGCTTCATTTCATTTCTTCATGGTGAAATTTCAGGGATAAAATAATGTGTTTTTGTTTGGAGTGATAATCTTAATGACATCACCATCATTATTTTTGAATGTGTTATCTCACCAGTTATTATAACAGAGATGTGGCGTGGCGGTTACTAATCTTCCCTCATCCTCGTCATATTTGACATGTTCTGCTGCTCTTTATTTATCCACAGATAAACAGGAAAAGATCATATCTCAGTAAGTAGGAGACAGAGACATAAAAGCATGCATGTTTCTGAACCACAGGGACCTGGATAATGAGAGGACGTGACTCGAATACCTCAAAACGTTATCATCACTGCTACACAGAATACATTCCCTCTCCATTAGCTCTGGGGGAACTGGCTTGAGTGCAGTACGGTACGATTTGGTTTGAGTTTCAAATCCAAAACTAATTGTGAAATCTCGACGGCATTAATACAGATAAATAGAAAAACATGACTTTTTGTCTTCAACTGACCCTGCATTCACTATATTCATAATAAGTATTTATCAAAGTCATGTCACATCACCAAACCATGTACAATTCATAAAGTCCATGCCAGAGTCACAAATTCCATGTCTACTAAGATTTTCTGCTAGTTGCCACATTAATTTCAGGGTTGCAAAGGTCATGCCCAAGTCACCAAGGTCATGTCCAAGACATAGATGTCATGTCCAAGACATAGATGTCATGTCCAAGTCACCAAAGGTATGTTAGAATCACAAATGTCATGTCTGAGTCTGAAATGGCATATCAAAGTTCTACATTTTACAAATTTAGTCAGGATCAGGTGCATATT